ATGTTGTTTTGCTTCGACGTACCTTTTATTTATTTATGATCCAACAACGTCTAGCCGCCAAAAAAATTATAACTTTGAGTGACTTGTAATATTTATTATAAATATATTAATATCTATGAATCAAAATATCGGAAAGCAAAAGGAAGAGTGAAGTCCCGTCGTTAAACTTTAAACAAGAGACAAACATATCTTTTTTTATGTAACCAACAAACTTATAATCCTGCCCCTTCACATTTGATTTCATGATTTTTTCCAAATCTTTTTTTCTGAGTGATTAGTTTTGTAAATTGGACAGTAAAGACCCACCACACCTACGTTGCATGGAAACGGAAACGGAAACGCGGAAGCGAAACGTTTCCGAAACGGGAAAACATGTATTTTCAAATATATAAGTTTGGAAACGTTTTGGAAACGTGTATAAATATAAATAAATAAATAATATCTATATATATTATATTAGATATTAAATAGTTAAACTAAAGATAAATATTATAATGTCTCATGTCAAAATTAAAAATATATTCTATTATTATTATTATTATGCATTTCATGAATCAAACTATCTTCAACTATTTTCATCAAGAGGAAGATTTTAAATAATCAAACTCAATATTTAATAATAAGACTAGTTTTCATCTAATGTATCAAATTAATTAATTAATTGTCTTAAACAATTAAAACAATCCATTACTAATATTATTTTTATGTAATTATATAATTATTGTATTTTCAAAAAATAAGCAGTTAATTTCCCTCAATTAGGGAAACGCAAGTTTCCAAAATGGAAATGCGAGTTTTCCACAAGTTTCCAAACTGCAAATTTTAGGAAACGTGGGAAAACGAATTTCCAAGAGTTTCCGTTTTGGAAACGTTTCCGAAACGGGAAACGCGACTTGGACGGAGTTTCCATACAACGTAGCACCACACAAATTCTAATGGTATCATATATTTGATAATAACAACAAAATTACAACTTAAACATATATAATGGCAACTTCATCATTTCTATAATCTAATATTATCTCGCATTGCCCCCCACCCTCCCTAATGGATTGACCGACCCTTCAAATCTCAACTTTTCAAAATGTCGCTTTTTTCCTCTTTTTTTCTTCATTATCAAATCTTTTTGTTTTGTCATTTTATAGGTGTTAGAATTATTTTGTCGGCTGATTTCAATAGTATAATGTTTCTTAGTTAAGGATTTGATTATCATCAACCAAGTATAATATGAATTACGAATTGTACCATTTGGATGGGTCTAATTAGGAAAACATAGACACTCACCATTAGTTCATCAGAATTTGGACAAAAACTCAAACTCGATGTATATTCAGATATACGGGAAGAAAATCATATTGATAGGTCCACTTTGATGGTAATTATAAAGTAAATTACGTAGTTTCATCATGTGGGTTTTTTTTTTCAGATATATTTTGATGCGGTTTTCCGTGGTTATAAAGATATATAAAAGGTCTGATGTGATGCACATTTAAAAGAAAAATGTGTCGATTAATGGTTGATGTACCAACTAAAGATGGATAAAAACATTAGAGGTCACCAATTCGACACCCATAAAAAAACGACACATTTGAAGATGGAACATAAAAGAAAAGGAATTGTTGGATCATGACTAGTCGAATGGCAAAAAATAAATAAGAGATACGTTTGGACCTGAACATCTGGACTCCAAAATAAGATTCGACGACACAAGTTGACCTATAGTCAACTCTAACTCTTAATGTTACACTCTAAAGCCAGAGGAATGATGATAGTTATGACTTTGGGATTAATGAAGTTCATTTTAATTTTTACTTTTTGTTTGCCACTCCATATAACAAATTCAATAGAATGCGAAAAACTATAACACGTATCGATAATCGATGTATGAAACTGTGAATGAATAAATTAAAATGTAATGCTAACCCTCAGCTAAACTATTAAATCAAACATAAAACAGACACTGTTTTCTTAGGTTAACTATGAATAGACCATTTATTCTAAATTCTAATATACGGTGAAAGAAGCTTCCTTTTATTTTTGCAACTTCCAGTTACGTGTAATTGATAAACTTTTTTTTGGGGGTAAAATGTAAAGGTGATAAACTTATAATTAGAGATTAGTTTTTATGAATAGCAACGTTTCAGTAAATTCGTCTATGGCGTTAGGCATTAACAGTGAATTAGTTTCAGTCCGATTTATTCTTCAACCAAAACCATTTTTTTTAAAACAAACTTGTTCAAAGAAGCTTTTTTTTATCAATACCATATTCTTCGAGTGTATACTGTATAGTATGCCCGGAAAACGTCAACGAGGATACTGGTTCCCTAAAGAAGAGACCTTCACTTTTACTGAAAAAAAAATTATTTCTCGTGTGACACATTCATTAATATGTTAAAAGCTGTTCTTTGTGAATTTATATGATTGTGAAAAAGGAATGATTGTTTTACTTTAGATAACAGTTTATACTCTCTCGATGGTAACAGTGCATCAAATATGTATTAATATTGGCAAAGTAAAAAACAATTTATGATTTTACCTCAAATTCATACTGTAGTTGTTTTCCGTCAACAAAGAACGACGTATACTTGGAAATACTTTCGATCTAAAGTTCTAAACTCATAAATTATATCCTTCGATAGAAAAATATAATTAGGGAACTTTTTAGATTTCATCATTAGACTATAAATCTTCTACGGATACAATGTAAAAAGTGTACCGTAAAGGTTTAATTCTTTTTGTTTAATTGAATCAAATCGTCTATATGCTACGGCTATAAAATATTTATATATCGTTCACCTTCTAGATGCATTATATTTTTGGTTATTGGTTAATGGTTCATTTTTCTTGTATTAAACTGTACAAAGAATATATAGTTTGACCTTCTGGTCGGATTACAGTCTGATGATGAGTACCTCCAAAATGAGCCTTGAGCGTAAGGCAAGCGCGTTTATTGATAAAATACTTGAGCAAATAGAACTTGAGTGGTTGTTAGCGTAAATTAACCAGATTTTGAGGTAGGAATTAGTAGATGATGCATTAGTTTACGTGTAAATCAGTTTCTTTCTCACTATCGGTATTTACTTTAAATATTTTGCTCATATCTATACAGATATTTTGTTCATGTTTTTTTCATATCCAGAAGCATATTGCGAAGAGTAAGAACGAATTATGATAATCTTCTTTAAGAAATTTTGAACGGAATTACTTTATAAACGTGAATTGTGTGTATGACTTGACTATTCGAAGAACACAAAAGGTACCCGAAAAGAAAAACAAAAATATTCCAATCAGTGATAGATCTTCAAAGGAAAGATTCCCATTCGCGCCAATATTTGATGGAGAAAAAAAGTAAAAGGTAATAATATTCTCTAAATTATTTTTGTTGATGTTCCCTTACAAACAAAATAATATCAGTATTCAACTATTCATTCAGTACAGAAATGTCTGGCATATATAATCTTGTAGAAGATAAGTAGTTGTCGAAATCTCATAGGGCAATATGGCGTAGGCGTGTGAGAAGTTGACACCTAGCCCATCCACATCTATCGTCGTTGTGGGTTCACAAAGTTCATACTTTTTGCTTATGTGAATCATGTAAAATGCTATAAAGTTTGGCTACACGAGAGTGAATTTTTTACCAACTAATCAACACACTATAGGATTTCAATCCAAGTGATAACACAGAATAACAACACTAATGCAAACCATTAGTTACAAGTCTCAATTAAAACTGATATGATACTTTATTAGTGTGAATTGTCAAATATATATACATTTACCGAATATTTCTTAGAGAAACATGCTCAGTTGCTCACGCAAAGATTAATCGGACGCTAGCGATAGTAACAGAAGAAGTTATGGAGAATGAAGATGACATATATAGATTTGCAAATATATGCTAATCTCCAAGATACTGTGGAGAATGGGAAAGTGGAAACGTAATAATGTTTTCTACATTAAAAGGAAAAATAAAGAGATAGAGAAAAGTGATGAAAGGTGAAGTATGTGGTGAAAATTTAGGGTTCCTTCTTCTCATTTGTCTCTTTCAAACTTTATGATGCAAAGCGACCCTTCTTTTATTTTCTCTTTTATTGTTATTATCGTTAGTGTCACTTTCTTTTTATTAATTTCATAAAGTCGTATGATCGTATCCATTGTTTTTATTTTGCTTCGACAGGACCGACACCGATCTTTCCTATATCTTTCGGTAATAAATGTTATTGGATTCCTTTTTCAGAATATTACATCATTGTCTTTTTTCCCCCGTTAACACAATAATAAAAGTAAAATGACTTCATAAAAAGTTACGGTCGAGGTTAGGGGAATAAACGATATGGTCGAGCTAGACTTCCCATCCTCTAAGGTCGATTGAACTTCTACCATCGCTAGTCTACTTTCATAACGAGGTCAGATTTAAACTAAATCGTGACAACAAAACTGTCCGACATAGACTTAGAGCTAAGTACGTTTACAAAGTTACAAAATTCCGATTGTGTCTATACTCTAATTTCACAAATAGTCGTATAGTCACAGGTCGTAGAGTATATTTGTATAAATGAGATATTTTTCCAAAGAGTATTTTTGAAAGTTATATAGTATGTGGTTATAAAAACTCTTTAAGAAAATAATTTAGTTTTGAAGAAAGAAGAATGATGTAAAGAGAAGCAACAAAGAATCTGAGTATCTTTCCACCACCACACCACAACACCTGTGTTCCTGTTTCGATTCCAAACTCTCACTTTCCATGCCCCCCTCGTGTCTGGGTCCCACTTTTGTACTCCCTCCTCTCTGGGTCCCACCTTTGTGTCCACTCAGCCCAACACTGTGTATCTTTCTCCTTCCATAAATAAATTAAATTTCCCACATTACACTTTCTTATTACCAAATCCCCCGAAAATAGTAATTTAATTTACCTGAGACTCGATTTCTTTTTAAAAAAACATCGCATTTAATTTTTGTATCTTTCTTCATTTCGTGTATCTTATTTATGGTCGCCGGCGATGCCAACTGCCGTGAACGTAGCGAAGCAATGCTTAACGGCGGAAGCAGCCTACGCGCTAGAAGAAGCTGCAAACGTGGCGCGTCGACGAGGACACTCTCAAACGACGTCACTTCACGCCATCTCCGCTTTACTCTCTCTCCCAACCTCCGTCTTACGCGACGCTTGCGCTCGTGTCCGAAACACCGCTTACTCTCCTCGTCTCCAGTTCAAGGCGCTAGATCTCTGCCTCAGCGTTTCCTTGGATCGGATCCAGTCGGGTCAATCCGGATCCGATGATCCGCCCGTCTCGAACTCTCTCATGGCCGCGATCAAACGTTCTCAGGCTCACCAGCGTCGTCTCCCTGAGAATTTCAGGCTGTATCAAGAGATGTCACAGAACCAGAATTCGAATTCGCTCTCCTGCGTGAAAGTGGAGCTTCGTCAGCTGATTCTATCGATTCTGGATGATCCGGTTGTGAGTCGGGTTTTCGGTGAAGCGGGTTTCCGGAGCTCCGAGTTAAAGCTCTCGATTATCCGACCGATTCCTCACCTTCTCCGGTATTCGTCTCCTCGCGGACAGCAACAGCCTCTGTTCCTCTGCAACGTAACCGGAAATTATCCAGAACCGAATTTGAATCCACCGGTTCGATGGGGTTTCAGCGTACCGAACCGGAATCTCGCCGTGGATTCGGATCACCGGAGAATCAGCGCGGTTTTCACGAGGGAAAAAGGGAGGAATCCTCTGCTTGTGGGTGTATCGGCTTACGGTGTGCTAATCGATTTCTTAATTTCGCTGGAAAACCGAACCGACGTGACTCTACCGGCGAAACTCCATGGTTTAACCGTCGTTAACATAAGCTCTGACATTTCCGATCAGATCCTCGTCGAATTCGATCAAGCATACACCGATTCTAGATTTCGCGATTTGGGGAAGATGGCTGAGCAAAGCTCGGGACCTGGATTGGTGTTGAATTACGGAGATCTGAGAGTGTTCGTCGACGGCGAGGGAAACGGATCGGTGGCGAATTACATCGTGAGCCGGGTTTCGGAGCTGTTGCGGAGACACGGGAGGAGGGTTTGGTTGATCGGAGCGACGGCGAGCAACGAGGTTTACGAGAAGATGGTGAGGAAGTTTCCGAGTGTGGAGAAAGATTGGGATTTGCAGTTACTCGCCATCACTTCTCTTAACCCTTGTTTGCCTCACAACAAGTCCAGGTTACTTTCTTTTATCTCCCGCGCGTTTAGATTGTTTAACGTTTTGATCGCTTTTTTTGTCTATCGCGATATGGGATTCGCGCGGGATTTGTATATTTTTTTGTTTATAATCAAGAATTCAATTACACTTACACATGTTAAGCAATTCTTACATTTTAAATAGATGTACAAGTAATAAATATCTTTTAGGCTAAAGACATTTCAAATATATAAAAAAAATCAAATTATTTATATAGTTTTTATATTAAATCTTAATTATATGAATATAGGTTGGAGATCAATCGCTTGTTGAACCATTTTTTTAAACTAAATATTGTCTTATACTAAAACAACATTACCTTTCGAAAACACGTTACCAATCACTTCCAAAACAGTTTAATCTGGTAAATGACTTATTAATAGCTTGTTGTTAACAATCTCGAGTAAGGTATTTCCTTGATTTCCTTAGCAACAAGTATAATTTGTAGTCTTGATTATTTTTTTTAAGCTATATATAAGAACCCCTAATTTAAGATTTATTGATCTTTGCTGCTTGGATAAACAATCTAATTGTTTAACTTAATGGATCTTTGTTAATTTGTTCGTTTTTGTGTGTATAAATGTACTTCAATTGTTAAGAAAAAAAAATGGCTTTTTCAAACTTCTTTTGCGTTTTGACGTTTTCTTATATAATTTCTAAATGATGTTTGAGTTAAGCCCTAAGACATTGGTTTTTGTATGAGAACTGTTCTAATGGTTTAAAATGTAAATATAAAAGCAATAGATAAACAATGGCATAAATTTTAAAACAAAGAATCATTTGATTGTAGAATCAGAGCACTGATGTCCAATTTGACTTCTACATTCCTCTCTGGCACTAACTTTATGAGTGTATTTTTTTTTTCTCTCTTTGCTCTGTATCGATGTCTTAGATGATGTTGACACTTGAAATGTTGTAATTGAATACAGCTTGATGGGATCGTTCGTCCCATTTGGTGGATTCTTCTCAACTCCTTCTGACCTGAAACTACCCTTCTCCGGTTTCAAGAAAAAGATCACCGGACCGGTTTCTTCCATATCCGATCAGACCCAATCTACCTTGCCACCTTGGCTACAGATGACCACAAGAACCGATTTAAACCAAAAAACTGCTACCAAGGTCGGTATACTTTCTCTTTTCTCATGGAAGCATGTTTCTTGTGTTACAAGTTTCCTCGGTTAAATGCCTAGTTTCACCGAGCTATGTTAATTTCAACGTGTATTTACATTCCCTCAGTGCAGACCAAAGAAGGGTTGGAATCAGTTTCTGGAAACAACTCCACGAGCAGCGCTTCTGCATCGACCGGTTCTGCTAAATCGGTCACGACCGATCTGAATCTGATGATGTGCCCGGTCACCACAAGATCCGGTCTGGAGAATCCCTTGGATAGAAAAGATTTTGCTCAGCCACAATCTGCGTCCTCATCTTGCTTGGATAGTCCAAGAGACGTCAACGCAGAGAGTTTCAAGATTATATACCGAAGATTGACCGATAGGGTTTCAGGACAAGATGAGGCCGCTAGAGTTATCAGCTGCGCATTGTCACAACCCCCTAAGATTAGCACAAGAAGAGATGTTTGGCTCAATCTGGTTGGGCCTGATACCGTAGGGAAAAGGAGAATGTCGCTTGTCCTTGCTGAGATTGTGTATCAAAGTGAACACAGATTTATGGCCGTTGATCTTGGTGCCTCGGAGCATGGAATTGGCGGCAGTGATGATGCGAGTGCGATGCGGTTGAGAGGAAAAACAATGGTGGATCATATCTTTGAAGTGATGTGTAGGAATCCTTTCTGTGTGGTTTTTCTTGAGAATATTGAAAAAGCGGACGAGAAGCTACAGATAAGCTTGTTAAAGGCGATTGAAACCGGAAAGTTTATGGATTCGCACGGGAGAGAAGTTGGTATCGGAAACACCATGTTTGTTTTGACGTCAGCTTCACCGGAAGATTCAAGAACAACAACAGCCTCTTATTCTGAGGAGATACTCTTGAGTGCTAAAAGAAGGCAAATGGAAATATGGATAGAAACTGTGTCCATGTTACCAAATGTGAGATCGATTTCAAGCCCTAGCTCGGTGAACAAAAGGAAGCTGATGGGTTTGGGGAAAACTCAGGAGAAGAATGAGACTGTAGAGAAGGGAAAACGATTGAACAGAACAAGTAGTGGAGTTCTTGATCTGAACCTTCCGGCGCAAGAAACGGAAACAGAAGAAACAGATCATAGTGGAAAGAGCTCAAAGGTTTGGTTTGTGAACTTGAAGAATCACGACCGTCTGGTTGAGGTTCCTTTCAAGCCTTTTGATTTTGAAGGACTAGCAGAAAGAATAAGAAAGAGTGTAAGAGAAATGTTTGACAAGTGCGTGAGATCGGATAGCTTGCTGGAAATTGATCCTAAGATCATGGAACGATTACTTGCGGCTGTTTATTTCTCAGACAGTAGAAAAGATATCATCAAAGAGTTGATGGAGAAAGTAATGGCTCGAGTGTTCTTGAAAGTTAAAGAAAGGCATGAGATCAGTACAAGTTGTGTTGTAAAACTGGTTGGTCGAGATCTTGACATTTGTCGTGAGGATCAAATGGACTTGTTCCTTGTAAAATCTCAGTAGGTTAAAAGAAGGGTTTACTTGAAAAGTGTACAATATAAGATAGAGTTATTATTGTCCATTTATATTGCTATAGTATTATAATGTGTGTTATGATATGTCATGTAGTTGTGCGTCGGTCGTTCTCCTTGTTTGTAAGCATCAGTTTCTGTACGTAAATTAAAAGTTATAAAACCTTTCTAGTAGAAATTGGATTTCGAATTATAGTGTTTTACTTTAAATCACGATTTAGGTACGATTTGAAATTGTTTAAGAGATGTAAAGTTTCAATTTGTGGTGTTTGTTTCTTAGAGAGACTAAATGTTGATCGTGAACTTAAGTCTCTCTAACCAACAAACCACATGCATTTAGTGTTAGCTCATTGGTAAGAGAGACCAGAAGGCAGAATCGTTAGATACATGGATCATAATATACGTGAACTAACTCTCTAATCAACAAACCACACTAAATCTGTAGTTGGATTAATAAGAAAATTATATACAACTATGATTCATGATGTATCAAACAATTTTCACTATAACTCCATCAGAATAAAGCCTAAAGTTTCATCAGTATTAAATATTAATAAGCCTCGTTGAGCCAAATTGTCCGAGGTTAAAACCAAGCCCACGAAACTCGAGATCACAATCCCATCTCCTCAAGACCATTGGCCCACAAGTCGCCAGATGAGAAATTAAACTGACAGAACTAATCGTTAAAGGCTTGCTTGTAGCTAGATGTAATATCCTGACCCAAAATGGGATGTTACATTAAGACTTACCTATGAAAGAGATGCTGGATCATTTGGAAACACATATTATGAATCTTCCTAATCAACCCTTTTCTAGTTTTTACTCTTACTTCAGGAAACCAACGTTGTACTACCATTTAAACAGTTGTGTTGAGGCAACAAAGATATAAAAACCCCAATTTTCAATTCAGACTACTCCGTTTGAATTCTCACGTCTACAGTTTTATATTTTTTTCATTCTCCATGTCCTTTTTTCTTTCTTTTGCAATTGCAAGTATACGTTTGCTAGGTTTGGTATTAATTTGGTTTGGTTTTCTGTGATTAATTTCTGATTTATATGACTTAAATTCTGTGATTAAGAAAAAACAGTAGTTGTATATCAATTAGTGACTTGGTCCAAAATCTGATCTTAATTTGCTGACGAGTTTCTGGAAAATACTATGAAAGGCAAAACAAAAAAACTATGTCACAATATGACAACATCACATTGATAATTTTGCTATAATAATAAGTTGACCATCTAAATAAAGAACCAAGTTTGACCAGAAGAATCGTAGCAGAGTTTTTATTTTTCCGAGTCTCCTCAATCCTTCTTGAATTATCCGTATTCATATGATGCAACTTGGTATTATCAGTATTCAATGATCCAATTTGCTCAGAGACATACTATATAATTGTAGTTCTTCGTGGAAAGAAAATATTGGCATCAATGTCATATCACGTTGATTAAGGAGTATAATTGATACTATCTTGACTGAATACTATCTCATTACGTGTGATTGTAATACTTTAGGAAAGTAGATACGTTTGTATGAATATATATGTATGTCGAGACACAAGAATGAGAGATACAGAAAATTCTTTTATTCTTCTTCTCTTCCTCTGTTATCTTTTATGGTATCAGAGCCTGAACTATTTTTTTTCTGAAAAAAAACTGAGATTCGACAATGGGTGAAACAACACCGACCATGACAATACCACCGACCGCGACAATCATAGAAACACGACGAACCATCTCTGCATACGATCTGAGTGCCGCTGACAACCCTGGTGCGGTGATTTCTCACCCACTCCTGAAAGGCACTAACTACGACGAATGGGCAATCGGTATCAAAACCGCTTTATGCTCTAGGAAGAAATTTGGTTTCCTTGATGGATCCATCCCTCGTCCAAGCGACGACTCTTCTGACCTTGAAGATTGGTGGACTATCAACGCCTTGCTGGTTTCATGGCTGAAGATGTCCATCGATCCAGTTTTGCGCTCCAACATCTCTCATCGAGATGTGGCTCAAGACTTGTGGGAGAATTTGAAAAAACGATTCTCGGAGACAAATGGTCCTCGGATCCAGCAGCTGAAAACAGAGCTTGCTTGTTGCAAACAACGTGGCTTGGCGATCGAGGCCTATTTTGGCAAACTCAACAAGATTTGGGACAGTTTGGCTGCCTATCGTCCTCTATGTTCTTGTACCTGCGGAAAGTGTGTCTGTGACGTGGGAGCCAAGCAGGAGCTTGATCGAGAAGAAGACAAGGTTCATCAATTTCTCTACGGACTTGATGATACCTTGTTCCGCACTGTTCGCTCAAGCTTGGTGTCTCGACAACCCATTCAGCCACTGGAGGAGGTTTACAACATAGTGCGTCAAGAGGAAGATATGAGGAGACAAGGACAGAGCGACGACCAACAAGAAATCACTGCCTTTGCCGCTCAGACCCGTTTTCCTCGGCGTGATGAAAAAGACAAAGGAGTTCTGTGCAAACATTGCAACAGAGGAGGACATCCTTCGGAGAGCTGTTACGCACTGATTGGTTATCCCGAGTGGTGGGGAGAGCGACCTCGTTCTCGCTCAATGCAAACTCGTGGACGTGGGAGTTCCTCTACGACAGGAGCGACGGGTCGTGGTCGTGGTACACCGTCGTTCGCCAATGCTGTGCGAGTCAATGCTTCTCCGACTCCAGAACGTGCTAATCACGTTATCACTGACCAGGACCGAGATGGAGTTACGGGATTGTCGGATGAGCAGTGGCGTGCTTTGGTCGCTTTGTTGAACGGCGGCAAGAACACCACCACTGAAACCCTCACTGGTATGAATTCTCTTCCTTACTGGATATTGGATACTGGTGCATCGCACCATATCACGGGAAATTTCGCAATGCTGACAAATGTTCGAGATATGGCTCCTGTGATAGTCATATTAGCAGACGGACATGAAAAGATATCTGTCAAAGAAGGGACAGTACATCTCGGGTCTGGTCTGATTTTGCAGTCGGTCTTTTATGTTGAAGGGTTTCAATCGGATTTGATTTCTCTTGGTCAGTTGATGGATGAGAATCGGTGTGTGGTTCAAATGGCTGATCACTTCCTTGTTGTTCAGGACCGCACTTTGAGGATGGTGATTGGAGCGGGTAAGCGTGAGGGAGGGACCTTCCTTTTTCATGGTGTGGAGACTGTGGCAGCGGTGACAACACGAACGGCTTACGACTTGTGGCATAACCGTATGGATCATCCGGCTCCGAAGATAGTGGGTTTACTACCAGCTATATCTTTTTCTATTTCTTCTGAAATTTCGAATAAAGCGTGTGATGTCTGTCTCCGCGCAAAGCAAACACGAGCTTGTTTCCCAACTAGTTTGAATAAAACAACTTCAATCTTTCAGTTAGTACACTGTGATCTTTGGGGTCCCTATCGCACATCATCTCACTCTGGTGCTCGATATTTTTTGACCATCGTCGATGATTTCTCAAGGGCAGTCTGGCTATATCTGCTCGTTGACAAGACAGAGGCACCTATCCAATTGAAAAACTTTATCAATTTGGTTGAGAGGCAATTTGAGAAACAAGTGAAAACGATTAGGAGTGACAATGGTACCGAGTTTATTTGCCTCTCAGAATATTTTCAAGGCAAAGGAATTGTTCACGAAACCTCCTGTGTCGGAACACCTCAACAGAACGGTAGAGTTGAGAGGAAACACAGACACATCCTTAACGTCGCACGAGCTCTCCGGTTTACCGCCAATTTACCGATTGAGTTTTGGGGAGAATGTATTATCACCGCCGGTTACCTTATAAACCGCACTCCGAATCAACTACTGCAAGGATCAACACCTTATGAACGTCTACACAACTCCGCTCCACCATACGATCATTTGCGAGTGTTTGGTAGCTTGTGTTATGCACACAATCAAGGTCATAAAGGCGACAAGTTTGCTCCAAGAGGAAAACGGTGCATCTTTGTTGGTTATCCCCATGGAAAGAAAGGCTGGAGGCTTTACGATCTTGAGAAGAAAGCGTTCTTTGTTTCCAGAGATGTGGTCTTCTGCGAAACTGAATTTCCGTTTCTTACTCGTACAAAACAGAGGAACGAAGAAGATGATGACTTTGTGGGCTCTAACTTGTCGACTCCAATTTTTTCTCCTATAATCATTGAAGAACCTATAGTTGGGCCCATTTCCTCAGGCCCAGTCATGGCCCAAACAGAAACACCTCCTTCTGATCCTGATACGTCACCGTCTCCCTCACCACCACCAACTCCGCCATCTCCGACACATACCACGTCTCCACCAGTCTCTCACACTACTGTCGACCCTCCCGACGAAAACCTGGATGATTCTGATGACGTTGGCACCTCAACAGTGATACCTGAAAATCCACCTGAAATTCTAGGTCGGGGACACCGCAGGAAGCAAGCGCCGGTGACCCTCCGAAATTTTGTTACCAATGCCGTCAACGTCGCTCTACTTCCCGGCGGAGGTACATCGGCTACTTCTCTTTACCCCATTTCCTCCTATATCACATCATCTCGATTTGCTCCACGCCATCAAGCTTATCAAGTTGCAGTGATAAAAATGGTGGAGCCGAAGTCATATAGATATGCTGTGACTGATTCGAATTGGAGAATTGCTATGGGCTCTGAGATTAAAGCATTGGAGCTTAATCAGACATGGGATCTGGTCGACTTACCTCCTGGAAAGAAAGCTCTTGGGTGTAAATGGGTTTACAAAATCAAACACAAATCTGATGGGAGTATCGAACGGTATAAAGCACGATTAGTGGTGCTCGGAAATCATCAAAAAGAAGGAGAAAACTACGACGAAACCTTTGCTCCAGTTGCTAAGATGGATACGGTTCGATTGTTCTTAGGCGTAGCTGCAGCAAAGGGATGGGATGTTCAACAGATGGACGTCCATAACGCCTTTCTCCATGGTGATCTCAACGAGGAGGTTTACATGAAGTTGCCTCCAGGATTCAAGACAGCAGATCCAACAAAGGTGTGCAAACTTCGAAAATCTCTTTACGGTCTCAAACAAGCACCGCGCTGCTGGTTCGCCAAACTGAGTACTGCTTTGAAAGAGTATGGTTTTAAACAGTCTCTCTCTGATTACTCACTTTTCACTTATGAGCGACGAAGTGTCAAGGTGAATTTGTTGGTTTATGTTGATGATCTGATTATCTCAAGTAACACGGCAAAATCTATGAAGTTTTTCAAGGCCTACTTGTCATCTTGCTTTCACATGAAGGATCTTGGTCAACTTAAGTACTTTTTGGGGATTGAGGTGGCCAGAAACTCAACCGGCTTTTACTTGTGTCAACGCAAGTACACATTGGACATTATCAATGAGGTGGGGTTGCTTGATGCTAAACCGTCGACATTTCCGCTAGAACAGAATCACAAGCTAGCTTTATCCACCTCTCCAATACTTAGTGATCCCGAGCGTTACCGCAGATTGATTGGGCGTCTTATCTACTTAGCGGTAACGCGTCCTGAACTCTCCTACTCTGTTCATATTATGGCTCAGTTTATGCAAGTGCCGCGACAAGCTCACTGGGATGCGGCATTACGCATAGTTCGTTATCTGAAACACAATCCAGGACAAGGGATTTTGTTGAAAAGCTGCTCAGATTTAAAGATTAGAGGATGGTGTGACTCGGACTATGCTGGTTGTCCTCTATCAAGGAAGTCTCTTACTGGCTACTTTGTACAATTTGGTGATTCTCCAATTGCTTGGAAAACCAAGAAACAGAAAACAGTGAGTCGGTCTTCTGCAGAAGCTGAGTACCGTGCAATGGCTCATCTCACCTCTCAGCTTATCTGGATGAAGAGAATTCTTATTACACTTGGAGTTCCTCATCCCGAACCAATGTCACTGTATTGCGACAGTAAAGCGGCGATCCACATCGCTACTAATCGAGTGTTCCATGAAAGGACAAAACACATTGAAGTTGACTGTCACTTTGTGCGTGATGAGCTCCTAAAAGGTACCTTGCAAGCTACACATGTCTCTACACATTTACAATTAGCTGACATTTTGACAAAAGCGTTGGGTCGGCGAGAATTTGTAGAATTTCTTGGCAAGTTGGGCATTATGGACCTTCATACTCCAACTTGAGAGAGGGTATTGGCATCAATGTCATATCACGTTGATTAAGGAGTATAATTGATACTATCTTGACTGAATATTATCTCATTACGTGTGATTGTAATACTTTAGGAAAGTAGATACGTTTGTATGAGTATATATGTATGTCGAGACACAAGAATGAGATATACAGAAAATTCTTCTATTCTTCTTCTCTTCCTCTGTTATCTTTTAGAAAACTATGCACATTATCTATCGATAATCAGAGGCTGTCAATTTGATTAGAAAAGTGTAGTTATCATGATAAAAAGGAAATTAAGCTTACATAAAAATATAAAACATAACTTCGTTTTCCGAAATGAATTGTACAAATACATGTTATATTTCTATTTCCTCTAAAAAAAGTACATGTTATCCGTCAGTTATCGATTGAGAGAGTTCACTTTTGTAAAGTAAATACGTAAATTAAAAACAGGTTCTGATTTGTAAACCATTGGTTTTATCATTTACGTGGAATAGTATAAGGATTAAGGACTGATTGTAGGGCAAACTCAGAAGATTGAAATAATAGTCAAATGATCAAATCGAACGGACTAGTCCATTATATGTTGTGTGATCGAGATTGAAACTAATTAAAAAGAAAGAGGAGAAAAGATAAGTGGATATTTAAATTTAGAAATGGTTAGTTAAAGGTTCTCTTTTGATATATAGCAAAGAGATTAAAAATGGAGAAAAGTAGAAGCGGGCGGCCAAGTGAAGACATTCTCTGTCGCCCACCCAAACTCCAAAGGAGAGAAGGCGTGCCTCACTTCCTCTCTTTCTTTTTCTCCTTCCACGCGCTTCTCATTGTGCGTGTTCCTCACTTGCTTTCCCTTAATCACTCCATTACAACTACTAGTCTACTACAAGAACGAGACCACTGCTTTTGATCTATGTATATCAGTAACATATGAAATATTGCAGACCATTAAAATAAAGCATATCAAGTTTGATCTCTATTATTTAGTGTTTAGTATCTGGATTTTAACTCTTTTAAATAACATCTTGATGTTCATCTTTTTTTATCATTGAATGTGCAATGTTTGAATATATCAAGTAAAATAGGTTAAAAATGTTGTATTTATAAAATTTAACAACTGATAGAAAAAATAGTTTTCTCCTGATTTGGAAAAAGGAATATTTATAAAGTTAAGCAAAAAAAAAAACAGAATTGATCATAGGTTTAAAATAGTACTTCTTGTGTGCTTTAATTGAATTTACATCTTTGATGTGAATTTGAGTTCTATAGCTTTATGTGATCATATCTATGTTTGCCCAATAATAGATAATTATGACTTCTTTTTGTTAAACAAGTCTATCTTCTTTGAAGTTACCATCAAAATTTTCAAAAATATTATAGACTTCAAATTTGGGTTTATAAAAGGTTTCATAAGCATAATATATGTGATATTCTAATATAATATTTTAGAGGTTAAACCTTGTTTTACACTAGTGTTTTGATGTATTTTCTTATTAGTATTACTGTAATACTTTTATATATATAAAAAAAAAAAAAAAAAATCAAGTTTAAAATTACGATAAGAAAGAAGAACGAACACAAAGGTCTTAAGAAAACCAGTATACTCGCAGGTAGCCCCCACGGCTCATGAAAGCGCGTGTTATAGTGGAGGTACACACACACGCGTGTAAAAGGGTTACCTGCTAAGCCGGTCGATTTATCGAATGTGGTGGGTCCCTTGCACATCCCCAACTCCATTTTCCATTATCAACCTCATATGATATGACATATCTACGTTCTTTTAATTTCTTTTTAAAAATACAATTATTTCTTAAAGATCTATTTGGAGACAATTTGTAGTACAATATCTCAGGATCTCTGCCCATACATTTTTCCGGACACACACACGCACACCCATGCATTAGTATACATTTATCATGCAGACGACAGTAGATCTCGTCAGATGTCAAAATTCAATGTCTTTTGAAATTTGAACTATCTTGTCCAGATATACTACTTAACTATTTGGCTGTAAGTCTTTTCTGTAACCAGCTAAAATGCATGCAAATAATTACATATTAAATACAAATTTTGGGAATGGTAACAACACCATATAAATTTGGGTTACCGGATGGATTAGGTTAGTTTTTTTTAGAATTCTTTTCTATAACTAAAACAAAGTTATGGATTAGAAATATAGTAGGTGATAAACAAAATCAGAAATTGTTCCGGTCAGAAAAACCAAATAAGTGCATGAACTATTATCTAAAAACTCAAACCTAAAAAAGGTTGTTATCTAGAAACGATAAATACATTATACATCCAAGATGAGACTTTTTCTTTAAAAATGTTAAGAAGGGGTATTGTTTGTTCCCCTCAAGAAACTTTGCTTTTGATCATTTTAAAAAGACATTTTTGAAAAAATCAATGAGATAGGAAGGTAATATAATATGAAAAAAAGAAAGATTAAAAAAACAAATAGAGTATAAACAGTCAGCAAAACAGCGACGTCCTTACCTTTCAAAAGTTCCCAGTTTTGACTTTTGACCTAAACCATTTCCATGACGAGTAGAAAAAAACAAAAGAAAACAAAAATTTATAAAAGAAAGTAAATAAATATTAGATGTGTATATATTAAAGAAAAGGAGACCGAGAAAGGTAGACGAAAGAAAGAGCGCACCTTCCTCTTTCCTTCTTCGCAACGAAGCTCTCTTTTATAAGGAGCCTCACATTTCTCTATTGATCCTTCTCCAAAACCCCAAACCACTTCTTCTTCTTCCTCTCAAATCCACAAAGTTTGTAACTTCCATCCTCTCTTTCCTCCAAGTTATCTTCTTCTCTAGGTATGTGGCTTTCCCTTTCCTTCTTCTTCCATGTTGTCTAGTTTTCTTAAATCCATTTCCTCTGTTTTTGCTACTTCTAGAATAAAAATCTAATCTTTGATAATTTTGGGTTTGTTAGTCTTGATTCTTTAAGAGGCTTTTAAATTCTCAGCTTAAATCTTGAGGCTTTTGTGGTTTTTATGGCTTGATTTTGACCTCTTCTTTCCTTTTTCATTCCATGAAGTTATTAAAGACGAAAAAGTGTTGACTAGAAACGGTCGTTAGAAATGATTCAACTGCTTTAATGATGTTTTCTTAAATTGGGGCATAATTTTTGGTTATAAAGAATCTTAGAAATGTAAAATCAAAATCGAAATTTTGGAATCTTTAAATCTTGTTTCTTTCTCCTTACGGGTTTTCACACTTTTTGAATCTCACAGAGAGAGAGATATGTGCGGCTCAAAGAGCAACCTCTGCTCTACCAAATCCCTAACAGAAGCCATGAGGCTGAAATCAGAAGACGCCGCCGCCGCAGCCGCCACGTATCTTCTCGAATTCGCCGCCTGCGACGATCTTCCATCGTTCAAGCGAGAGATCGAAGAGAAACAGCTCGAAATCGACGAACCGGGTTTTTGGTACTGCAGACGGGTCGGGTCAAAGAAGATGGGTTTCGAAGAGAGAACGCCTCTCATGGTCGCCGCTACCTACGGAAGCATCGACATCCTAAATTACATAATCGCCACCGGAAAATCCGACGCGAACAGAGTCTCCGGCGACGAGAGAGTCACAGCTCTTCACTGCGCGGTCTCCGGCTGCTCCGTCTCCGTCGTCGAAGTCATCAAGATCCTGCTCGACGCCTCCGCTTCGCCTAACTCCGTCGACGCCAACGGGAATAAACCGATCGATCTGTTGGTTCGAAATTCCCGGTTTATCCCTAACCAGAGTAAAAAATCAATTGAGCTTCTCTTAACCGGAAATCAAATCTCGGTTAGTTTGGTTCAAGAAACAGAGGAGGAAGAAGAAGTGAGGAGTGTTGTGACTAAGTATCCAGCTGATGCGTCGCTTCCCGATATCAACGAAGGAGTCTACGGCACAGACGAGTTTCGAATGTTCAGCTTCAAGGTCAAGCCATGCTCGAGAGCTTACTCTCACGACTGGACCGAGTGTCCTTTCGTGCATCCTGGCGAGAACGCGAGGAGGAGAGATCCGAGGAAGTATCCGTACACTTGCGTGCCGTGTCCCGAGTTTCGTAAAGGCTCTTGCCCTAAAGGAGATGCTTGCGAGTACGCGCACGGCGTCTTCGAGTCTTGGCTTCACCCGGCTCAGTACAGGACACGGCTTTGTAAAGACGAGACCGGTTGCGCGAGGAGAGTCTGTTTCTTCGCTCATAGAAAAGACGAGCTTAGACCGGTTAACGCTTCAACCGGGTCTGCTATGGTCTCGCCGCGGTCCTCGTCGTCTTCGTCTCCTGAGATGTCGGTTATGTCGTCGCCGATGAGCTCTCCTATGGGGAGTAACGGTGTTCCTTGTTCTCCAAGAAACGGTGGTGGGATGTGGCAGAACAGAGTTAACAGCCTCACGCCGCCGCCGTTGCAGCTTAACGGTGGTAGTAGATTGAAGTCGAGTTTGAGCGCGAGAGATATGGATATGGAGATGGAGCTTAGGCTTCGGAGACTCAGTGACTTCAAGTCGTCTAATCTGGAAGAGAGTTTTGGATCGATGCTTCAATCTCCGAGCAGGATGAATCATTATCCTTCTTCTCCTGTGAGGCAACACGGCTTTGAATCTTCAGCGTCCATGGCAGCAGCTGCGGTGATGAACGCGAGATCATCGGCGTTTGCGAAACGCAGCTTGAGTTTCAAGCCAGCTCCGGTGGCTTCTTCGAATGTCTCTGATTGGGGATCGCCGAATGGGAAGCTGGAGTGGGGGATGCAGAGAGATGAGCTGAATAAGTTGAGGAGAAGTGTCTCATTCGGTATTCATGGAAATAATAACAACAACAATGTGTCGCCGCGTCCTGTGAGAGACTACAGTGACGAGCCAGATGTGTCGTGGGTGAATTCACTGGTGAAAGAGAGTGGACCGGAGAGAGCTTTCGGGTTGAATGGTGAGAGGGTTGGGAGCACGGTGAATGATGGTGGAGCGGTTAGGGAGCAGTTTAAGCTGCCGTCATGGGCAGAGCAAATGTACATAGACCATGAGAAGCAGCAGATTGTGGCGTAAGAAGTAAGAAGCAGAAAGAAAAGATTGGGAAGTTTCTTCTTGGGCCTCACTCTACACACAGAATCTAACAAATCTTGCACTAATTCTTTGATTTGTGTTTGACCCTAATAGATTGTTAGTATATGTTTTTTTATATTCTCTTGTTTTTTCTTTTCTTTTCCCCTTGTCATTCTCTTGTCTTATGTGACACTATGTAATGATTAAAAGCGAATAATTGATGAAAGAGTTCAAGTGTTCTTTCATCTTTGAAAGATCTTAATAATATCAGTGCAATTGTTGTGATATCTTTAATCTTACGGTAACTACTTTCACAGACTGGAGAAGTATAGAAATTCAAATGCTTAGACAAATTTGGGCTCACTCTTAGGACTGGTCTCTATATTTTGAAAAATGTTAGTCAGCTGATTCATTTTTAGGTTAACAACAAGGTTAAGATTTAAGAACAGCATGGAACATGTGGTATATTTATTTTTGTACTCCTACAGTCCTACTAGATGAGAAAATCCATACCATGTGACAGTATCGCATTAAATCTTTTCATTTTCTTGGTCTTATCAATGTGTATTATTAGTTAATGTTAATCACCTGTTCTCGAGGTTGCCAAAATATAAACTACGGCTGGATTTGAGATTCAGATTTGTAGCAGCATATAAATTTTTGAAACTGTGGTCCATAAGCAATGTGAGAAAATTATACTCTGGTTCTCAAATCTGATGAGGGAAAAGTAACTAACAAGCTGCTTCTTATACATTTAGTCTGTAGGTACGGATCGAGTCAAAGTTAGTGATTAAAAAGAGCAAATAATTGATGAATGAGTTCAATTGTTCTTTGAAAGATCTTAATAATATCATTGTCTACTTGTTAAGATATCTTTAATCTTACCGGTAATAGTTTAAGATTGGAGAAGAGCAGAAACTCAAGTGCTTAGACAAATTAGTATTGATAACAAAGCTCTAGCTATTACGGCTAACAAAGACTGGTCTCTATATTCTCAAAAATGTTAAAGGATACTGATTCATTTTGTCGTTAATAACAGCATGAAAAAAGTGGTCTATGTATTTCATTACAAAAGAAAATCCATACCATGTGAGTAAGTGACAATGTGGCATTGGTGTTACCTATGTGTATTAACGCGACAATGTGGCATTGGTGTTACCTATGTGTATTAATGCTAACGACCTTTTATCGAAATTGCCAAAATATGAACTATGCACTGGATTTGAGAATCAAATTTGTGGCAGCATATATAGTACTATTTAATTCAATAAAAAACAAAAAAGTGTAGTCCATAAACTAGTTTACTTTTGCTTTGCTAAACTTTATTATTAATTAAGTCTATGATTGTCGATTTTGTAAGAGTGAGTTTACATTTTTGATTCTAAAGAGGAAAAGAAACGGAGAAAACTAGAGAAAGTCATGAGTCAGTGTCACCAATTAAGCTTTTAAGGCCAAAAAACTACAAAAAGCCATAGTAAAGTCTAATTCGCATTATTATTGTTAATCTTCGTTACTATAATCTCTCTCTCTCTCTCTCTCTCTCTCTCTCTGAGCCACATACCGACACTTACATAGCTCCTCTTCTTCTTGATCAGATGCAACCCTCACGAACAAAAGTTCTACTGTTTGAGACAGGAGCGATCATGAAACAGAGGAAGAAGAGTAACCTCTCAATCTTCGTGATCGTCTTCTCCCTTTTCCTCTTCGGGATCTTCATGTACAATGACAACCTCAAGTTGAAATCCATTGCTTACTTGACATCTTCAAACCTATTCTCTATTAATCCATTTGAAGACGTAGGCGACGCGGAGCTGCCGCCGGAGGATTGCGATCTCTTCACCGGAAAATGGGTACTCGACTACAAGACGCATCCATTGTACAAAGAGGAGGAGTGCGAGTTCTTGACGGAGCAAGTAACTTGCTTAAGAAACGGAAGGAAAGATTCTCTGTTTCAGAGTTGGAGATGGCAACCAAATGACTGTTCTTTGCCAAAGTAAAGCTAATTCTTTTCAAATGCTCTGTTTTTTTTTCCGGTTTGATCGATTCCGGTTTTTGGATAATTTAATTGTTTTCTCTGAATTACTGATTTTGGTTTTTTGAAAGATTCAAGGCGAGAGTGTTGCTAGAGAAGCTGAGGAACAAGAGATTGATGTTTGTCGGTGACTCGCTTAACCGGAACCAATGGGAATCAATGGTTTGTTTGGTTCAATCAGTGGTTCCTCCCGGTAGAAAAAGCTTGAACAAGACCGGTTCTCTCACAATTTTCCAAATCCAGGTAAAGAGCTAAAACACTTGTCTCACACTGACACCAATGACATTACTTCTTTGTAGTTTCTTGTCTTTTAATTTCTTTTTCTTTTTTCTTACAAAGGACTATAACGCGACGGTGGAGTTTTATTGGGCGCCATTTCTGGTGGAATCGAATTCAGACGATCCGACAATGCACAGCATAGTCGACCGTGTAATAATGCCGGAGTCCATCGAGAAGCATGGAGTCAACTGGATAGGCGTTGACTTTCTTGTCTTCAATAGTTACATCTGGTGGATGAACACTCTCTCCATCAAAGTCTTGTAAGTAGTAATATAATTATATATACACTAATACACATGTACACATTCATGTCTAAAATGTAACGAATTTGTTCATCTTTTGATGATGGATGAAAACAGACGAGGATCGTTCGATGAAGGGGACACAGAGTATGATGAGATCAAACGGCCAATAGCATACGAGAGAATGTTGAGGACATTGGGAGATTGGGTGGACCATAACATTGATCCTCTAAGTACAACCGTTTTCTTCATGAGCATGTCTCCTCTTCACATCAAGTAATTAATTAATTTCTCTCATCCATTTTAATTAATCTTTTTAATTTAATTCATCATTAATTTTTTGTTTTGTTTCATTAGGAGTTTGGATTGGAATAATCCTAAGGGTATAAAGTGTGCTTTAGAGACGACACCGATCTTAAACACGTCCATGACGTTCAATGCTGGGACGAACTACATACAGTTTTCAGAGGTGGGGACGGACTACAGGCTGTTTCCGTTGGTGGAAAACGTCACGCAGTCTCTCAAAGTTCCTATTCGTTTCATCAACATCACTGGACTGTCTGAGTATCGTAAAGATGCACATACTTCTGTTTACACGATCAAGCAAGGCAAATTGCTGACGAAGGAGCAGCAAAGTGATCCGGAAACTTATGCTGATTGTATTCACTGGTGCTTACCTGGTCTACCTGATACTTGGAATGAGTTTCTTTATACGTATATCATTTCGAAATCGAAATCTTCATGACCCCTAAAGAATGTAATTATTTGAAATTCTCTCATCCTATTTTTTGGAATATTTTTAAAAATTTACTGTGAATTTGTGAAGTATATAGATTGAGATTCAAGAGATATAAAGTCTGCAAATGTATGCCATGTAATGGTTTTGTTAATAAGGCTTGGCAATTTTACCACATGGGTTTTATTCAACATTTGACTTCTATGAGGTCTCACCAAAAGGGTTTACCAAGAAAACATTAAAAGGATTGTATCTTGTTGCAATGCCCATTCTGCTACTAAACTGAAAATCTGAAGACATTTGTCTCATGAGTCATGACATTTGTTAAATAAGTGAACCAAACAATTTTTGTGGTTTATTCATTTTCTTTTCTCCAAGGTTTACATGCATGCTGCTTCTTGTTTTCGATTCTTCATTTCCAAACTTTTCTCGAAGAAGTTTAGTTTTCAATCTACATGTCAACATACAAATTTAGTTTGTAAATTGAGAGACGAAATAATGCACCTGCGAACATAGCTACTTATAATGCGACATGCAATTATTATTGTATGAGTTATTATGAAACTTGAAAGCTGTAATTAGTAACATTTGTTTGTTAGATAGAATTGAGAAATTTTATGAAATACACCTTTTGAGGTGCAAATTTTCAAAACTACACCTATAGTGTGGAAATTTTCAAAAATACACATTTTCCCAATTTTAATATATATGTTTGGGTTCACTAATCCTAGATTAAGGTTTAGATTTTGGGGTTTAGGGTTTAGATTTTAGGGTTTTTGATTTATATTTTAGGGTTTAAAGTTCTTTTAGTCAATGAAAAAAGTGTAGTTTTGAAAATTGATATCATAGAGGTGTATTTTTGAAAATTGGCACCTCAAGAAGTGTAGTTTTGAAATTTCTCCGATAGAATTGTATACATAGTATTATTTACACTGAAAACCACATTTAATTGATATTGGCTATGCAATGAAAAACCCCACAATCTCCATGTTCTGCCAAAGCTTGCTTTTCCCAAGGTCTTTCCCTGATGAGCAGAAGGCAACACTTGCTGCAAAGCCATGCAACTTCTACACAATTGTTGATCACAAGACATTTTTCTCACATTTCTCAAGAAATTTGTTAAATAAGCGAACATTTTCACAGGGTAACATATATTTTACAAATCTTACAATTTATAGTAAATGACAAGATTGGTAGGTGTTGTATTATCAGGGAAAAAAAGAAAAGAAAAGAAGCAGTTGTGTATTATCAGCTCCATAATTGTAAAAGATGTTGAATTAGTTGAAACTACGAACTTCTTGATTAACCAACTACGACCCCAACATTCATAATTGTTCAACCATATGTTCAGAAACAGAAGAAACAGAATTTCACAAGATGAAACAGTCTTGGCTCTACTGTATACTACTTTTTCTTCCGTTGCTCCTTCTCGGACGCTATCTGTACAACGAGAACCAGAGGATTCGCCAGTTTCAAGAAATCAAAACGCACACCCTTCAAGAACACAACAATCCACCGCAAGAAAGCAAAGAAGTTAAAGACAAGGAGATCGATCACGTGCCATTAGAAGTCTGCGATGTTTTCACAGGAAAATGGGTTCTTGATAACGTCACACATCCTTTATACAAAGAAGACGAATGCGAGTTTCTCTCAGAGTGGGTGTCATGTACAGGAAACGGAAGACCAGACTCTAAGTACCAGAAATGGAGATGGCAACCTCGAGATTGCTCTTTACCAAGGTCAGTTCCAATTTCTTGACAACAAAGAGAAGCAAATTTCATGACACTCTCCTCTCAAAAGACTCTATCTTTTTTGTGTTCTAGGTTCGACGCAAAGCTGCTACTAGAGAAACTCAGGGGAAAGAAACTAATCTTCGTTGGTGATTCAATACATTACAACCAGTGGCAATCCATGGTTTGTATGGTCCAATCCATCATTCCCTCTGGCCAAAAGACCTTAAACCACACAGCACAAATGTCAATCTTCAACATCAAGGTCTTACACCATAGATTATGCAAAGAAAAATTCTATATTCCAAGAAGCAAACAACTCCTAATCTTACTATTTTTGAATGTGTAGGACTACAATACAACCATAGCCTTTTACTGGGCACCTTTATTAGTGGAATCAAATGCAGATCCTCCAGACAAGAGAGATGGGAAGACGGATCCAATAATCATACCTCAATCAATCTCCAAGCATGGAGAAAGCTGGAAAGACGCAGATTATCTCCTTTTCAACACTTACATTTGGTGGACCAGAAGCTCCAAGATCAAAGTTCTGTAAGTCATGTTTTCAAGTCTCTCTACTAAATTCCAAAAAACTCCAATTTTGCCAATCCTGTAAAAAAAAGTCTCTACCTTTACAATGATGCTTGAAGAAAACAAGGATCTTTCAGCCAAGAGTCAAAAGATTCCGATGAAATTGGAATCTACATTGGATACGAACAAGTGCTACGAACATGGGCAAATTGGCTAGACCAAAACATTGACCCAAATCGAACATCCATCTTCTTCAGCAGCATGTCACCAACTCATATCAGGTACTATCAAAATTTGCAGTAAAGACTCTTCCTTTTTCGATTTCAATTGACGACACATTTCAAAAATTTGCAACAGGAGCTCAGATTGGGACGTTAATGGAGGAAGCAGCAAGTGCGAGAAAGAGACAGAGCCTATACTCGAAAACACGTCACGACGATTAGAAGTTGGAACAAATCGGAGGCTTTACGAAATCGCAGTGAACGTGACGAAATTGACGATGAAAGTGCCGATTCGTTTCCTCGACGTAACGACGATGTCAGAGTACAGGAAAGATGGGCACACGTCTTTTTACGGTTCGCGGAGTGGGAAGCTCTTGACGCCGGAGCAGAGATCGGATCCGAGAACGTTCGCCGATTGTTATCACTGGTGTCTTCCCGGATTACCAGACACGTGGAATGAGTTGCTCTCTCTCTACATTATCTACAGAGCTTGAAGAAATTATACTTTTGTTGGGGTAAATTTTGAATTTTGCTTTTATGATTCACAAATTTTTCCAACCAACAAAACCGGTTGGTTTAACCACTGAACCGGATTGATTGGTTACCAAACCGACCGATGTTCTTTCTTTTGGTTTATGCCTTTGGAGTTTGGTTGGAAATTTGTGAGCTGTAGTTTATTAATGCAACACAATTCTCTCATCTTCAAGCAATTACTCCCTCTGTTTCACAATATAAGGGGTTTTGGAGTTTTTTTTGTTTCATAATATAAGGGGTTTTCAAATTTTTGTGCAAAACTAAATGTGTTTTTGTTACTTTTGATTATTTATATTGTGCATAATAATTTTTCATTGGTTGGAATGTTTTGAAATTGATGAGCAAATATATTTTATTGTAAAAAGTACAGAAATTAAATGGACTTTTGTGCAAAAACTAAAACCCCTTTATAATGAAACAGAAGGAGTATAGTTTAATCAATAGAAAAACATGTTACTTGGATCCAATTTTTTTATTATTTACATACTTAAAACATACACATGAGGGATCATTAATAGCGTTGACAAAAAAAAAAAAAAAAATCTTGCTGCAAATCCAACTGTTAACTAAATTGAAGATCTCAAGACATTTTTCTCACAATTCTCAAGACATATTTTTTCGTTAAATAAGTGCAGCAGATATAGAAACTATCCATAATCATTTCTTCTCCTATGTCAAGAAACAGAATCTAACAATAAAAGATGAAACAAACTGATGGTACAGAGAGGAATGCTTACCTTACTAAGCTATACTTTATATTCCTTGTTCTTTCGGTGCTCCTTCTCAGATTCTATCTATACAATGAGAACCGAGGATCAGCCAGTTTCAAGAACACATCAGTCCACCACAAGGAAGCAAAAGAGTTGAAGACAAGAAGAGTACTACTAATGTGGTGCCATTAGAAGTCTGCGATGTTTTCACAGGGAGATGGTTCTTGACAACGTCATGTTGGATATCAATTCAAGTCCCACATCGGAATATTAGATAAAAAGTGTCTAATATATAAGTAGTGTCTAACCTAACTAGTATGAGGCCTTTTGGGAAGAAACCCAATAACAAATCCGTGAGGGCTAAGATACATGGACCCAAAGCGGACAATATCATACTAGTTAGATGGTTGGACACGGGCTTGAGAAAAGTCCTTTAATTGGTATCAGAGCCTAGATCAAAAAAAGTGGACCTGTGAATGTTGGCATTACAAAAAGATGTGAGAAGAAAGCCCTCAAGCTAGACCTTGCGATAAGGGAAGCCCAGATTCTTGTGCAGAGTCCCGTAGAGGAGTTACGGCAGTACAAGAAGGGAGCCAAGTTTCGCTAAAAGGCCACAAGAAGGTGGAGGAGTCACGAGTTATGTGGTTCTTGGCTTGAAGGGGAGAATGTTGGATATCAATCCAAGTCACACATCGGAATATTAGACAAGAAGTGTTTAATATATAAGTAGTGTCCAACCTAACTAGTATGAGGCCTTTTGGAAAGAAGCCCAATAACAAATCCGTGAGGGCTAAAATACATGGATTCAAAGCGGACAATATCATACTAGTTAGATGGTTGGACACGGGTTTGAGAAAAGCCCTTTACGTCACACATCCTTTATACAAAGAAGACGAATGTGGGTCTCTCCCAGAGTGGGTGGCATGTACGAGAAACGGCAGACCAGACTCTAAGTACCAGAAATGGAGATGGCAACCAACAAAATTGAGTCTCTCTTCTTCTTCTTTCAGAGACTTTTGTTCTTGTGTTCTAGGTTTAACGCAAAGTTGCTATTAGAGAAACTTAGGGGAAAGAAACTAATGTTCATTGGTGATTCAATACACTTTAACCAGTGGCAATCCATGGTTTGTATGGTCCAATCCACGATTCAGTCAGGGAATCATACCTTTAACAACACAGCACAAATGTCAATCTTCAACATTGAGGTCTTCTTCTTACAACAAAAAAAAAAAAAAAACAAAAGCTCCAAATCCAAATCTTACCTTTTTGAATGTGTAGGAATACAATGCAACCATAGCATTTTACTGGGCACCGTTCCTAGTGGAATCAAATGTAGATCCTCCAAGCATGAGATATGGGAAGACGGATCCAATAATCACACTGCAATCAATCTCCAAGCATGGCGATTACTGGAAAGACTCAGATTATCTCGTTTTCAACACTTATATATGGTGGTTGAGACATCCCAAGATCAAAGTTCTGTAAGTCTCTCTACCAAATTCCCTATTTTTCACCAATCCTGTATAAAAAGTCTCTACCTTTATGATGATGCTTGAAGAAAGCAAGCATCTTTCAGCCAAGGGTCAACAGATTTCGATGAAATTGAAATCTATATTGCATACGAACAAGTGCTACGATCATGGGCAAACTGGTTAGACCAAAACATCGATCCGAATCGAACATCGGTCTTCTTCAGCAGCATGTCACCAACTCATGTCAGGTACTATCAAATTTTGCAGTAAAGAGTAAAGACCCTTCCTTTTTTTTCGATTTCTCTTCATGACAGATTCAAAAATTTGCAAACAGGAGCTCATATTGGGGCGGTAATGAAGGAATCAGCATGTGCGGGAAAGAGACGGAGCCTATTCAGCTCAACACGTCAAGACAATTAGACGTCGGAACAAATCGGAGGCTTTTCGAAATCGCGGTGAACGCGACGAGATCCACCACGAAGGTGCCGGTTCGTTTCCTCAACGTAACGACGATGTCGGAGTACAGGAAAGATGCGCATATATCTTTCTACGGTTCCCGGAGTGCGAAGGATCCCGGAACGCTCGCCGATTGTCTTCACTGGTGCCTTCCGGGTTTGCCAGACACGTGGAACGAGTTGCTCTCTCTCTATATTATCCACAGAGCTTGAAACTATATTTTTGGAAAATTTTCGATTTTTGCTTCTGTTTATGATTCACAAATTTCCGACTGTCACTGTCAGTCACTGCAGAGAATTGTGCTCAACGGCGAAGAGATTTTAGAGAGAAATTCACTGAACCGGTTAGTCAAACCAATTAAAATACCGCGGTACATTGATTTAGTTGAGATCAATCGCTGAACCGGATTAGTTATGCTGATTTAAATACTGGTCTAGCTGAGACTTATCGCCGAACCGGATTGACAGTCTTTTTATTAGTCTTTGAAATGTTACTATGACACAAGAACACAATAGTGCTACAATTTTGACAATTCCAGTTTTAAAGCTGCATGACTCTGAAAGAAAACTAGACTATTTGTTTTCTTTTTCAGTTTCGGTGGCCTCAATACACAATATGTTGTAACAAGATTACATCCAAAGTGAAACGACTGTTATTTACTTTCTTCTCCAAACTTAAAACATAAGACACACTTCACTGCCGGAAAACAAACGAAACATCATTTTTTCGAAACTCAGACGACACACATATGGTCATGATCATCATCCGTACGTAGACTAAACAAGAACCTTTGGACAAGAAACTAAACACATCATATAAATACATGGAAATATCTGAAGCAGATTAGTACACATCGATGGAGCCTTGGATTAATTAACTCTTGGTCCTGGATTTGGGCTCTTCTTCATCGACTCCTTCATCCTCAGCGTTTTCACCACTAGCTTTGTCTCCAGTGCTACGACCGCCTTTGCGTCCCATCTTCTGATATCCTTCAGTTCCTAACTGCTCCTTCCTCGTATTCCCTCCTCGACTCCTCCCTTCATATAAATATTCCACAAACTAGTAATACTTATAACTTGACGCACAAGCGACAATGAGAGAGAGAGAGAGAGAGAGATAGACCTTCAGCGAGATGCTGTTGAGCTTCAAAGCTTTTACCTCCAGTGCCACCTGGCACCACGGTTTCTCCCTTCTTCGCCCTCTCGTCCAGCTGTTTCTTCTCCTGTTGAGACGCCATAGAGAGCTATTTACTTGCGATACAAGTTATAGAAAGCCTAGATTATTCTTTTATTACAGAACCAAAAAAGCAAACAAACGTCAACAACTTGGTGATGATGATGATAGGAAGACTTGAAGAGATCGGTCTATATATGTATGCAAATTGTTTCGGATGTCATTTTGCTTGTGTTGCAACGTGGACGTTCGACGTGGTGAGTCAGGGGCAATCGGTACGTCATACGTGTGCTCTTACTCACCGGTAACGTGCCACGTGTCCGATGAATTAGCTGACGTATACTTGGAACTTGGAAGTGCCGTGCTTCTTCACCGCGTGTCCTTTAACTATACCTCCGAAATTAAAATTTGTGTGCATATACATAAACTATTTCAATCTATATGAACGCATATGGACAATGTGTAAGTTTGATTTGAATGTTGGAAGTCGTTCACTACTCTTACTCTATATGCTGTGCCTTGTGGTTGGGTGTATAAACTGCTGGTCAAAACTCGTTGACATTAGGTGTTGCACGCATAGTGATTGCGACTCTTTGTGTTTGAGACTATATTGAACTACCTAAAAAGTCTTGCACCCCCAAATGGCAACAACCATGAATATTCAAAATCAGAATGAAATTATTTATATCCTCCATTAACAAATAAGCTGGACAAACCGATCGATTTAGGCGAACCCGGGATGTTACACTATAGATATGATTTGTAAAGTTTTCTGTGATGGAGACATATAACATGACAACTTCGGAGCAGAAATTTAATTATAAAACCTTATAAAGACATGCAAATGACTCATGTTTGGAAAAGAATACTCTGAACTCAATATGGTGATATTGTCTTCGTTCTTCGACAAGTTTGCTCTTAAAAAACATCAATGACAGATATAAATGATGATTCGTGTATATATTTTATACTTATGGATGTATACAGAAAAATGTGAGCAAACATATAAACCAATTGTAATAGTTTACGATCTTTGCTCTCCCTCATCTCTAATATTTCCGAGTTCTTCATGTGAAACCTGGACTGTGATCGAATGACAACTGGCCCCTCAGTTTTGACCACACATTGGCCCATTGGCATTCTCTACTGCTTAATTGGGATGTCTGTGCAGCATTGTACCAACTACCCAATCGTTAATCTTTGTATGACATGTGGCATATAAATATTCGTTTCATGAATGTGAATTTGTTTGGTTTGAAACTGTTATCTATGTCAATATTACGTCAATTTTTTTGTCAACAAATGTCTAGTTGTTTTGTAAACCAAAAATTAAACTCGAATGATATAATTTGGTTTGCCAGGTCAAAAAAGGGAGACTCGAGACTGAGCCTTACGAGAGAAGTTATTTTTGTTCCTATGTGACGAGTTAGGGTCAACTGTTCACCAATCATATTTATAATACACATCATTTTACGTATGGTATGATGCCTGAAATCGAGATATTGTTTCCCTTTCCTTAAAAAGTTAAAGAATACAATAATACATTTTGCCAGGTCTACAAAACAAAGAGTAAATAACTCTTATCTGAAATCAATACCGTCCAGAATTCTTATTTGCTTTTGTTTTTTCTTACTACATTTTAAACTACAGTAAAACCTCTATAAAACAATAATATTGGGACTTTGAAATTTTATTATCTTATAGAGTTATTATTTTATAGAAATATTCTATCAAAAACAAGAAACTTTATAGAATATATTTTTTCAGATTTTTTATTCAAATTTTCCTTATACTTTGTTATTTACATATTTCATGCTCAGAAGTTCAAAGTCTATAAGAAATTATGTCTACTGTTCTTAATGGTGAAGATGAAGTTGAAGATGATGAGGAAGGACATGTGCAAGTAGTTACACGTAAGGATGCAATTGTGGCTTCGAGAACTCTTCACAACTTTTGGCTGCATGTTGAGAATACACCTCCAGAAATTGTAGATGCAATAAGAAAAATTCGAGATGAGCTCCAACGGGAATCCAATTTTCAGAAAAGACAAACTACATTGGAGTCATATTTTACTAAATTGTCTTAGATATATATGCATTAGTTTTATAATTATTATCTTAGCTTATTGTTGGGACTATATTTTTACATAGGAGTTTCAAAAATATTATTGTCTTATCATCTTATCGCATTATGCTATTTTTTACATTGGCCCGAGTTGGGACCGGAGAAAAATATTATCTTATAGTGTTTATTGTTTTATCGAGTATTGTTTTATAGAGGTTCTACTGTATTCGGGTTGATTAAAACTCTTCACCAAAAAAGACCGAAGCTAATTTTTCTCAATAGAGCAAATTTATTTCAGCTTTCCTAAAATGCGTTCTTCTAACAATACCCAAACTCCTGTAAATGGATAGCTTTTCTATAAAAGCATATGTTTCGAGTCTTCACGAATACATTAATTCCTTCCAAAGTTGGGGACCATTTACTTATTGATATCATAATTTTAGTTATTATTCATAGACTAAAATTGTAACGAAGGTCTACTTCTAAATTAATTAGCAGTAAACGCAAAAAATTATGTATAACTCCAATAATTTTGATACATAGTCGTTTTTTCTGGTCAACAAGTCGTAGTATTCATATGTATATCTACCATCAAATTTTTTTTCTACAAGCTAATTAGTAGTATGCAAAATTTATAGCCTCTAAACTAAAAATTTTGTTTTGTTAAAACGTTTAAACTAGTAAAGTTGATGACAAAGTATACTAAATCGATAGTAATTATGGGAACTAAATCAAGGCCTCGTGGTCCAGTGGTAAAGGGGTCACAGCTGTGACTTCCACCACTTGGGTTCGAGTTCCCTTGGCCACCCGGGCTGCTTTAAATGGTAAGAATATGCGGATTGCCGTGAGTCTCGTGGGATTAGTCTTTGGGCCTAGAAAGTCTTTGGGATCCCCATGGTTATCAAAAAAAATAATAATAATAAATAAAAATAATAATTATGGGAACTAGTAATTCATGTTCTTCATAATACATTCTCACACCCAGGATTGTACATGAGGTTAGAAAAAAAAATTGTACTATATAATTGGACATTGTGTTACGTATATTTTCAACTAGCATATCAAACACACATGTTGTTTGGGCCTGAATGGATTTTTTTCTTAATCAATCCAATTGCAGTCATCATAACCAAAACATTGTTTTCCCAAAAATGATCTGATCGATCATAAACATAGTCCGATGCTTATTTAATCGATGTCAAAGAAACATTAATCACCCGATGCTTGAGAATGAGCGCTACTAATGGGGCCGTGTACTACTTTGAATAAATCAAATTAATCAAAGCTTAAAGATTTCACAGGATCAAAAAGATTTCACATGATCTCCGAGTCCAAGTATATATAACTCTCTTTACGGGAAAAATAAAATTAAAAATCTTCTTTATAGCAAGAAAAAAGAAAAGCAAGAAAATGATAGAGATGGGTTAATTTTGGGCACCGACGTGAATTTGACTAAATTACGAGAGAGAGAGACTTGGTCACGAAGGTGTTAATTAGCATGTAGAGAGAGAAATAATCGTCGTTGACCATTGACCGAAAACTTGGTCATATATAAAAATCTAACCGCCCACTATTCCCCTCTATTCACAAGGTCCTTGCTTTCTTCTCAGACGTAAACAACAAGAAATATATATAAATCCAAAAACACCAAAAGCCAACCCTATTTTTATTTTCTTGTAATCTTGTCTCACATTTTCTCTCTCTTTTTTTTTTCTTCTGTTTATATGCAACTCTCCAAGAATCCGATCAAACAAACAAATCGAGAGAAGAAGAAGAATCACACGGAAGATTATACGATGAAGAGATCATCAGTAGTAATCATGGCTCCGGAATCTCCTGTTTTCTTCCCACCTTTCTCTCCGACGTCGGTCAAAACGCCGTCGTCTTCTCCTCGTTCAACGCCACCGAAGCTTTCGATGGTAGCGTATCCTCCACGGAAGCCGAAAGAGACTATTTTGGTTCCGGATTCTGACACGGTGCTGAAAAGAAAGCGGCCGCCGATGCTTGACCTTACCTCGACTCCGACTATTGCTTCATGGTGCGGTACGACGTCGGCGAAGACGCCGGAAAAAGGGACGGAAGTCGAAGAAGCGGAGAAAGATGGATACTACTCTGTTTATTGCAAGAGAGGAAGACGCGGACCAATGGAAGATCGTTATTTCGCGGCGGTTGATGATCGCAAAAAGGCTTTTTTCGGGGTGTTCGACGGTCACGGAGGATCCAAAGCGGCGGAGTTCGCGGCGTTGAATCTCGGTAGCAACATTGAGGCGGCGATGGCGGCAGCGAGATCGGGAGGTTACTCGGTTGAGAGAGCGATAAGAGACGGTTACATTAAAACGGACGAGGACTTCTTGAAAGAAGGGTCAAGAGGCGGCGCGTGTTGTGTAACCGCTCTGATATCGGACGGCGAGCTTACGGTTTCGAATGCCGGAGACTGCCGGGCGGTTATAAGCCGCGGCGGAGCTGCGGAAGCTCTTACTACCGATCACAATCCTTCTCAAGCAAATGAGCTCAAAAGAATTGAAGCATTGGTAAGTTTTTTATAAACTTTTTATCATTCTCTATTTTTAATTGGTAAACACTCCGAAATTGTGGAACTGCGGAAAATGATATTTTAAATGAAAATTTTGACTAGAGTTTTCACATTTCTATTTTTGATCGAATCCATTAAGAATGTGATTGGTTAAAAAACTGCAAAATGATGTATTAGTTATATTTGTGTTTGGTATACTTACTTTATGTGTGTGTGCACGTGTGTAGGGTGGTTATGTTGACTGCTGCAACGGCGTGTGGAGAATACAAGGCACATTAGCCGTCTCACGAGGAATCGGAGACCGGTATCTCAAGGAGTGGGTAATAGCTGAACCGGAAACCAGAACATTACGGATTAAGCCGGAGTTTGAGTTCTTGATTTTAGCATCTGACGGCCTTTGGGATAAGGTAAGAGGCATAACTCGAAATGACTCAAAATGGATTCCTTTTTTTAGTCTACGGTTTGAAATGTTGAACAGGATTTTCCTCGTACGTTATAGGTAACGAACCAAGAGGCGGTAGATGTGGTTCGATCGTACTGTGTAGGAGTGGAGAATCCAAAGACGCTGTCCGCTTGCAAGAAACTAGCCGAGCTATCGAGTAAGAGAGGGTGCTTGGATGATATTAGTCTAATTATAATTCAGCTACAAAACTTTGTGGCATGATTCATTAACATCTTAGTCTTAAGTTAAACTTGATTAATTTCATTAGGTCTTAAGTTATTGACAATTTTGTCCGGTATATTTACATGTAAATAAAGGTTTCAAACATAATTGATTTTTAGTTATTCTTCTTTTTGGAAATCAAAATCACAACGTGACCATTTCAATTTTGATGGAAAGTGCATCACCTGACTATTTTGATTTTTGACTTTTTGAAAATAGTTATGTCATTTCAGTGTTCTATTGGGTACTTAAGTAACAGAAGTGATAGGTTCTTCAAGTCAAGAACTTTAAAAAAACATGCTATAATATTTCTCTTAACATATTTGTACTTATATTTGGCCCAAAGATAGTATTTGTTATTTTTTACATTGTATGTTTTAAATACTCGTACTTATATTTGGGCCAAATATATGTCTACGGAAATGCCAATGAGAAGGACTTACGTTTTTACGTTTTTAATAATTATATAAAAAATGCGTGTGCCATAATTAAGAACCCTAAGTAAATTGCACTCAAGTCATCGTTAAATGGCGGACGAGGGCCGGAACGGAGACGGCGCGACCGTCGCTGTCAGAAGCCTTAGCAACCACAAACGCAGAATCATAGAAGCAGGAGTCTCAAGCGACGGCGGTGTAGACTCAGTCAGCTCTCTGCCTGATGTGATCCTCCAACATATTCTCTCCACTCTTCCGACCAGATTCGCCATAAGAACTTCCGTCTTGTCCAAAAGATGGAGGCATGTATGGTCTGATACACCTTCCCTCTCCTTCGATAAGTATATACTTAACGCTGACTCGATACACAAAACCCTAGCTCGCTACACGGTTCCCAAGATGACGAGTTTTCACCTTTGCATCAGCAAGGTCGAAAATACTCCTTACATGGACAGATGGATCAAGTTCGCCATTTCACGAAACGTGGAGAATCTGTCTCTTGATGTACGTATAAGCTTTATGACTCTTTCCTGTTGCTCCTTGTCTTGGACATCTTTGAAAAGGCTGTCATTGCGCTGTTGCAATCTCACTGATGAGTCCATTGCTACGATTCTATCTGGTTGTCCGGTTCTTGAAAGCTTAGCATTGTATTTCTTCGATAAACTGATGGTTCTTGATCTCAGCAAATCAGTGCGTCTGAGGAGATTAGAAGTAGATAGCAACGTATGGGTTCCGGGGCCACATCAGATCAGGGAACCACAAAACCATTGGTACAGAACTAAGATTGTGGCTCCACATATCCGTTATCTTAGATTGACATGCTATCAGTCACCATGTGTCTTAGTTGATGTATCGTCTTTAACCGAAGCTAAACTAGACAATGGTGTTTGCTCACTGGACAAATTGCGTAGTGGGTTTCTTCATGGCATGGTGATAAATATGCTAATGGATTTTCAAAATGTAGAGAAGCTTACTTTTGGAGCAAACTTTCTTAAGGTATGTATATATATATGCTAACGTTTTTTAATAACATTTGTTCTTGATTTCATCCCTATTTATTTCTACTTCTTGAGATGTATGTTTTAGTTAGTTCATTATCTGTTTTGTGCTTTTTTTGTTGCATTGTTAGATTTTATCTCTTTGCGAGGTCAGTCGAAGACCTTTTCCGATGTTCAAGGTCAAAGATTTGACGTTTCAGACAATGATTTCTCAATATGTAACTCCTGGCATAGTAAGAGTGCTACAAAACTCACCTGAATTAAAGAAGCTAACCCTACACACAATGGATTATGGCACCATACCGGTATATATATATTAGAACCCTCTTTTTAATGTTCTTGACCATTCTAACTTCACCGAGTTTGAACAATTCAAGAACGATGTCCTTTCATTTTGAATTCCTAGACAATCTGTTTGCACAAATGAAATAGTATTTTTTTTCTTCTGTACAGGAGGAGTTACTTGACAAATACTTGGATTTTCATGGCTTTAATCCAAGTCAATGCTGGAGCACGAAAGCGAGGGATTCTGATAACATTTTCAGTTGGAATAGAGAGCCAAAGCACATGGCTTCGTTCTTGGAGTTGATGCTTAAAACCACAAAGAAATTAGAGAAGATGGTCGTAAAGTTGGAAGGTCATCTCCAAGGAAGAGATTTTGAAGAGTTGCTTAAGATGGTTCCAAAGCTTTCACACGACAACAACAATGTCTCCATTGCTCTTAGCTGAACCAAGTCTAATCAGAGGGTTTAGTCTTAAGATCTTATCAGAGAGGGTTTAGTAGAATCAAATTCCTTACCTTGTGAAGAATTTTTTTTTTTTTTTTTTCAAATCTGCTGGATGAAAACTTCTCTATTTTTTTGTTTGTAGAATTTGTTAGGAAAGAATCATGAATTTTTTGGATTATTCTTTTACATTTTCTCTTCATAATATTGAGATAAACTAATGGAGATTTCTAACCACAGCTAGCTAATGGAATGTGATCATTTGGAATGTTAATTTATGGAATGTGATCATTTGGTTATCGTCTCCATCAACTGCTCTGAATCCTTAGAACACCATCCAAGTTTCACATATTCAACTCTAGAGTTTCCCGAATCCAAATTATATGGGCCCAAAGTCGATGTTTATTCGATATATACATAAGGTCAAATAAAACTGCTTTGAAATTGAGTCGGTCATGTACTTTTTAACTCAAAACGACGTCATTTTACACAGTTCCTTTTCATACAAGAAACCAGTATAAAGGGGACTAGAGTAAACCCTAATCCCATCATAAAAGCCAAAAAGGAAAGAAAGAAAAAAAGACGAAGACGATGGATTCCTTCACAGAGGATATATGGGTAATGATACTTGCGCGATTACCACAAAAGAGCATCATTACTTCCAAATTGGTCTGCAAACAATGGAAATCAATAGCGGAATCTCCGTATCTCAGGAAGCTCTTCCTCTCTCACCATCAAAACTCGCATCCTTCGTGGTCGCTCATGTGTAAAGATGATTCGACAGAAGCCCTCGCTTACTACGGCTGCGTGATCACGGGTCCTTCACGACCTCTTGGCTGTTACATCAACTCTTTCGTAAAAGAAAAATTTAATTTCCGACAAGCAAGAGTCGTGGCTTACACTGATGTCGGATTGGTTCTGATCCGTGTACTAGTGTCTTCTGACCTCGGGAACATACTCTTCTATGTAGCTAATCCGGTTACACGAGAATGCGTGGAAACCGATCCTCCATGGTTCGAACCCAAAAAAGGTTTCTTCATCTTAGGAATCGCCACGCGAACTGAGAACGGCCTCGTTCTAGGTTACAAAGTTGTTCTGCATCATGATGATCCATCCCCCTGGGGTAATGGGTATGATGAGAGCTTGAGCTTGATTATATATTCATCAGAGACTGGCTCGTGGAGGTTCGAGAGTGTTGACTCTCCTTACTACCGTCACGAGTTTGGCAACTCGATCAGCGTGAACGGGAATCTTCACTGGCTCGCACAAAGTCATGATGAAGAAGTTGTTGTATCCATCGATTTCTACGGTTCTGGTCGTCACCAATTCCGTGTCACACCTTTCCCTGATTTAGAAACATCTCCAAGATACAAGAGATCTTGCACAACTTCTCAAGGATATCTCATGTATATGAACGTTGGCAAAGATGATGGTAGGTTAAGGGTATGGAGGTTAAAGAGTGCAGGATGGCAACTAGCATCTGAAATCGCCTTGAAGAAGTATGTTTTTCCCATAGCAATAAACCCTTTTGATGCTGAAACGGTTTACTTTTGGAAACATTCGAGCCCTCGTTTGTTGTCACTCAACTTACGCACTGGGAAGAAGATTGTCCTCCACGGCAACTTCGAACGTTGCAGCGATGGTCGCATTATCAAGTGTCAGAGTGATAAAAAGTACACCGCACGATCAAACTTTTCATCGTTTGTTCTCCCAAAATGGCTGCACCCGATCCCAAGAGGAGAGCAAGGCGTGTAGGATCATTAAATAATGCAATCTAGTGTTTGCTATTCATATTGTAGTCAAGATTCTTATTTTTTTTTACGGAAATATTCTCTTTTAACTGTCAATAATTAGTTCTTGGTGACTGATAAACAGTGTAATGCAAGAACACAAAACATAAGTTCTTAGTATTTATTCGTTTATATCAAAAAAAAATTGGAGTCATTTCATTGTTTGGACTTTGGACTTTGGAGTACAGTTAGCAAAAAATACTGTCTTTTGACTAATCAAGAGATAGGGGACAAAACTGTGAGTTAGTAAAAGTATCGGGTGTTTTCTGCAATATTCCGAAAGACGATTTGTAAAGATGAATCAAAATGTTTCTTCAGATTTTGGAATGTAAAGAAAAATCAGCGATCTGCTTCCATGGCGATCTGCTTCATTCTCTATGCAATCCTCACATCACTCCTCGCCGTATCCCTGAGTCTGTCTCTCTCCGTGATCAACGCAAGAAAGTCCAGGAAACGAGCGGTGGGATTCTTCCATCCGTACACGAACGACGGCGGCGGCGGCGAGAGAGTCCTCTGGTGCGCAGTTAAAGCCATCCAAGAGGAGACTCCCGATCTCGACTGTGTCGTCTTCACGGGAGATCACGACTCTTCTTCTGACAGCTTGGCTCGCCGCGCCGTCGATCGCTTCGGTGTCCACCTCCTCTTCCCTCCCAAGGTCCGATCCAATTTACAACAAAATTAGTTTCAATTCGAATTCGTACGAATCACATTGAAGCTAATTCGTTCTTCTGTATAAGCATAGAGCTTGATTAGTTAGATTTTGGATTTAGTTTTGATGCAAAATTATGGATCAGGTGATTCATCTGAACAAAAGGAAATGGATTGAAGAGAGGACTTACCCACATTTCACGATGATAGGTCAGAGTCTTGGCTCGGTTTATCTAGCGTGGGAGGCTTTACGAAAGTTCACTCCTTTGTATTACCTTGACACTAGTGGATATGCTTTCACGTATCCTCTTGCTCGTCTCTTTGGCTGCAAAGTTGTTTGCTATACTCATTATCCAACCATTAGCTTGGATATGATTTCTCGTGTTCGTCAGAGGAACTCCATGTATAACAACGACGCTTCCATTGCTAAGAGGTTTGTTTGCTTATTTTGGTGTTTTCAAAACTTTTCTTTCGTTGGCTAAATGATAGTTGTTGGTAGCAATTGGTTGTCGACATGCAAGATAGTGTATTACAGAGCTTTTAGCTGGCTGTATGGGATGGTTGGCTCGTGTACTCATCTAGCTATGGTGAACTCTTCGTGGACGAAGTCTCATATCGAAGTGCTTTGGAGGATTCCAGAACGGATCCGACGGGTCTACCCGCCTTGTGATACTTCAGGACTTCAGGTGGTAACCATCAGATGGCTTTTTTGTGTTTCCTCTTGTTACATCAAGACTCTGACCTTGGACTTAATGCAGGCACTTCCTCTTGAAAGATCATCAGATCCTCCGGTTTTCATATCTGTCGCTCAGTTTCGTCCTGAGAAGGTGAGGGAAAGTTAAATTTGAATTGTGAGAATGAGGTACTATAGTTTTTATGGCTCTCAATCGAAAGAGTTGTCCTGCTTACTCAATTACAGTCTTGTACCAGGCTCATATGCTTCAGCTTGAGGCCTTTTCACTAGCCTTAGAGAAGTTAGACGCCGACGTCCCTCGTCCCAAGCTCCAGTTCGTGGGAAGCTGTAGAAACGAGTCAGATGAAGAACGGCTGCAGAAACTGAAAGACAGAGCAGTTGAGCTAAAAGTGGATGGGAACGTGGAGTTCTATAAGAACGCCATGTACAGGTGTTTGCTCAAATCTCTTAGTGGCACAGTCTCTATTCAAACTTGTCTCTTGCAATACTCAGAGCTTCCATTATTTCAGGGAACTAGTGGCGCTGCTAGGAAATGCAGTTGCAGGACTCCATGGGATGATAGACGAACATTTTGGGATTAGCGTTGTAGAGTACATGGCTGCTGGTGCGATCCCAATAGGTCAGACTTAATAAGGCTTTGTGTATGTGATTGTTACCTTCCAAAACTTTCTTATAATGACGACTCTGAGACTTGTTTTTACGTGTTGTGCGCAGCTCACAACTCAGCTGGACCTAAAATGGACATTGTGTTGGAAGAAGACGGAGAAAGAACAGGGTTTCTTGCTGAGACCGTGGAGGAATACGCTGAAGCGATGATTGAGATTGTGAAGATGAGTGAAACAGAGAGGCTTAAGATGGCTGGATCTGCTAGGAAACGAGCGACGAGGTTCTCTGAACAACGGTTTTGTGAGGATTTTAAAACTGCTATTCGACCTGTTTTCACCGGTGCTCTCAAATGACAAGAGTCTTAAACGCACAACACGAGCTAGTTATACTTTTTTCTCTCTTTAAAGCTCTGAAGTAGACTAGAGACGATCAGGTGTTCTCTTTCTGTTTCTACTTGACTGTTGAAATAGTGTAATGGATACAAATGTTAAAGCACAACCAAAGGACTGAAAACAAAAAGAAAGAGTGGTTTTTTTTTTCCCAATTTTTTCAGTTTATGTAAAATCTGGAATTGGCCACAAATGGGAAGCCAAATTTTGGATGTTTTGAAAGAGAGATAAGAAATCAAAGAGGAAACCGGCCTTACCTTTGATTTCCCTGGAGGTGCTGATATATTCGTCATTGCTTTTTCCTTTGGTTTCATTAGCACTGTCATGTTTGCGACCACTTGCGTTGTTTGGAAACTCGGCGCTATTCATTTCAATGAAAACTAAAAATTAACTGAATTTGGCCATGTTGTTCAAAAAAAAAAAAAAAACTGAATTTGTCCAAAATCCAAACCTAAAGTACATAAGTTAAGACCGGCTTAGACTCTTACATAGTTAGATCATCAGTGTCGGGTCGGGAGGTGCTGTCAAGTCCGTAACAACATCACTACTTGTATTATAGCTCAACTTAAAACAAGTTTGTTTTACTCATTTATCATGTGTGCAATTGTAACAAACAGTAATAGATATGTGAGGGACACTGAGATATTGTAGTCAGATAAAATCAATGCACTAAAAGACCATTTAAAGATGGAACAGAGGAAAACGTCAACAAGAGTGAGCTTATAGGAAGCCACAACATTGCATGATATATGATATGATATTGACCTTTGATGCCTTATCCGATTTGATCCTACATTCAAGTTTAGGGTCACATGAGGAAAAATGTGATATGGTCCGTTTTATGCTAAGGACTTCGAAACTAAAGTCTAGAGTACACAAATTACTAATTGGGTTTCTCAAGAAGTTGACACATTTGTACTTCTCACAATGTTTGTTGTCAGTTATCTGTTTACAAATCAATGAAGTGAAGGAATAGTGCGATCAAAATTTTGCTACAAATATTTTCATAACAAATTTTTGAAATCACAGTTTTTATTTTGGTCTTATTAAAATCACAGTTTCTTCTAACAAAATTACACAAAATCCTCTTGTTACTAACTTGGATAAAAGAAATGAAATAGTTAAATCCTCAAAGTTTACTTTAAAAGATCCAAAAATCAAAGAGAAGGAAGACAAGTCTTCCATGTCGGTAGTCAACAATTAAATTGTTCTTTATCAAAAGGTTAAAAAGATGGAATATACGACGAAATCAAAAAGAAACTAACAAAGCACTCGATTACTTGTTATGATTATGATTTACCAAGATTGGCAAGATTACATTATTTGCACCGAAAAGATGCTTATTATTATGCAGAAACTTTCTCTAAATTATTAATAATTTATAAGAGTATAATTGATATTTTACTTTAGGTTCTCAATTCTCACCGTACCAATGAATTTTCAACAGTTGTAGTCTTGTAGACATTCTTTTTTTTAACAATTGGAAGGTCAAAAAAAGCGAAAAGCGTCCATTGTCTAATGGATAGGACATAGGTCTTCTAAACCTTTGGAGATTGTTGCTGTTTTTGTAATATTGAGAACAAAGTTTTGGCAGCCATATGATATATCGTTATGAAGTTGACAGAGTCTAATGAGCTACTCTCTTTTTTTTCTCATTCAGATTTGTATGATCAACTTTAATTTACAAGACTCCACGATCAGTTTGATTGATAGAAATCTGCCCATATAACTGGAGTGTCAGTGGCTTGATATGAACTACAATGTCAATGGCTTGATAAGCTCGAATCTGAGTGCAATCTTACGAATTCTTTTATTTTCATTGTGTGGTATGAAACTGCTGATTTGAAGTGCTACTTTTGGCCCTACATATCTTGATTTACGCAAATTTATCCATTTTGCAATTAAAATTTGAAAAAAATAGTAAGTTTTTGGTGACTTGCAACCACATCTATTGATTATATTGATTGAATAATAAAGGCTCCTCCTCTCTTGCGCATGTGAATATGTGACAAGAAGCGCCACCAAATCTAAGTTAACGCTTGTTTTTTTCTGTCGATACGCATAATGTTCCTTTTCCCAAAATACACGAATAATTTTAGTTTTTTTTATATGGGACTATTTGCCATATAAACTAAAAAATTGTTATCAAGTATAGAGAAAATTTACATGATAGCATCCTATACTAGAGCATCACCAAAGCTATTTTAGGTTTTTCTCTTGACCACGGACAAACAAACAACATGAAATTTATCTGCTTATTTCCATACTCAGCGAGACTAACTTACGAACCAAATTAAAATAATGAGACTATGTAGATATTGAGTCATTGACATTACTAGAGATATTTGATTTGAGCTGCTGTTCCTCGTGGACTTTCATGTAGTCTCATTCCTCTTCACAGTCTCATCAAAAGATCATTGTCCTACGCAACAACATGCATTGTCCTATGCAACATGTAACTATGTTATATAGACGAAAATTTCCATGAAATAAACATATTTTGATGTTGGCTATGCAAAATAAATCATATACTATTTCGAGTATATCGCGAAGTAAAGCATCAAAATTCAAGCGGGGCTGATTCTTTTTTTATCAAAAAAAAATTCAAGCGGGGAAAAGTTGTGGATGCGGTGGACAAAGCATTCTTTGTTTCTATCCAAACTCTGTTCACAAAATGTAATAATTAGTCAAGAAAAAATGTAGAGAAATGATTGGAAGTTTGGAACATGAGATGTGAGTGAGACCACCGATCCCGGTGATTTCTTTTTTACACGTAGAAAAAGTAAAGATTTAAAGCATTTCCCTCCAATGATTATGATGGAAGAGAGTAATCGTTGTCAAATCCAAGTTTTCTGCTTATTTCATATATTCGATTATATTTTTATATTTTCGACTTTATAACCAGTTGGTCTTTTTCCATATGATTAAAGTGGGTCGATATATTTGATTTGAACGACTTAACACTTTCAAACTACATATCCCTATCTCATATTAGATCTTGAAAACAACGTGTACACTTATCTGACAAAACCGACTTGTATATACTTTTTACATGTAAACAAAACTCTTACATTATTCGAACTGCTTTACTTCATGATCCCATACTATTACCCTTGTAAAGTTTTTCAACACGAGTTGATCAAAATGTATACAGTTAATTAGAGGATATTCGAGTAAACTTTTGCTACGATCACGTTAAAACTAAGATTTGAGATAACAAGTAAAGCTAATTTAACCATATGACCCGGTGATGGAATTGGTCGAAACAAGTCATTTAACCACGTAAACGAAGAACAAAAATGGAGTTTACTATCTATTATGGTCCTCTCCTGACCAATGTAAATGCCTTGAATCGCAAGAAACCCTGATTTTTACAAACTAATAATTTAGTTTGAGTTTCATATTCAGAATCTGTCCCGGTTATGAAATATGAAATGGTGAGAGGATAAAGATAGAGAAAATCAAAGAGTTTTGAGTAAGGTAGTTAAGTTTACAACGAAAATTCAACACAAATTTGCGGCTCTGCACGTAGATGCAATTATTTACTAATTTAAACAACGAAATATCAAATTTCTATTATAAAATAAAGGAGACCAATAAAAGTCTAGAACGAGTATCACACCAATCACCATCAACCTTAATTTCTCCTTTCATTATTTAGATCAACACTATCTCACTCACTTCCACTTACACCCTCACAAAAAAAAAAAAAAAAAAAACAGAGCCCTTCTTTCAATTCTGAGTTTCTGAGTTTTCACAGGTTCATTTGTTTTATACTTTTATTATCTTATATTAAATTTAAAATATTAAACCATAGACAAATTTCTTTATTGGTTTTCTTTGGCGATGGAGAATTCATACGACTCAGCCAAGTGGACTTCTGATTCCACAAGTCCATGTATGGTCTCATGGTCATTACAATCTGAATCCACCGATTCTGATTGGAACCGGTTTAATCTCGGCTTCTCTTCTTCCTCCTCCAGCAACTTCCCGGTCGATGATTGTGTCGGTGGTTTCGAAAAAGCCGAGTCGCTCTCCAGAAGCCACCGTCTTGCGGAGAAGAGACGCCGTGACCGGATTAATTCTCACCTCACTGCTCTCCGCAAACTTGTCCCAAATTCCGAAAAGGTATTATTTATTTCAAGAAGTCTCAAATTTCTTGATTCCATAATTCAAAGCGAGATAATGTTTTCGGTTACGTTATGAGTTTCCAATTTGAGTAAACCGGTTTTTAATCTGATTCGATTTCGGTACAGTTATTAATGAAGTAAACCGGTTCTTGATCTTGACTCTACAGTTAGACAAAGCAGCTCTATTAGCAACAGTGATAGAACAAGTCAAGGAGCTGAAACAAAAAGCAACAGAATCTCCAATCTTCCAAGATCTTCCGACAGAAGCAGATGAAGTAACTGTGCAGCCTGAAACCATCTCCGATGAATTTGAACCAGACACTAATAGAATCATCTTCAAAGCTTCGTTTTGCTGCGAAGATCAACCGGAGGCAATCTCAGAGATCATTAGAGTTCTCACAAAGCTTCAACTCGAGACAATACAAGCTGAGATTATCTGTGTCGGAGGAAGAATGAGAATCAATTTCATCTTAAAAGACAGCAACTGCAGAGAGACGACAAGTTTGGCTGAATCAGCAAAAGTGTTGAAGCAGTCTCTCTGCTCTGCGTTAAACCGAATCACATCATCTTCTTCTTCTGCTTCTACTGCTTCGGTTTGCAGGATCAGAAGCAAAAGACAGCGATGGTTTCTCTCATCTCACTACTCACAATGATACGATATACGAATCATAAAACTATATACCATATACAAAATTAAATCACAATTCCAATATTTACTAAGGTTTTGTCAGCAATTTAGAGTAAATAGTTTGTAGATGTTCATAAGCATTTCATATTGGATTGTTCGTTCTAAACCAATTAAGATCGTGTAAATGATAAGATGGATCTAATCATAATCATTAAGAAGATTTGGCATATGAATAAAATGAAGACATTATTGGTAAAAATGTGATTAGAAAGATAAAGGTTTAACATTAATTGAAGATCCATACAAACCAACAAAGAACGAAGCCCAGAAAACTTAAAAACTGAAACAAAATCTGATAAAGTACTTAAGAGGTAAGCGAAGGAGAAGCAAAACAGGGAAGCAAATGGGAAAGCGAAGGTCGTCAAGAGGAGTGTCTCTACTTAGATCGCTGTCTCATCTTTCGTCTCTTCCTCTTCAACCTCCTCATACGCTTCTTCTTCCACTGAAAAAAAAAACACGATTTAAACAGAAAACTGTTAGCCGGATGATAAAGAGAAGCAACAGATTGATAGGTAAAGATGTTGGACAGGATTCGAAAGGATTATTACCTTAGCTCTCATGGCGGAGGAATTCCTTTTCTCAAAACCCTAGTCGGCGATTTTGACGGTGACGGTGACGGTAACAAGAGAGAAAAGAAGGCGTAACTGCGAATATATACCCCTGGAAACCCTAGTGTAGACGTTTATATGGGCCTTTTTACTTAGCCCATACAATAGTCTGGGCCTTTTCACTTATTCTGTTTTCAGTTTTCACAACTCTAAAGAAATTAATTAGGAGGAGAATAGTAATATATTTCTGAAGTTATAAATTTGTTTTCTGTTCTTCAAAATCAAAGCAATTTGTGCAATACCTAAATTCGTAAACTGAAGAGTTGTATCAGAGAGCTTCTAGTATATCCAGTTATACGGATGTATAAGTATAAAAAAAGTAAAAGATAGTGAATTATTTAGGGCGATAAGTCTCCGACGTAGGATTTTGGCTACCTAGCTATGGTATACGGAGAACAATTGATAAAATTACACGCAAAAATCTTTCCAAGAAATCATGCTCGAACTAGGAAGTAACAAATAAATGGAAAAATGGCTATAGATAAAGAGCAATCAAAAGACAGTGACGACAAAATCAAGTCTAAAAACGTGGAATGATTTTATCAATATTGACCATTAATGGAGGTACAAACCATTGGAATTAGATCGCGAGAGATGATTTGTGGTGTCCGATATGAGTTAATACTCTTATCTCTAATCGTATGTATTCAAACAGTTATGTAGTCATCTGATTCTAGAGAGAAAAAATAGACCATTTTGGGGGGTCAAATTTAGACAATTTTAGTTCATACATGAGGCGGTGTAACATATAGCCCAGGACAACACTAAGGCTACAAAAAGTAACACATGTTGTTTGATTTTTCTCACTAAAAGCAACATAATACAAGAACTAGAGCTTGTAAAAACTCTCTATATAAGATACAAACCCTCTATCGATATGAAATAAATTTTATAGTTTCAATTAATTTGAAAACGTATTATCTCTTAAACTTAACAATGATATACTATAAATCATTCTCAGAGAAAGAAAAAAAGAGATATAACCTCTGAAACTCAAACCATCGAAACTATCATCCTATAAGGCACTCTATGGAGTGTTTAACCAATAAATCCTCATAAAAGTTTCCACCATCTCCTCCTCTTCCACATCTATATACACTTTTATTGGAACCGTAATCTCCTTTACGAATTCCCTGAAAATAAATAAAAAATCTTCAAAAATAATAAAATACCCTCTTATTTATCTCTATATGTAAAAAAAAAAAATCCTCCAAAATTTTGCATGCAAAGCTCCTCATCGAATGTAATCTCCTTGATTCATTTCAAGGATGATGAATCCTCAACTTCTCCAATGCTCTGGACCGAACCTTAGATATAATATGATCCCTCCTTAGAAATCCCATTGAAGAAAAGGAAAAATTTGAATCAAAAGTCAAGCAAAGGATCAAGAAAGTTATCCCAAATATTCCCCCAATGACTATACTCATCTTCTCCACCATAAGGCCAAACCGTAGAAGATCCATCTCCAACCATATTGTAACCTGGATCCATACCCATAGAACAAACCGGATCAAGAACAGCCGTAGACATCGAAAGACTCGATCCAACCGAACCAGCTAGAGAGTTTAAACCCTCCATCGAGTTTTTATTATTATTACACCCATTTCCTCCTTGTACTTCCTGCCGTAACGGAACCTCATGATGAAACGACGCCGAATTGGTTACCGGAACATCAGTGAGCTCCACGTCACCGATCTTGTTATTGCTATTACTAGAGTGAAGACTCTGATACTGTTGCTGATGATTGAATTGTCCCACTTGCATCATCAGATTTTGTTGTTGTTGTTGTTGAGGGAAAAGACCATAACTAGGGCACAACATAGAGGGCCCACCAGAAAGGAAGATGTTGTTATTATAAGACACGCCGTACGGACCAAAGGCGGAGGCTCCGGAGACGGCGGGACGAGGGAGGAGAGGTCTTAGGGTTTGAGTGGAGGAAGAGGAGGAAGAAGGAGAAGTGGAAGCGGCGGAGACGGATGAGGAAGTGGAAGAGACGGAGGAAGGAGATGAAGGAGATAAGTTGAGCTGAGCACGTGACCCGTAGAGGAAAACGGCGGCTCGGTCGTAGGCACGTGCGGCGTCTTCGGCGGTGGCGAAAGTACCAAGCCACTTGCGAGTGCGTTTACGTGGCTCACGGATCTCGGCGACCCATTTACCCCAGCTTCTTTGTCGGACGCCACGGTAACGGAACTTGGAGTTGTCGGGACCACCTTTGCCTTTGCGTTTGCGTTGTTGAGCGGAGGAGGTTGAGTCGGTGGTGGTGGTGGAATCGGATTGAGGATTGTGGGAAAGGGATTGTTGGTTATCGTCAGGATTGTGTTGTTGTTGTTGTTGGGAAGCTAAAGGGTCCATAGATGAAGAAGAAGGAGAAGAAGAGAGAGAGATTAAAGAAATTGGAAAAATGGAGAGGACGAATCAAGAAGAAAGGGAGACTGAAGGGTGTTTGAATGTCACGGTTGTGAATGGTGGATTAGGGCGGTGCTTCTTCTTCTCTTTATTTATATACTTACACTCTTCACTCTCACTTCTTTCTTTTCTGTTCTATTTTCTTTTTTCAATTATTGCTTACCCATTTTATTTTCTTCCAACGATAGTTTTTTTGTTGTGATTCGTTATGAAGTGAATATTTTTTTTTAAAAGTAGTAACTTCTAGCAAATATTCGTAAATGGTATAATGAGATGAGGTAATAGTTTTGTGATTTTTTTACTAATTATAATTTTTCGGAATGGTATTTCTTAACCATATGTAAGTTACGAAGTTTTGTTATATAAGGGATGACACTTCGTAGTCAAGTAAGTTATATTCTGTTAGTACTGATTTTTGTTGTTGTTATTGTCACAAAGGGTATTTCTTCTATATATCGATCAAATAAAAAAACATTCGCCTCCACATATCTAACTAATAAGACCTCGTTTAAGCTCATGTACCAGCTTGAAACCAAAGAAAAAAGCACGAAAATTTTCCAATTCATCATGTAATTTTGTCGTAAATGTTGGTCCTTCTTTTTGGGACGTTCTCTACCTCTTCTATCCTTGCATCAAAGTGTCAAGTACGAGAGCCGCATCCATCGATGCACCACGCAAGCTCGGGAAATTAGATAAAGAGATTAGAGCTTGCTTTTCAATCTTACAACTAAGATGACCATGTCAAGATGATTGATGATATGATGTCGAAAGTCATTTCCGCAAAACGAGCCCTTATATCTTAATTTCACTTAGTAAGCTTAACATGGTTTTACTTTACTAACGGCGTTGTCAATCTTCTTTATCTTAGTACCAAACATATATATGAAGAAACTTAACTTATAGTTTCGTAATTGCCTTTTTCTATCATTATAAAAAAAGTGTAGATTAAGATTTTAACTGTCTCTGTTCGTATTTACATGTCCCCATGTTAATTGTAGATGTAGTAACTAACAAAATTTAACACGAGTATCAATATTATAGATTCTGAATGATGGCTTATATACCAAGCTACTAATTCTAGTCACAACATTTTCTTGGAATTCATAGTATAAATAGCTAATTAATCATTTAGTTTACTTCGTTTTCACATATATTAAAATAAAAAATCAATATTAAAATTCTAGTCAACGGTGTATTACACTTTACACTACACACACATAAGTCCTTCAGAGTAGTATTGTTTTTAATAAGATAAACATAAAGGTAAGGAAAAAAAACATCTGGTAGAACAGTATATATATCACTTTATTTGTTGAATTCTTGAAGAAGAAAAATAAATAGATTTGCGCACTCGGAGAGTGTTGCAGATGCATTGCTTTGCTGCAGCACTGGAAGGACAGATGAAATACAGGTGCAGAGACAGGACAGAAGTAATTATTTTGCTGCTTTTTTTTAACACAAGCATAGATATATGTGTTCGGTTCAGTCTACTTAATACCATTCTCGGAAAAAGACTTGGCTTCAGTCAAATACTTCGTCCGGTTTATAATAATCGAAAATAGTCTACATGTTGGATCCTACACCTTAAATCTTAAGCAAGAATTTGTAGATATTGAAAATACTCACATGTAAACTTAATAAGTAAAATATATTAAACCAGCGTTATATTGTAGATATTTTTGTATGCTTCGACTGTAAGAAATATTAAGAAAAGTAATGAAAGTAACCATCATCTCTATTTAATTTTTTCCAACCATTCATAACTTTTTTTCGTTAACAACATTAGAACTCGACCCATTTGTTTAAAACGATGGTCATGTTTCCATGAATGTTAGTAGACCATTTTATTCAACGATAGACAACAATTTTACGGCGAGCTACTGTAAGAAAAGAAAAAAAACGTATCTACGAATGGTAGCATACAGTATATATCATATTAACATGACTTGTAAGCTAATTTCATCATAACAAGTTTAGTTACAAACTTACAAACGTTGCGCCATTGATACTAATAGAGTTTTTAGTCTTTCCAAGGGAATTGCGTTTTTGTTTGTCGTCCACAAAACTATTAATTTTTCAAAATGAAAAATAAAAAAAGAGAAAAAAATGGGAATATTGCATGGGAGAGGTGAGGTGGCGAGGAAGGAAGCAAAGACAGCAAAAGAACCAAAGCTTTTTGCTTTGTGGTTTCTGAGATCTCAGCCCAATTGCCTTGGAACTCTCACCTTTTTATGTCTCAGCAGAACCCCAACTAGTTGCGCCATACATTCATTTCCTTACATTTATCCATTTTATTCTTACTTATATCAATACATAGCTTGATTATTCCAATCTCATAATTCACGTGAAATCTTGAATTATCAATGACTCGAACAATTGATAACATCCAGAGAATATTGGAGAGTTTATTATTTTCGGCGAATTCCATATACTATTAATAAGTTAAAAAGATGACCATAGCAGAGCAAATGATTTGAATTCTTTGCTAATTCAGTTCTGTAACGGATCAAGCCTGATCTACGTATAATATAGGTAGTATAAATTGTAAGTCGTAAGCATACCAAATAATTAAGATGGTAAACCCAAAATGAAAATTAAGCTGCACAGAAAAGAAAGCAAGTAAGGGTTTGTGCGGGAGAGGAATATTGTCGAGCAAGATGATAAGATGTTCACATGCACACAAACCGTGGGCTGCACTCTAAAAACAGCTAGTAAGATTATGTGTGCGTCTCTTTATAGCAAACAAGTAGATGTGCACGTCTGTGTTTGGATAATGACCTTTTATCTTATTTTAAAGTCCGATGTCCCAAAATTTTCATTTGTTTATTTAGATTTGTATCATCGAAACATAGAATATTAGGTGCGACTTAATAATTAATCATGAAAGGCTCTATCATTTGAGAAAATAATTAACCAGATTGCCAAAAACCAGCAAGTCACTCACTATTATAATATGCACATTAATTAGTCGTCGATGTAAGATTCTATAAGCCTGACAAAATGTACTTTCGTTTTTGTCAAATTCGGGTTAACACTGGACATTCAACCTAAAACCAATTGACAATAGGTGGAGAGGTCCTAATCTTTTATATATTAGTTAATTATTTCTCCAACTTCCAATATGGGACTTTCATCATTAACACCCCTCTCTCACGCTCAGAGGTCATCATCTGAAGCGTGGGCAATTGTGGGAACAACATCCACGGGTGGTCCAGAATCGACTGCTCTGATACCATGTCAAATTCGGGTCAACACATGGACATCCAACCTAAAACCAATTGACAATAGGTGAAGAGATTCTAACTCTTTATATATTAGTTAATTATTTCTCCAACTTCCGATATGGAACTTTTTGCGGAATCAAATTCCATTATTGCATCAATTTCAGTTTTATCGAGCTTAGAGCTATGATTTCTTGATCAGAAATGTTCATTTAGTCTTATGGGCCTGATTTCTGGTTCATTACGTTTTATCTTTCCATTGGTTACGTTAACGGGCCTTCAGCTTTATTTGACTGAATCCTGAGTCTAACCCAGCTAAGCACTAGTATTTTGCATCTTCAAAACACCACCATACTCAAGAGTAAGACTATTTTGTAATTAGTTTCCCACTATATATATACAAAAAAAAATCATTTAAATATACCACGATTAGGTTTTATGTATTTAGCGTTGTAATTATCATTGATACCTCATATATAGTCTTTTATGTAAAACGTTACTAATTCATTTCAATTTGTGGACCAAAGTATACAAACTCTTCCCTCTTCGAATTACATTTTTCGCCAGTGAACTTGTGCACTTGCTCCTTTTTCTAAGTTTTGATCTATTTGCCAGTAGTAACGCATATACAAACTATGTTGCAGAAGATTGAGAAAAATGGATATGCATTAAGATTAGATCATTAGTTCATAAAATGGGTTATGTTTGTATGGTGGAGCTTAATATATACATAAGTATAGTTTATCTTCTATTGGTAGTAAATACGTCGGTTATTAGGTAGTTCCATCATCATCCATGCTGGCTACAAAACAAAAATTGTAATTTAAAAGTCAATTATTAATATATTCATTCATAATCTATGCAAAGTTCGTTCCCTTTGGTCGAGCTGACTTTTTACTAGTGCCAAATCTCTAATAATTGAGATACTCTCCAACCATAAATATAAATGAGTCGATTCATGTCTCATATGAAAACGTATTTATTCGTTGACAAAATACAAAATAATAACATATTGATCTTACTTGTCATCAGTGATAACGATTTATCATCAAATATTTTACAGTGTCATCTTATGCAGTGTCAAAATTTCTTTTTTTGGTAAAAGTGCAATATTCCATCTAGAAAGATCAGTTACTAAACGTATTTGATTCTTTGATTAGCTTTGAACCAGATATAAGCTGCGACATGTCAGTCTGACTCGGAGCCTCTATTTAAATAATTAACGCACGTCGTCCTCACTGCAAATAAACATCTCTAACTAATCACATTTCAGTCAAACCATTTTCAATGTTTAATGGGGCGGTTCCAAATGGTGATTCTCATGCTCATTGGCCATTACGATTTAATATTTTGAGAATCTTGAATAACATAGTACTACTAAAAGTATGTAAACAAACGATATATTTGGATATGGTTAATATTTGGGACAATGGATTCATTTGTTAACAATAGATTTGCCAATGTGATGTATTAACTAAGTTACTTTAATGGATTATTTATTAAAAGTAACACTTTCGCTAGATTATACGATTATTCTTTGACAAGACTATTCAAATATTTGACAAATTTATCCATAAAGGTAGAAACTTATATGATCACTAAAAGGTCAAATAAATAGAAAATTAGCAAGTTTATAAATTAAGAATGGTCAATTTCCGATATTGAATCTATCAGTCTTTTTTTCTTAACGTATGTTACTTCATTGATAGATGATAGATACAATTCTACAAAAAAACAGTTTCTGTATACAAATTTGGTCGGTATGTGCATCCAAGTAATTTATTAACTTATTAAGTCGGAGAACAAAAGGTTTTTAACATAATTATAGCCAATCATGGTTATTGTTTTATTTCTTTTGCTACAAATCATGGTTATTGACTTATTGTTTTGCCGACACATACTATTGCATCAATCGCGCTTCTTGGGACCAATGCAACACCAAGGCTAAATCACGGATCGCAAAAAAAAAAACATTTTCCCCTTTTTGATGTAAGATTACAAAAATAATTGGTATGGAACTAGTACTACTATGGGTGCAGCAATTTTACTGCATTGTTAAGTGTAGTTTTCATTATTTAGTCGACATGATGGGCTTATTAATGAAGTCCATGATTGCCAGCAGAGGTATAATTGTATCTTTAAAGTTTAAAGTGTCTGTTTGATTTATCATCAGTTCATTGTTGAACCATAAAATTAAAACAGGTCAAATACAGTCGGTGAAGCACTGTACAATGCCTAAACAATCATGTACGAGACATCTATATCACTATATGTAAAACCTATTATCATTACTTATTTTTCAATTTACCTAAGTGCATTGTTCTTGGCATCTTGCTACTAAGATTTTCTATTTGTTTAAACGATAAATTGACAGTGGATCACCAATAGGCGTGCCATGAGACGAAGAATAAAATAGTAAGGAGAAAATCTATAATGGTGTGATTTATGTTGGATGAAATGATGAATAAACAAATGAGCTAGGTCTGGGCGTTCGGTTATTCGGGTCGGGTTCGGGTCGGTTCCTTTCGGGTTTCGGGTCTTTCGGTTCTAGAAAATTTAGAACCATTCGGGTATTTTTTATTTTCGGGTCGGGTCCGGTTCGGTTCCGCCCGGGTTCGGATCGGTTCCGGATATTCAAACTTTTGTTAAAAAAATATAAAATAAAAATAAAAACTGTTTAACTTATACGAAATTTAACAAAATTTCGGAAAAAAATATTGAATATTAACAACCATAAATAAAGATTTTCGGATTTCTTTGAATATTTTGGTTATTGTTTTCTAAATATAACTATTATATTAGATTTATAATTATAATTTTATATATTTTGGTTATTTTAAGTCTAAATATAACTAATATTTTTGGATATATAGTTATATTTTGAATATTGCGGGTATCCACAGGTTTTCGGTTCGGTTCCGGTTCGGGTCCGGTTCTTTCGGGTATAGAAATTTTGGACCCATTCGGGTATTTGTGTCGGTTCCGGTTCGGTTCGGTTCCACTTATTTCGGGTCGGGTTCGGTTCGGTATTTCGGGTCCGGATAAAAATGCCCAGCCTAAAATGAGCGTAGGAAGTAAACAAAATTAAAGAAACGCAAAAATGGATTAACATTAAATAAAGTCAAAACTCGATATTATACAAGTCAACGATGGGATAGTTCAACATTTATTTTAGAATTTATCTTTTGGTCTTAATTAATCGTTAGGACTCATCACAAGATTCTCATAGGAGTCAACGGCACTTGACGGAACGGCGACCATTACTTTGACGGCGTCACTTCGTTCAGGAACCGGAAGCAACAAACAGTAACGGTCACAGCAAACCGATCCCACATGAACCGGTTTACCCAAACCGAAATCAAGCCGCTCTAAACCGAGACGTGACCACTGCGACAGTATTAACACTCCAACCGAGTCAGGACTCGCTTTCTTGCTCACAGCTTCAACCACCGATCTCACGTAATCGTCGTCGACTCGCTCCTTCGCTTGTCTCACGAGCATCGTCGCGTGGCTCAATCCTTTCTCCGTTAAGTCTTTCACGGTGGTTTGCGCGCATCCGACGACGAAGGCGTTCCCGTAGAATCCAGTGGGTAGACTCGGTTTGACTCGGTCTCTGATGTTGATGCTGAACAAAAGCTTGAGGATCTGGTTCGATGGCAAGTTCAGTGATCTCGCCCAGCTCCGCCACACGTGTGCAGAGAGCACCTCAAACGAAGTGTGTTGCGAATTGGACTCACCGAGTCGACTCGCGAGTTTCTTGAGCTCCGTGAGTTTCTGCCTCTCGAACACGACCGAGGTCGGAACGAGTCGCTCGGCGTTGAATCGGTTGACGAATCCGCATAGATCGGGAACTCGGTTAAACTCGGGGTGGCTCAGCGAGTCACGAACCGGAACCGGATTAAGCAATTGGCGATCCCAGTGGTGTTTCCTCTTTAGCTCAGTCTGACTCAGCGAGTCTCTCGATAACTCGGCGAACAAGGCGAGAAACTCGGCGCTTCCGATACCATCGGAGACGCAGTGGTTAACACCGACGGCTAAAGCAGCACCGCCGTCTCTGAGCCAAGTGAGCTGAACAACGAGAGGTGGGGCACCAGAGAGGACGTCGATGACGTTGAGGGAGAGAAGCTTTCTCCAGCTAGTCACGTGCCGGGGAGCTTTCTGAAAGTCGAGGCACGTGAGGTGGTCAGAGACGGCTTCGAGAAACAGAGCACCTTGGCCACGGCAATTGACCTCGAGACATCCGCCGGTGCCGCCACCGTCGGGTCTCACGCGGACGCGGCCGGAGAAAGGGAAGTAAGGAACGAGAGCGCGAGAGAGTGCGGATTTGAGACGATCCGAGAGAGGATTCGGGTCAGAAACGGGTGGGTAAACGAGGAGGTATTCGATGGTGAATCGGAGGAAAAGCTGAGAATCTAAGGCGGAGAGAGACAGAACAGAAGAAGGTGTTTGGTCGGAAGGAGTAATAACAGTGGCTTCTTTCACATGAACCAAGGATCCCATACTTTTTTTCTGTGATGCTCTGTTTTCTTCTTCTTCTTTTTAATTTTTTTTCTCTGAAATAAAGAAGGTGGGTCTCTGCTGCTATATATGCATGTATTATATAAGCTTATATATATATATATATCAGCTATGTGTATAAGTGTATTATATGTATAAAGTATGTTTTTTGTTCGTTACATAAGTATGCGCTTGTATATTCACGTAGAGATAGGTATCGAGACGAGTAGGGTAATTTTGTAATTTGGGTCTTCTTTTTCGACGTGGTGTGTCTCGTGTGTGTGTTGTTACTGTTGTATCGTGCATATGTACTCTTGTGTGTACTTGTTCCCTTAAGGTGTTCTCAGTTCTCATTGATTTCGTCTCGTGTTAGCAAACCATATCTGAAAATGCAGATCTGGTACTACTGAAGCCGGAAGCATCAGAAGATATGCAACACATGCTGTGTCGAGAAGCTGAGGACGTACGAGGACACAGAAGTTAACATGTCAAAAGATTTGCAGAGCTTGTGAGAGATTCGCAGAAATTCAAATAGTAGTAGCTTCAACGGTTACACTGATTTTAGTGTAACTATTGGACTTAACTTAAAAACCCACTGGACTTAAGATAATAGATACCGGACATAATGTTCTTCAAACTTGGAATATTTTGAGCCGTTAGTCACTTGGTCCGACAGTTTACAAGTTATTGGATACGTATAATTTTTTTCAACTTAGAGAGCATAAATAACCGATAACCTTTGACTAAAACTACCTTATTCGATATTGGAAAGAGCATAAATTGGTATAATCTGGTTGATCCGGAGAAGTTTTACTCTATTAAAATTGATGGAGGTGGATGATCACGCATATTTATACCGTCTATATACCATTTGATCATCGTCTATTTGAAATTGATCATCCACACGACAAACCACTAAGGAGATACCAATCTATACACACTACTATCAACATAACATACAGGAACATATTATGTATTGTCTATGTAAATGCATACAGTTTATATGGCCATCCAAAAAATTGTTTGTTGTCCATACGATTACGAACACACGTATTCTACATGATCGTATAATCCGTAAAATAAGACTTTTAAGACAAAAATGTCTAGAACAGAAGAAGAAAAAACTGCTATTTGGCAAAAGTTTTTAAAATAAGAATTAATTTTAAATAGTATGTTAGAAATGTCACTAAGTCAATATTTCTCGATTTTCTTAGTGTTAGCAGTAAATTATTCTTTGGCAGATTTTTATTCTGAAAAAAAGTCTTTGAATTGATATGTTACGGTGTGAAATGAATTGATTGACGATTAAAGTAGGAAAACATAACTTTGTAACTATGTTTAACAAGATGTGCAAGTAACTCATCAACTTATAGTTATGATCTTCATAGTTATCAATAAAAGATGTTCATGTATTCATTTAAGAAATTATCCGTTGGCACGCATGATATATCATATATTGTTACCTTTAAATTATCACATACGATTTAAGGTCTGTATACAAAATTATTTTATCGTGGAAGAAACCAACTGCTTATTAAAAATGGTAAGCATTCTCTGATGAAACGAACAAATATCATAACGGACCGGTCTACACCTAACCCAAGCACAAGACGGTCGACAAAAGTATCATAAAAAAGCAAGAGAAAACAGTACGGGACTTATTCGGCTAAATTCGACTCCATGAACAAATTACAATTTAAAATTGTACGGTTTTTTAAAGGAAAAATGTCTATAATCAACCCAAAAACATTACACCTTTCTTGTTTATAAATATTTGGATGTATATAGAGGGAAATAATAATGAGAATAAAAATGGTTGTGGTGGCGGTTTACAATATGATGTGCCTTGTTGTTTGGGCGTTGGCGCATGTGTCTTAAACAGTGAAAGATTTGGTGCCAAGATTCTCATGGAATAACTTTATTGGACAAAGACAAAAATATATACTCATGGAATATTAATTGAAATATATACCCTTCCATAATTATGCAAAATTTAACCAGAGAGAAATATCACAATTTATATCCTTATACAGTATTCTAACTATATATAGTCATCATATAGTAAATTAGTAAGCATTCATATACGTAACATGTCTTATGTGATACAAAGAAAATACAATTGCTAGGACATATAACCCCCAAAAAAGGAAAAAAAAACTATTTAAGTAGTCTTTACCATTAGCCATGGGGCTATATATAACCGAAAGATCATCAAACACTTTCATTATCTCAAATGCTTACCATTCGAATCAAATATTAATAAAATTACTATAGGTGAACTTTTGATTGAAATCATATGTATAGATAATTAAAAAGCAATGCCACTTTTTTCTTTAAATTTCCTTGAATTACTGTAGTGGTCTTGTCAATTCCGCCATGGACCCATAAATATTTAACGTGGTCACTCGTATAGTATAGATGATATACTTTTCTCTTATAAGTCATATTTTTCGGTATATGATATAAAGCTTCTTTTTTCAATGATGATAGAACAGTATACTTCGACCCTACAAATATTACCTCTTGTCATTAATAATCCAAAATGTGATGAGTAGAGTCGGAGAGATTTAAGGATCGATCAAATTTTGATACGACGAATGAGATGAACTGAAACCAGATATATGTTGGTGATGTATATATAATCGAATTATAATGCCCGAAGATTTCTTTTTTAAATTCAATTTGCAAAAGATATCCGAATACTCTTATCATTTATCAATGAAAGAAATAATTTAGATGGTGGGATACATTTCACATTCCCATTAAACAAAAGATTAAAGAAGATGATTCGGTAATCCAAATAAATGGGTTTGAATTGTTTTGATTCTGTTTATGAAAAGAAATAAGGAAGATTTGGGAAGATTTTGTACCAAGAAAATAAAAAAGGTGAGAAAGATTGCTTTATGGGGAACAAACTAAAAGGGTGACTTGATATGGTATGCACATGTTACGGTGGTCATGTTTTTTTTTCTTTTTTTTTTTTGACACAAGGAATCTAGAGTAAGTCATCTACGAAACTTTGGTCGTGTATATTATGGGCTATAGAGTAGATGCATGCTGAAAGTGAAAAGTGAAAGGCACTTTCCATATACAGTAATATAGGCATAGTTCGTGTCGGTGACGCCAAGGACACGTTAATTAACGAGGAGAAGCGACGCTGAATGATGAAATTGAAAGAAAGATAAAGGTAAAAGTTATGTTATACCGTTATCGCTCTCGTATTCTCAGAGTTGCCACATTCTTTCAACAAGTCGTCGCTCTACGTCTTACTTTCACAAGTTGTGGTTTCGTTTTTGTTGCAAAGACAATGACACAAAAATTGTAACAAGGTTATTTCTATAATTCTAGGAATGGTGGTTGATGATCTGATAATGGTAACATCGACAAACCAGAATTTTAAAAGTAAAAGCGGCTTTAAAATTTCTTACTAAACCAAACTAAGAAACAAATTCAAAACTAGATCCCGAATTTGGGTGATAGAACTCTAGATATATAAATTTTTCATTTTCATAGAGCCCATCATGGATCTTATCTATAGATATCTAGCATTGCATTTTCTATAAGACTATTTAATTATATCCAAGGATGGTTACATTTATTCCCTGAATTCCGGAAGCATCTATCACATTTGCTACCTCACACTAACATTTAAAATAGCTTAGTTTAGCATAGCTTTATACTCATCATACCACGCCCCTCACCATCGTTTATGTTTAGCTCACTGTACATACACACACACAAACATACACTAGCTCACACACACGCGTATAAATTCATCGAGCTCTAGTGGTACTTATATCTTCTTTTTGAGATCCATTCCTAAATACCAAAGCGACATAACCCGGCTGTGCATTTGCCATGTATATAGGCACATGTAGACAACAAATTCATGAAACGACTAGACGATGGATGAAGTTCATGATATAATTAGAAGTAGTCTTGTGGAGAATAGTAACTAGCTAGATTCAATTTACGTATATCTTCATAGCTGCCAAGTATTTATAAAAGGAACCAAAGATGAACAAAACACTCACCATAGATCATAGAGAGAATATCGTACTCCGATGAACAGAAGAAAATACAAAAACCTTTTTTTGAACTTACTTGATAAAAGATCCAATTAATATGACGAAAGTCATATGAAAATAACGACAAAACCCTTGTCATTAAGTTATTCTTTTTTCAATTTCAATTCATCAGTATGTGATTTTTGAAAAGGCGTAGGCCAGGGTAAACAAATAATCGTCATATATATATGTGTGTTTTTTTTCCGCATTATTCGTAACGCATAATATCTATTTTCGTGGTTCTTTTTCATGAAATAAAAACAAATAAATTGGGTGTACGCAGAGAAACACCACATGCACATATATTATCCATCCAACGCAAGAATTTAGTAGGCCCATCTCTTAAGCACTGGGCAAGTAGCCACCATCCCTTCTCACGAAAATAGAGTAATACTTCCCAATTCCGACATTTGCTTTCACAACTTGGTAGTATCTATTTCCTTTTGATTATACTATACATTATTCTCGTACTTATATAAATGTTGTTTGCATTGTTTAATCATATTTAACTACTTTGACAGTTCGGCTATATATAATCTTTTTAATTGTATCTGGAAGCAAAGAATTGAAAATTTGCTAAAAAGCATGATGTTTTTATCTATATAGCTGAAAAAAGGTTGGACGAAAATGATTTATCGTATTCAACATGAAAATAACAACACTGTTTGACCTTTGGCATACATCATGTGTGAAACCAAACTAAGGCTCCTTTGAAAATGACACGAAAGGATGATATCCATATATAGATCTGTAAATACACACATAACCCTAACATAGACACATATATGAATCGACTTATTAATAAATTTATAGAGATACAAACAAGGAAGATCGGAAGATTCGAGTGTTAAAATGTAAAAGCCGGTCACCGACCTCTTAATGAGTTACGCGATCATAGTTAATGCAAAGAGTGGTTGTAAAGTTCAATCTATAAAAGAGAGAATTTGTCTTTATGTTTGCAAAAGCTTTCATGTGGTCAAAGATTGGTCGGCAGAGACATTTTCACTTGCATGGAGACAAACTTATAATTCGTAGTTAATCTATCAACATTATTTCTTTTACCAATTTTGTCAAACTCTACAATATGGATTTGGAATTTTCTGAGACAAAACAAAAAATCTTGGATACAAACAAGAAGTGAACGACTATTGATTATTCGTTGACAATGGCTAGCTAACCAAGTGAATTCGCAATCTAGTGTAAAATCGAGGAACACAAATTGTTGACAATAATTCTTTTAACTATTTGAAGGTGAAAGAAAATCCGATGTCGATAGGTTTATGCAGAGACACTAGTTACCATGCTTGGAAATTATCTACGTAACATTATTGGTAGAATGATGTACATCATTTATTTGGAACTGGTGAATCGGATATTGTAGACGATCGAATTAAACATATAATATATATAGTCTAAGCTATTATTAGGATAAGCTAAGATTAGATTAGATATGATTTTCATCTTTACCCTAACATTTTATGTTTTTTTAAATTTCTCTTGATGTGATAAGCATTGTTTTCTTCTTCTTTCTTCTTTATATCACAACCCCTCTTTTAGTTATCTCCTTTCTCAACATCTTTAATTATCTTTTCAACTATACCAAAAGGATTCCTCGCAAACAATTGAATCCACGTCTTTTCACAGAAAGGAAGAAGAAGAGATATTCTTCAAAAGTGAATCTTATTCCCAAAATCATATCTTTGTTATCTTTGTTTGTTTGTTGGTGTTAATAAAAAACACTTACATATCTTCACTATCATATGTATTATGATATTTTGTTACATTTCTTCATCTGTCTGCTTTTACTCTATTACTTTCGTTCATATAGTCATCTAACACAGGGATTTCGACCTTTCGTGAACAAGCGGTTTTCTTCTTTCGCTAAAAGTCATTTTCTGTTAATTCTAAGTTCCAAGTTTCAATGGTGGCAAAAGGGATCCAAATCAAATTAGAGAGAATTTGATAACTAGCTTTTCTAAAAATATACTAAAATTCAAAACACTTCAAAGTTTTGAAAACATAAACTAAAGATTTTGTTTTTAAACTAACCAAGGACTTAAAAGGATAGTATTAATTTATTTAGTAGGAGGGTTTCTCATAATCCTCATTTTCGTGCCATTTTGATTAATTAATGGGTCAGAATGTTAAGAATGGGCCACTAATACCAGAAATGAAGCCCATTTAACCGTTGGCCTATTTTATGAAATAACCATCTTTCCGGTATACTTGGCTTAAACACTAACGAAATAAGAAAACCAAATTACTACTTATGAAACAATCAGTTAACTCCGGAATGTTCCTTCAAATCCTCTCCGATCGATCGTTCTCCACCGTGAAGGTTAAGGAAGGCTATTATGCGCTTGGTTTGGAGTATGTGATGGCGTACGCCGGAAAAGACGTGCGATTGGATGTTCAGAGTTTTGGGAGTTTGGCTGGTAAGCTTGTGAAGAGGAAGAGGTTTGAGGAGGCGAAGATTGTTTTGAAAGAGATGGTTAAGTTTGTTGCATCTGTAAACCTCTCTCTGCTTGTGGGATTGCTGGTTTCAGTTTGAAGCATTTTACTGCAAATATTACTTAGATAAGTCCCAAGGCTATTCATTGTTCAAGTTCAGTAGATTGTTGCAAGATTTATCAACTTGTGGATTCTTGGTATTGGCATTTGGCATAGACATGAAGTACAAGATTGTTAGTTAACCGAGTGTGATAGTCATGCAGGATTTGGGACTAAGAAACATTGAAATTAAAAGCACCCAACATCACAGTTAACATCTAAAATCCAACAATGCACACCATTTGGAGCCAGACCCCTATTAAAAAGATGAAACAAGGATAACATGACTTATCTGTCTTCTTAAAATTTATGCTTCACTTGAAAAAGAAATGAAAATTGCCTAATTTTGATGTTGAATTAATTTAGCTAGTTAATTTAATGCATCTCCCGAAGTATAGCTTCCATCACAACGAGGAAAGCGACGATGCGGATTATTTGAGATTTGAAATTATTCGCTCGTATTAATATGTGTTGCGTGAAGTCAGGAAAAAAAAATCGTCTCATAGAGAGGGAAGATCTTGAATTTTACTTTGAGAGTACACACGTTTCCCTTCCATTACAAATTTACAATTTACTACTCCATTAATGGGGGTTGACCAACTTCTTCTACCACCTTTTCTATATACTCCCTCCGTTTCAAATTAGTTGTCGTTTTGGCAAAATGTATCTGCAAATATTTGGACGTATTTGAACGTGTTTTACATTGCAGATACGTCCAAATATTTGAAGATACATTTTGCCAAAACGACAACTAATTTAAAACGGAGGGAGTAACTAGTTAATTTTTTTTTTTGAACGACTATATAACTAGTTAATATAACGTGGAAGATCGGCTATTTTCGTCATATAATGTATTTATATCTTATAGTGACCAATCTTAGTTATAATTGCTGTGGAAAAACTCAAATTCCGATCTTCTAAAAGAATCATCTTAGCATATTACCAAATCATTTTTTTGGGTGCAACATATTATATGTTACCAAACTTGCGGTTGTATTACCAAATACAACCACAACATATTACCAGACTTGTGGTTGTATTCGTATATGATTCGATTCAATTGGTACAAAAGCTTTTCGGGTTACAAACCGAAAAATTGACATAACTACTACTCTACTCCACAGTTCTGATAATTTATCGTACGTTACAGAGTAATTATTTAAACTAGTTTCTGATTCGCTATAAAGTATGAATCAGATGATAAATAAATATTGGTTGCATGGGTTAATGCGCACATTAATGGCTTTGATCGTCAGCTACATTTGCACGCCATTTACTATGAGTCATCATCTTCAGTTTATTTCTATTCTTTATAAGACCTAATAATGGGCAAATCCCTTTCTAATTTGCTCCATTCATTTATTGAAACCTAGAGTGATGTACTTATGCTAATAGTATGTGTCTATGTGAACACATTTACTTGTTTATACATGTGACCATCCATTCATATACTTCTTTCGGCACATGCATAGCATTTGCTGTTTGATTAACTAATTACGTACAACTTCAAATGCAACAAACATGAAGGTTCTTAGTTTACATATTTGATTCAATTATAATTCTTTTGTCAACTGCAGATAGGAAAGATATGTTATTATAGAGCTAGAATTCTCCTTATAGCTAGAAATCTTCTTATTCAATTTATATACATAATCGGATATCCCATAAGACACGTACCAGAACTAAACTATTTCATGGAAAGCTGTTAGGTATCACAGAATAAGTTGATATTCCTGTTATTTAAAATATTCAGAAAAGTCAGCTGACTAGTGGAAAGATTCGAATTACAACTCGACGATTGACGTGGATTGGTTAAAAATTGTTTATGTTTGTATGATAAAAATTTTGGTTCTTATAACCATCTCCACATCAACAAATATGCACACACCGTGTGACTGTGTTTTCTATTTTGTCTTGTGGAAAACAACCACTAAAATAGTATTTTGTGTAAATAGCAATTCATAGATCGGTTGGAATAAGTACCTTATGTTAAAGATTAGAAACTACTCCATAAGAGACACCATTATTATGAACAATATTGAATTAAACACGACTATCTTTGTGGGACTCGATGTACTAAGTTAATAGATGTCTCATTATTACAGAATTAAATCATTCACTGTTAGAGAAATTGCAGCTGTATTCAACTTCTTTTCCACGTTGGGCCCATTTTATAGCTCTATATATCTTTGCAACTCCCTAAAATTGGAAAATGTACATGTTATTCTCTTTTTTCATCATCCCCACTAACCAAACCATGAGCCCTAATCCACACAAACCAATCCTACTAACATTCTTCACTCTATTTCTCCAACTTACAAGCCCTATCAATGCATCACCATCCCCACCGGTAACAGCTCTTTACGCCTTCGGCGACTCCACGGTGGATTCCGGCAACAACAACTACATCCCCACTCTTTTTCGGAGCAACCATCCTCCCTACGGCAAATCCTTTCCGGCCAAACTCTCCACGGGAAGATTCTCCGACGGAAAACTCGCCACCGACTTCTTATCCTCCTCTCTAGGACTCAAACCCATTATACCAGCTTACCTAAACCCTTCAGTCAAACCCGTTGACCTTTTGACCGGCGTTAGTTTTGCCTCGGCCGGAGGTGGTTTAGATGATCGGACGGCGAAGTTATCGTCGACTTTGACAATGGACAAGCAACTGAGTTGCTTTGAGGAGGCTGTGCGCAAGATGAAGAGTGCGGTTGGAGAGTCGGAGACTAACCGTGTGATTAAGAACGCTTTGTTTGTGGTTAGTGCGGGCACTAATGATATGATCTATAATGTTTATGATCATGTTCTTGGGAGATTGATTTCAGTTTCTGATTATCAAGATTTTCTACTCACCAAAGTCGAAGCATTTGTCCAGGTCAGCTACGTTCAACTTTTAAGTTCTTAATTCTGTTAATTTATTTTTAAATCATAAATTAGTTGTATATATGAGAATTTCCCAATAAACTAATCTATAGAGAATTGGGTGTATATATTAAAATATAAGCAAGTGTCTTATTCGCATCATCGCATGGATCCTACCATTAAATTACTTGAGTAAGATATGCGCGTTCCGCTAATCTAATTATGAGACCATTTGCATGTGTTGTCCCTATCTATTTTAATATTTCCCTCTCCTTTTTGAACTTATATTTTTCGATTTTATTTTCAAAAAGTGTATAGTACAATGATAAGACGTTTACTTATTTTGTAATTTTTAATAATATCTCCTTTTCAAATTTTGAACTAATTTAGTTTTAAAATTAGAGATGTTTATATATTAAAAAAAAATTAAAAATTACATCCGAATTTCAATGATAAAATTTTAAGCTGAGATGTTATGAACTTCTTTTTCAACGAAATGTCAGAGTAATTTAAACTGAGCTTATAATGGGCCTTAACCCAGAATAAGCATTCCAATTATTTTTCCTTAAATTTTTTTATAGTTCAGGCCCATATTGTATTTCATTTGCAATTAGACTCTCTGCTCATAGTCATAGTGATTAGTGAAGAAGAAACTAAGATTTAAATCTTACAGCTTAAAACTTGCAAGTCTACAAGATCTAAATCTCTAACGTAATTTAATCTTACAAATGCTTACAGAGACTACACGACGCAGGAGCACGAAGGATTACAGTAGCTGGTCTACCACCGATTGGATGCCTTCCAGTGCAAGTAACAGTTGGTATCTTCACTTCATTGCCACTCCCTGGCATCTTCAATCATCGGGCCTGTACAGAAAACCAGAACACTGATTCTCAGCTTTACAATCAAAAGCTACATAAGCTAAACTTCCGTCTCAATCAGAGGCTTCGAGGCTCAAAAGTTCTTGACCTTGACATCTACTCTCCGTTAATAGACATGATCAAACATCCTCATAAATACGGTAACGAATTAAGCAATTTATTATACACGTTTTTTTTGTTAATTGGAACAAAATGTCGAATGATGATTGATGTAACTGATGATTGATGTAGGATTGGAAGAAACGTTGAAAGGATGTTGCGGGACGGGTTTGCTTGAGGCAGGACCTCTATGCAAGCCATTGTGTCGGACTTGTGAGGATGTTTCAAAATATTTGTTCTTTGATTCTGTGCATCCTTCACAAAAAGCTTACTCTGTCATTGCTAATTTCGCCTTACTAAATTTGGTTCCTCTCCTCTAATTTATAAAAACTAATTGCAATTTTTTTATAAAAACATTATCAGTGTCCTAATTGTTGTTAAATGCTGCTGTGGCTTGCACCATTATTTAAAGTGTCTGTAAATAACGTGGGATATTCAATCATTTCGTGGGAAAGAAAGAAAGAAGGTTAAACTCAAAATTACACGTTGGTCATGTAGATCAAATTTGCTTACAAAGAAATTCCATGAGTCGTATATATTGTATTCCAATTTCTCTTTGCCACCAAATTGGCTTCTGAAACTGCACTATTGAAAATCAATGAAGTAGAAGTTAAAAAGAAAAATTATATACAAACTCTACATGTCGTCAAGTACAAACATAATAAAAAAATTGATCTCTCACGTTACAAATATGTTTGACTTAACAATGGAATATATATATTTGCTCAAATTATTAAGGATTGGGAAGAATGATACAACAAAGACACATGTAAGTAAACACAAGACAACAAAAACCTTCCATAGTTTTGATTCTCTGAAAAATAGCTAAATATTTTCAAAATATAAAATACGATATAGCCAAATCTTATTCAAGGCCCGAGATGATAAGAAAACGATTATATGCGATTAACAAATTGTTTGTTGTGTATCGAGGAGATCAAGACACATCTCTATGTCGAGCACATCTGTCTTCTTGTCTTTCTCTCCAATTTTTTCTCTTAAAGAAAGTCTTATATGGCCATATGGGAGAAGACAAAAATGTAAAGAACTTTCGTTGTATTGTTAATAGAGTGGTAATGTGGGATTGTACAAAAAAATATATGTATACTAAAAGAGTGGTGCGAAAGAGAAACGGAAATGAAATTTAAGAAAAAAATTAGTTAAATGGACTAATTTGTTAAAGTTATTGTGTTGACAAAATTTGCTCATACTCTATAGCCAAAAAACAACAAAGTTGTATGTATTTTTGTATGTGAAATGGCTTAGGATACTTATTTTGTGAGAGTAAGTGACAACGGGAACTACACATACATTTGCAACGTCTCACAACAAGACACAACCAAGACAACGTGCAATGTCTAGTAACTCTCAAAATCATATAGACTCGTTAATCTTTTTTTGTGGTTACTATTCAGAAGAAAACAAATCTCTGCTCACAATTCGATCAATATGCATTAACATCTAGACAAATTATGTGGAAAAGAGGACAAACAAACGTTAAAAAAATGTCTCTATTATTACCTTAATCATGGGTCTTGTCACCAATATGCAACGAATGATAAACAGTACAGAACCGTCTTCCATCAACAAGTACCTCAAGATCTCACTTAGAATATAGTTATATATATGTTGTTATATATATATATTCACAAAGTGAGATCAAGGGGACTTGCCAAGACGGAAATCTTTCTCTTCTTATGATTATTTTGATCTTCTTCCCTAATAGTTCGATCGAGTTTATCAAAACTCGACGAAGATAATGAAAGAGACAAACGCTTGATATCTTCATGATCATCATGTTCTTTTCCTTCACCTAGTAACAAGCATTCTCCAAGGTTGTCGTGTGTCCGAGGTACCTTAAGGGACAAGCTTAGATCCAAATCTTGATCCGACTTATTGCAGTCACCAGATAACAATAATCTTTTCCTCTTTAAAACATTCTCTGATCCTTCGGCTTCTCGAGCATTGTCCCTTTGATAAGAACTTAATGTCGTAGCAATATGATCTGGTCTTGTTGCGGTCGAAGAATTAGGATTGGAGGAGAAGCTCTGTCCCCATGATTTGTTAAACGTTTTCACACCTTCAAGAAAACTTTTATGAACTCTTGGAACAACTTGAGATACTCCATTGTTCCCATGAACCGCTTGATGAGAATTGATTCGAAACGAAATAGTTTTGTTCTTATCGTCAAGAATGCTATTGCTAAGCCCATGATATCTCTCGCCAGGCATTGAGCTAAACGGTGTTGGTCTTACTCTTGTATTGTCTCGTGCTGTTAAGCCTCTCCAAGGACTACGGTAAATCTGTCGTCTATGGTCGGTCCACGTACTGCCACCATATCTACTGAACACGGTCCAGGTTAAACTCACTTAATTTTAACATATATTTAGTAATTAATAAGCTGGAGATTTTGATAGTACCCTAAGCTAGTAGAAGGCCTTTGATCAAAACTTTGTAGCATTGGAAGTTGGCTAAGGTTGTACGCGTAACCAGCTCCGTGTTCAAAAGAAAATCCCTGATCTCCTAAACTTACAAGAAAAAAAGAATTAAAAAAAAGAGAAAAAAAATAAATCAAGATATCTTAGCTTCGAATTCAGTTATAAGATTAATGATCAAAATCCATATAAACCCTAACTTAAGTATAAGACAGAAGAAAAAAATTACCTTGATTCGGGTCATCGGTCTTCTTGCTTCTATACATCTAGCAAAAAATGTGGAAAATATGAGTCAGATGGAAAATCTCACTGATGTATTTAGATTTATATAAATATACAGTATGTGTATGTTTTCAAAACCTGAAGATGGCTCTTGACATGGGCAATACTTAGCCCCTTGACGTTCATCAATTGAAGAACAAGCTTAGGTGTTGCTCCTGTTCCAACAAAACCATTCAATTAATAAGAAAACCCTAGAAATAATAGATTCTTCATTTATGTAGAGATCTTGAATATTAATCCACATATATAATTGAAACTCAACTATCTGGTCCACCCAATCTCTCCACAGCTTGAAGAAAGCAAAGATGAAGCTCAGGTGTCCATCGCAGCCTCGGAGTCTTGGAGCGGTTGTACGGCCTCACAGATCCACCATTCTTCTTGATCTGATCATGATTAGGATTCCCACTCTCTTCCACATAGCTATTGCTAGATGGGCTCTGATCTCCTGATCTCTCTTCTTCATCTTCTTCTCCTTCATCATCTTCTTCATCTTTATCCTCTTCGTTCTTGGTGGTTGCCTTGAAGTTGTTAGGTGGACAAGTCTTGGAGTTTTCAGAACTTTGGCTGCTTGATCTCATCTTGGTCTCTAGCGCTATTTGGCTGCTTTTGTGTTGTTTGTTTCGGGGGTGGAACCTTTTTGGTCTATCTTGGAGTTCTTTAGACAAAGTTTAATCAAAGATCACACACTCATACATATGTGTTAGGAATTTAAGGTGAAGACTTTTGAAGGTCTATGTGTATGACTTTTTGGATGCTTGTATCCATCATTCCTTTTTCTCCCTCTATCTCCTCTCTCTCCAACTTCACATATATGTTGAAATATATATGCAAATGATGACAGCGGATATTCTAAATTCTATTTAATATATATCTTTTTCTTCAAAACAATGTTTTTCTATATACATCTTGGGGAAAGATAGATCTAGATTTACACTTCATGACAAAAAAAAAACAAATGGTACTTTTACTTCCATTAAACGTCAGTAACTACACTTCAGTCATAACAGAATATTTTAAAATTATAACTTTCGAGATACTAATTATTAACTCAATTCGTTCAACTTTTGAATTTTGTTGTGATAGGGAAGTGAAAAGAACCTCGCGCGGAGTAAATAGAATTTGTCTAGATATTCATTTTCAATTCCATAGTAAGTGATAAAAACCAATTGATAGTAAGTTGAATGACCTATGTCTTCATTCAATTGAGTGTAACTACTTTTATATTTTAAATTGACCAATGAGTAAAATGATCTTTGTTTTCATAGGATTTAATACGTGTTCTTGTTCAGTTCGAACTAGCTTTTGCAATATAGGAAGAAGGCAACAATTAATGAGGCATGCACATTAATTAGATAAATGAAACTTCTTCCATCGTTACAACTCATGAATTAAATTGTCTAAAAAAGCAACAAAAATAAAAGGGGATGGTTAGGAGGATGGGCTCGTGACTTCAAAGCCAAAGCTGTGAAACCCGGAAAAAAGAAGAAACCGAAAAGCATAATTTGTTCTTTGTGTGTGTGTGTGTGTGGGAGAGAGAGAGAGAGAGAGCATAGAAAGAGGAATCAGACAGAAGTTAAAAGGTGCTTGGCTGGGCTGTCTTCACTGAGAGACACGAGAAGAAAATATTGCTACTTGTTTCTGTCACCAACGACAATCACGGGTTTGTCTCCATCTCCACTACTCTCACTATATCATATTATCTATAATTATCTACACATGCGTCTGTGTCTCTATACATGCAAAATGTATATCTCTCTTTTCCATATATAACCCAAATATTTGTTTTATTCGGATATACACTATCACATTTTAAGCTGATAAATCACATGAATTCTCCTGTATACTCAGAATTAAACTTTAGATTTGAACCAGAAATTGTACGTAACCATTTGATGTAGTTGGAATTCATCAGGGGGTGATTAGTTTGTTCTATAAAGCGTGACTTACTAGCAAATACTACTCCAACCAAGAAGGGATTTCATAAATAAACGATCAGAAAACTACTAAGTTTAAAAAATAAATTTGAAACTTCAATTAGTTCTAAGTTTAAGCTGATTTTTCAATTTTAATATATATAGTTCCCCTTATTTTACGGCGATTAACACAAACGTATGGTCGGACTATATATTGATCTCATTTCTTACTCTTAAAATAAATAAATTGACAAGAGAAAAAGAAAATGATGCATGAATATGTTCAATTAGCTAAGTTCTCTCCGATCACTACATAATATATTACTTGCTCTAACATATAAGCAGAAGAAATTTTCGTGTAAGCGACATGCAAGTACTGTGTCAAATTTTATGATTGGTGGTGACTAGATATGATGTAGAAGTCATTGGTCAAATAAATTAGGTATATGACATTTCGTTCTTTTTTTCTTCTGTCAAAAACTTTTTTTGGAAGCCCAATGTCCAGCCGTAATCGTATCTTTTCGTCGTCGTTATTAATTATGGGTAAGAATTAAAATTGTCGTATTTTGCTTTTATAGTTTTTCAACAATAATCATTTACGTTAGAATGACGTTCTTGATATCTACCCTACAATCCTAGCTACTTCCATCCTCAGACAACCCATGAGCAAATTATACGACCCAACAAATACCAAATGCTAAGTAGTATCCATTACGGCTTTTGATTTATAAAGTTATAAAACTTATAATCCGTTGAATATTGACCACTACACTAGTTCATTCTCATTGACACATATGAATCAATCAAACTCTAAGCGTTGACCTAAGTCTTTGCGTTTTGTGTCTTGCTAATGTATGTGGATTCTCTCAACTTCTTCATTAGCTACGAAATTCTAAATAATACTAATATTGGGTTTGAACTTCAGATCTGAGATTGTATGGACATAAATTAACAATTGCATAGATAGAAACAATATACGATACACCAGACCGAAGAAAATTCCAGTAGTGTATCAGATGATCATATACTCATATATGTATGTCTATTTTTAATTGAAAGATGTGTGAACGAAAATTATTTTAATGGGAAAGAATAAGTTGGGGGAGAGCAGAAAAGAATACAATAATAGTATAATTTGTACGTATTATGCATGGGTTTGCATGCATAGCCACTGCAGCTAAGTAATCAATCAGTATGGCCCAATAGTTTAGGTATTGAAACCACAATAGCAAAATCATATTATTCGCTTTCATTATTATATCGTTTTTTGTCTGACGTTATTATATTACCATGACAAAAGTCGTGTTTGAAAGTTTTTTAATTAGAAATGGCTGACAAAAAAAGAAAGTTTTTTAATTATAGAAACGAATAAAGTTTGGACCTCGTCTCGGACAGGGAAATTTCGTGGAATGTAGGTTGCTTGTCGAATTAGAAAAATGGGAATTTCATTTCATATGTGTTGATGCCTAAAAATTACAATTCAAAATTATAATTTTTGGTGTACTAAGTACTAACATGCAGTGATCGATCTCTGACCATAAACTATTTTTCCTACTGGACTGGACTGGACCATATATCGGGGTCCGATTATTCAGTGTTTAAAGCCCAACCGCCAAGTTAATAGGGGTCTATTTACAATAAAACTAAAGAAAAGGGTGAAAGTATAAATAACAGAACTTGGAATTAGAAATTAGAAAATCCCTCGTCGTACAAACGAAAAGTTCCCAACTTTACTTGAGAAATTGTGAAGATCTCTTCGTCTCCGACTGTTCTGAGAGTAGTAGAAGAAGACGCTGAGCGAAATCGGAAACATGTACGATGTGATGTTGCATGAAGCGAGCCTGTGGGTTGACGAGCCTCCTTTCCGTAAGCGAAAGCTCGAAGCTCCTCCCGTCGAATCTCCACCTGATTCACCCGTAGCCTCAGACGCCGATTATTTCTCCGACGAAGAAGAAATGGATCCGGTCAAGAGGGAAAAGTACCGGAAGCAAGTTTTTGAGTCTTGCGTAAGTAAAATCCTCCAAATTCGCTGGTTGCTTTATCCAAATCCTGCATCGAAATTGATATAAAAAAAGTGGTTTTTTGGGTTTTTTTTTTTTTTTTTTTTTTTTTTGTTGATTTAGGGATTCGATGTTGATTTCTTCATACACACATTGGGTGGGATAATTCCGGTTGGCTGGACTTCTTACGAGTTACAATTCGCCAAGGCAGGACTCCATTGTTACAATATTGAAAAGGTTTGTGCAATTTGAAATTCGACAGTGGTGAAGTGGTGATTGATAAGTTGCTACTCATAACTCTTTTTTTTTTTTTTTTTTTTTTATTGTAGGGGAAGAAGTTAGAGTTTAAGAGTGTAGTGAAAGTGAACGCAGAGATCGCTCACATGTACAACTGCTATGCAACGTTAGAGGTGATTGATCCGGTGGACGACACAGTGCACACATTCCAAACCTTGGTCACGGATTCTGTGAAGCGGAAAAAAGCAAGCTTGGTTATAATCACTAAAATATGCAGGATTAAGCCTCAAGTACCAGGTATGTTGTGTGAATACATGTTGTGAATTTTGCATTAGGCGTGCTTGTGGAGGCTAATCATGTTTCCTTATATAGGAATTGGAGATGCAACTACCTTTTGGGACTATGATGCTGTAGATGAATTCTACAAAGGTGATATGCCGGATTGGCCAACGAATGATGGAGCTGACTTGTTGTATGAGGTGAAAGATTCAGAGCTGAGAGACAATGAGTGGCTGTCTTTTTATGCTGAAGTTGCATTGTTCTCTGAGAGGCAGTGTGACACGGTGAGCATAGTTATCTCTATACGTGTTTTTCTCTCAACAAAGCTTTGTTTGATTGATGTTTGTCTGTTTTGCTCTCTTGCCCTTGCAGCCGCCATTTGAGATGAAGAAAGTATTGGTGGAAACAAAGGAAGGTGTACAGAATCAGCTAAAGTCGAGCAATGCTGTCTTCTACATGAGTTTCAAGGTTCGTGGAGGTCCCGAGTGCAGAGGCATAGTAAGAAAAACAAGTGATGGAAGGACAGGGCATATCTGCCTTGAAGCTAGATGTTGGATCGACTAGTATTGAACAAGATTTTGTTTCCGATATGTACACTGATTCATTTATACATGTTTATAGATTTACTTAACGTGAAGAGAAAGCAACAAAGCAACTTGGTGTATTCAATTTTACTAGATAGCTACAAAACAAAACTCACACATCTTCCAAAGTACTTACAGGTTTTCTTGTGTAACGTGTGTCTCTCTCTTACGCCGCCGACAAAACCTCCAACTCTGCCCACCAAAGAGGTGACAGTTTCGGCGTAGCATCGCTCGGCGACACTCCGGTGATCTCTCTCAACCATCCCGTGACTTCTCGCATCGTAGGTCTCTCTTTCGGATCAGTCCTCACGCACGATTTGATCACTTCACCTATATTCTCAATCTTCTCATCGTAAGACTCCAGCGTCGGATCCACCATCTTGGCAAGAGCCTCTCCTCTCAAGAAATCAACCAGCCCGGTATCCACCGAGTCCGGTTTGTTAACCGACTCCGGGAGCTTCCCGGTTATCATTTCGAATAACAGTAAACCGAAGCTGTAAACGTTGTCTTCTTGGCTGAAGACTGAGACCTCAGCGTCTCTCGTCTCTGTCTCGGACGGACCGAAACTGAAGTCTGCGACTTTGACCGCGTAATCCTCTGTTAAGTGAAGTGATGATGAGACGAGATTCGTGTGAGCTATGGGTGGATTGAGCTGATGCATGTGGTCAAGGCAATATGCTAATCCCATTGCGATTCTTAACCTCATTCCCCAATCCAAATACTCCGATTCTTTATCTGCAACAAACAACAAAAAAGATTTGCTTCCCATTTAGATCATGAAGGAAATGTGACAACACGTGGCTTATGGACAAGTGTACTCACCGTGTAAATGCTCAAAGAGTGATCCGTTTGGAGCATATTCAAAGATCAAGATCCTAGTGAAAGGCTCGTTTTCTTCACAGTAGCCAAGAAGGTTTACGAAGTTCTTGTGGTTTATCTTTGATAACATTTCGATCTGCAAGAAAAAATCAAGAAACAAGAAAACCGATAAGCCTGACTATATGGTCATTAGAAAACAATAATCCATTTACAAATACTCATACCTTCTTCCTGAATTGAATCTCTGTGTTGTTCTTCCAGTCTTTAGCAGAAGTAGTGTCAATAGAAGCAACAGCAATCTCCACACCACTTGAGAGTGTGCCTTTGAAGAGCTTCCCAATGGGACAAGATCCAATGACGTTGCTGAAATCTTCACACGCAGCTTCAATCTCGGATCTTTTTAGAGTTGGAACACCTGAAGTAGTATGATAAAATCAAATCACACATTGTTACTATATGTGAAACCAAAAGGAGAGAGACAATATGAAGTTTTTGAGAGAATTACCAGTTACAAAGACTTTCTGAAGTTGTCCGCTGAGACCTGTACGCCAAGGATTCACAGATTTTCCTGATTTACTTGTGAAGTAGAACACACCGGTGGCTAAGAGGAGGAGGAACACAGCACCGCCTACGCAGCCGGCGACTATAGGAACAACCGGTGAAGAAGAAGAAGAAGAAGAATCAGACTTTCTTGGAGGAGTTGGTGGAGGTGAAGCATCTTGTGTTTGTGTAGATGTTTTCATTTCCGGCGGCGAAGGAACTGCTAAGGTTTTAGTTGAAACTTGTTTTGGAGATTGTACCGGAGATGGTGGCGGTGTGCTTGTTGCCGCCGGCGGGCGGTTTCTTCTCGACGGGAGATTGTCGTATGTTAGTAGTGGAGCACGAACAAGTGTTTTCCGGTGAAATCCAACAGCTTTCCTACAGTTTCATTGCAACATGAAACTAAATAAGATCAAAATGAAGAAAAGTTTGTGTTGATTTTATACCAAAAATGTCTAAAATCTAATCGAGGACTTAAATCTGAGAATTGATCGAAAAACTCACTAGATTAAGTTTAAATTCAATTCAAGCTTATAATTTTGTTCTCGAGCTACCAAATCTCTCAGGTGAAAAAAGAAGCGGAAGCTGATACTTACGAGTTTGTGGAATCTACATCTGACGGTAGAGATTTTTTCAATCGATGTTCAGTTTCCGGGAAATCTATACCTGAAAAGAGAAACAGAGGAGAAGAGAATTTCTCAGGTTAAAGTGATTCTGTTTCTATGCGACGACAAAAACGAACATGCAAAACGGGTAAAGTGAAAACGGAAACTACTATACCTTCTTCCTTGAGTGAAGAGCATAAACGGAAGCTGAGAAGGAGGACAAAAGCTATAAGAGAACGCATTTTGGAGATCGATCGAATGGATCTCTGGTTCTCATTCATTGGAAGAAGTAGAGAAGAGAAGAGACAGTAAACAGTATATGCAAGAGAGGCTGGACGCAGAGAGGATGATGGAAATCGGAGTTTCGGATCCGAATCGGAGATTTTACAGATGAGAAGCGGAAAAACAGGAAGAAGGCGAAGACGAAAAGAGACTGACGAATTTTGGTTGAGGGAAGATTAGACTTTTTCGTATATTTTGATATTTGAAAGCGCGTGCGCCGTGTTTTGGCCGATAATGGAAACTAAACAAAGGAATCTCTCTCTTGTTTTTTAGGGGTCAACAAGGAGAACAAACGAATTAAAGGGTTCTATGAAATTTCAAAATGTTTTTTTTTTTAAATAAGTGTGGACAATGTGCATTAAATAAAATAAAAAAAAAAATTAAGAAAATTAATACTTTCATCTACTAATACACTTTCAATATATTTATTTGTAATCCACTTCGAGAAAAATTATTATCAGTATTTCCTTGGTTTTGATTTATTATATGATTGAAAACAAGTGTATAGCCGAAAAACGTGATAATAACAGAGGATAATATCGACTTTATAATATATAATTAACCTAGTAAAAACCAAATCTGATTGGTATACAAAATGTAGTGACAGAAGTACTAAATGGTTCAAAAAAGAGAGGCCCCAATTAGCCAGCGACCGTCGAAAGAGACTTGTGAGTTATGGCGTAGGAAATGGTTCGTTCCTATCTTCATTTTCTTGGTTTTTTCCTACAATGTTTTAGCATGTTATAAAATTCAAAAAAAAAATATTGTAAGCATAAAATGAAAATTTAAAAAAGGACACGTAAATTCGGTGTGATATCTTATCTTAATTCTGAATGATTGAGGATGAAGGAATGATTGTCGTCTTAATTAAGTATGTGGAGGAGAGGAGACTGAGACTAGTTCAATGTGGAGGTTGCTTACTTGTTGCTTTCTTTAGTCCCCATTTCTTAACCCATGTGGGATCCTCGTGGTCTGCTCACTGGTCGTCACCAAAGGCCTTACCTTCAAATTTGATTTGATTTTTGTTAATATGAACAACTTGCTTTTCTTTTTTCCTTTTGGGCTTTTTAGTCTACATCTTTTAAAAAATACAAAAATGGTGGGAAATTTACAAATATATAATACCAAAAAGAGGCAATTGGTCAAATAACTAAAATGGCATAGTAAAATTCTTTACACCCAAATAACAATTTCATATTTCCTTAAGTTTGGCTGTAAAGACTGTTACTATAGTATATAAAAGAAGAAAACAATTTCATATTCCCTTAGAAATTTTAAAATAATCCATTTTGGAGAATTAAGCAAGGTACATGTGCATTGACATATACGGTGAAGCTAGTCAAACATTTCTTACTCTTCCTGAATTTCACCTTATATTTATTTTCTTTTAAACTTTTTTTTATTTCCATTTAAAAAAAGCCAAAAAAATACATTGGGTTTATCCAACCGCGTATTTTTTTTTCAAATTTCAAATTCTCCCACCATAGCAATCAGAGTTCCGTCGTCGGTGAATCGTCGGAAAACACTTCAAGCACCTGACCAAACCTTGCACATTGCAAGCCGTACACGTCGTGAATCCGGATTTCTCCGAGAAGATCTTGTGGCTACCATTACACCTCTCGCAAAGAACAAATCTCCATCCTCTGCACAAATCGCATATCTCCCCGAATTTCCCATATGAGGGTGGTAATGCGCCGATCATCTTCTCCAGCTCGCCGCTCTCTTGTAACTGCATGACCTTTTCCATCCCGCCGATGTATCTCCCTCCAATGAAAATCTTAGGCAACCTCACTTTCTTCATCCCCAAAATATCTTGTAACTCATCGTGAAATTTCGAATCCATTGACAAATCTCGTTCGTCAACTGGGATCCGGAGTCTATGGAGAATTGATCGAACGGATTTGCATTCTTCGAATGTCTTCCTCACGATTCGGAGGCTGGTGTAGTAGAGAACCACGCCACGGTGGTCGGCGTTGGGGATGTCAACGACTGAGAAGAGGGTCTTCGTTGGCGGGACGATAGTAGGAGGTGAGACGCAATTGTGAATCTTGGGGCTTCGAGGTCGATGAATGATTTGACTTCTAGGAGAGTAGAGTTCCGGCGAAGGGTTGTCGGTGAAGAGGAGGTCTTGAATGTCTTTGAATGACGAACATGAGAAATGTCTTGGCCATTTGGGAGATTCCGGCGAGACTTTGTGACGCCTTCTTGGTAGTTGAAGCCAATTTGAGAACATTATGGAAGATTGCTAATCAATGGCAGAATCTAGAGGAAAGTGAAAAGAGTTAAAAAAAAATACAGAGTGTCATGGTGAGTGAATAAGATTTATTTATTTATTAACAGAGTGAAAAGAAACTAGATAAGAACGCCATGAGAAAGAATTTTAGAGAATATTTCTTACTCAAAACGGATTAAATATTTCATTTATTCTCATAGTTCATGCACCAACCCAAAAGAGTAAAGAGTATTTTACAACTTTATTCTAAATTTTATATCAAAGAATAGAAATTGACAATCATAAATTAGTATATTTGATTTTTGAGATATCTTTCTTTAACTGTGATTCTTGCAAAATCTATCTTGAGACAGTACACAGTTTTCGTGTATAGATTTTTTTTCTATTTTGTTTTGAAGTTTCAGAGTTAAGACATGATTTGCTAGTTTAAAATTGTGTTCACTAAAGTTTGCACTATACTGAAAAGATTTTGACCAAACATAATTTGGACAATTTTTGTTCTTCATAGGTTGTATGTTTGTGTTATGACTACATAGCACGGAAGCTTTGTTGGAGGATCGTTTCCGCTTTGGAATCGGTAATGGAATCGGAAGTTTTCGGAAGCTCGCTTCTATAACGCTTCCTTAAATATCCCTATAAATTTATGATTCTATTTTGGAAGTTTACGCTTTGGTTTTAGAAATATGATATCTTAAATAATGATGAATATATTTATATGTCTATAACTTTATAAGTTATACAAAAATGAAAATTAGTCTTAAATAATGATGAATATTTTTATATGTCTATAATTTTATAAGTTATACAAAAATGAAAATTAATATAGCACATATTTAATTTGATATTCACAAAAGACTAATTTTCATTTATTATCTATAAAAAAATTGTTTAAAAAGATTGATTAAATGAGAAATAAAATGAGAATGATTCGTCTGATCAGAAAAACGAGATTTAAATTTAGTGATTTTTTTAATAAAAATTATATTATATGGAGTTGAAGATAACGAAATAAGAAATTAAAATTGGTTTTAACTTGAATAATTTTTAATTATTATTAGTTGAGTTATGTAAAATTAATGTATTTAATTAATGATATATATATAGAGACTCTTCCAACATGTACCCTCTTCCTAATTTTTTTTAGCTTATGCGTTTAGAAATGTTCCGCTTCTGCGTACCACTCTGATTCCATGCAGCTTTATGTCTTAATGTAAAACAAAACCTTTCTGTTGTTGTCGTTGTTGTTACAACTTTAAGAGCTTAATTTACGTTTCATAGTTACATTCACATAAGAATTCATAATGCAAACATACTTGCTATAATAAATTTGTATATTTTTTGTGAGTAGACTGTTGTATTCATTTCAGTGACTCGAGTTCATTCAATTTTCTAATCGACAAAATCAGAAACTGAAGACAAAATCCATTTAATGAAGTTCGTTCACATTGTGTACTGTAGTGTACAAAATAAAATTACTTTGCTAGTATTTTCTTTTTGCTTCTCTTCTGTATTCAGAGCTCCGGTTTAGCTGGACGCCAAAATCCCTTCACACCAACCAAAAACCGATCCTGGTATATTTTAGTTGACCAATGCAGCGAACCGAATATGGATTCAAGCTTATTTATTGTTTCCATGGTGTCTTGTACCACAAGGTATCCACCTGGTCTCACTATCCGATCAATCTCAGCTGCCACTTGTACAATGTCACACCTGCAAAATTGACCCAAAAAAATCACTCTGTATTACGTTAACCACACTCAAAATCTCAAACCGGCCGAGACTTTCCAAACCAAACCAAGCAATTAAATGCCTACTGCTTAAAGAATTGACAAATTTTCAATCTTTTGCTTACCGTTGTGAGAGATCTCCAAGGTAAAAACTGGAATGTAGAAGATCGTATGTTCTAGGGTAAGTGTTCAAGGACTCGCACCAATCATGGTAAACTCCGATCAAGCCTCGATCATAAACGATGGAGAGAGTGTCAGGTTTCTCCACAGGAACCACATTCATCACCCAAAGAGGCTTATTTATAAGTGCAGCAGCAAATCTATCAGTAATATAAAAAACAGTGTCAAGTTACCATGTTAGAGTAAACCGGATTCTGGTTAAAGATTCAGAGAATGTAAAAAGTAAAAACAATTACCCGCCAAAACCAGCATTCATGTCCATCACATTCCTTACGCTTGACCAGTTTACTACAGCTAGACGTTGAAGATACACGTCAGATACAATCGCTGACCATTTCTCTGTATCTTTCTTGAACGTTTTCGCTTCAACCGAAGAAGATTTAACACTCGCAAGCCGTTTAGGCCATTGTTCAGGCCAATTCTTGACATTTCCGCTAGGTAATTTGGAAATGCATTGCCGGAGAGGAGCGTACCATGAAGCATTTGCTTCTTCTTTAACGCATAGAGGTGGCTCTTGCGTGCTGCGCTTCTTATAGCAGGCTTCTGAAGTTGGCTTCTGATAGACCACGAGTCCGATACCAGAGGAATCAACCGTCTTTGCCACGACCTTCCAGCAAATGGACTTAGTCAGAGACACCATTGCTGCAAAAACAGAAGTTTGTTAACAATTTAAAAACCATAAAGATCAAGAACCAAATCAAGAAGATGATTTGTTACGAACCTTCCCAAATTTTGCTATCTCTGTCATTCTCTCGATAAACCGGTGTTGCAGACCATATGAAGAAACCTCCTGGCCTGAGTACCCTATTGAGCTCCAACAATGGCTTCCCACCTAAACAAGAAGATCATGAAACCTCAAAAAAGCTTAAACCCTAAGAGGGAAACCAATAAAAAACGGTGGACAAAAATACCATCAGCATCCCAATGGACTCTGCAGCGTGCACAATGGATAAGATCAAACGCATTGCTCGGGAACGTAAGCTGTTGCGTTCCGATCACAGAAAGCGTTGCAGGTATTCCTCGTTCTAACGCAAACTGAATCTGAGCTTCATGTTCATCTTTAGGTGCAAATGACATTGTAATCACATCTTTATCTAACAAATATCCACCAAAGCTAGCGACGCCACAACCAACATCTAACACAACCCTTATGTTTCTCCCCCATTTGATAACCGGTAATGCCTGTGTGAAATGTGAAATGAAATTTAAGACAAAGATGTGTGCTGTAAAGGGAAAACAGTAGAAAAGAAAGAAAAAGTGCTAACCTTTTCGATGAACTCAACGTAATGAGTAACCCCAAATTTGAATTGAGTACCTCCTCCAGGAAAGACAAGAAATTCACCGGTTTTGTTAACCCAGTTTTGTTCTTTCTTGTATTCAACAAGCTTTGGGTGAGGAACATTGTCATACCATACCTACACATCCATGAGAAGACAATCAAAAAGATGTTCTAAGACAACTTCTTCTCAGCATTTCAGGTGAGAAAACCTTACACTTTGAATCTATTAGACTCTGAAACACTAAACTGAATATATATACTTAAATGGGTTGTTACTTAGGTAGGACTAAGCTAAATCTTAAATCTTCAGATCAAGCTGATCCAAAAGCTAGCATCTTTCATTATCAAAACGAATAACAGCAACCAAATCTTACCAAAAACAAAAACAGGATCTGTCTCTCACCATATCCCGGCTCTTGGGCCACGGAACCGGCGGCTTGTAATTATCCGGCAAGGGCACGAGACATTTCGGGGTTGGTTCGGGGCAATGTCGTTCTCGGTGTTCCATATGCCTCCTCGTTTTGAGCTGCTTAATTGCATCGTAATTGTCCAGACAAGGTATGTAATCGACAGACTGTGCGCCTTTACAGAGATCCCATTTCAGCTCAACCTCTTGTGAAGCTTTTAGCTTGTTCTTCTGTGGAGTTGGATCGGAAGAAACGATGTCGACGTTTTGAGGAATTGAGGATTTGGGGTTTGGTGTGTAATCAGTGGAGAGAGAAGGGAAAGGGAATCTGGCGTTATCGGAAGTGAAGAGGAAGACGGTGATGGCGATGAGGAGTGTGGAGAGGAGTAAAACGACGACGTGTTGTACAGATATCGCCATTGAAGAAGGATCATTAGATACAGACTCACTACGATACCGTGTTTCAGGGAAGAAGAAGAAGGTGATGAGCTCAAAAAAGTCGCAACTTTCACACTTCGATTTCGATTTTGGCAGAGCAAAAATAATTATTTTTTTTCGTTTTACTAGTAAAAGAAATTATTCACGCGCCGACACGACACAGTAAAGAGTTTGTGTCCGAAATTTTTTTTCTGATTTAAGAGAAAATTAAACATTTCGACTTTTGTAAGTGATACATCATCATCATTCAGCTTACAACTTAGATTACTTTCTTCAAAAAGTATCAAATTAGTTTCGTGTGGTAATAATGAGTGATCATATATGTGGATAGAGCAACAATGGCTTAAGCAAAAGAATCAATTTTAATAAACTTATGAAGTGTATTGATTGATATGTAACCCATCAATGGGTGGGGGAAAATAACACGTCTCAAAAAAAAAGCACAACAAACAAATCCTCTCAGAGGTTTTCTACTAACTGCAGCCTTTCAAGCTTAAAGCAAAACTGAAACTTTTGAAATTTGAGTGGATTCAATAAAGAGAAAATTAATCTAATAAAACCATTAAGCCGGCAAATCTTACTCGATGATTCCGGCGCCACCGTCGATATCCACTTCGCCCATTCCGGTGTCTTCTTCTTCGTCTCCGCTTTCTTCATCGCCGCTGATCTCTTCATTGTCGAGTCTTAGCTTAGCCATGTGCTCTGTCAGCATCTTATCATCTCTTTCACTCACCTGTCAAAACATAGATTTCAATAAATGTTAAAATCTCACATAATGGAGGAAATATGACTGTGATGGTTTAACAGTAAAGAAGATAAAAAAATACTTACAGCTCTAGCTCCTTCCTTAACAACGAGCTTGCCTTTGTGTATGTCAATGGCCTCAGTGCAAGCTTCTATGGCTTTGTTTAGGATTTCAATCCCTTGGTCCTGTTTCATATGTTATTGACACAGAGAAGATTAGGTGAAATGAGATAACACACATCATTCATTCACACTCGCATATTTCATATTTGTTCAGGTAAATGGGTAAATCAAACAATCGATGGTTTAAGTGAAGACAAATCCGCAAAGCTACACAATTGGCTAATAAAGTTGCAATGACCAGTTTTTGGACAACATTTAGCATCTGTCTGTGTTTCACCTATTGCTATCAAATTGTGGCAAGTTGCTAATACAATCTTGATTTAGGTCACGAAAAGGAGGAGAGGGATTATGTAACAAGGCTAATCGTGCGTGTAAATCATAATTCAAGATTTGCCTAACCTTGTCAAGAGTCTGAGTAGTGAGAACATAGAGGGGTGGAGCAACCAGTTTAATCTTAACAGGACAGTCATCGTTTCCAGCGGCTTCAGCCTTTTTCATGGCCTCCTGAAAATGCAAGCATGTGTGAGAAAATCACAATGTATTATTCTTTTCATAACTTATAGATTATCTACAAAAGAGTTATGACCTTAATGTGAACAACTCCGTCAAACTGAAAACATTTCAATTCGATATCAGCTCGGATTTTCATTGGCTGTGGTGTCATTCTCCTCCTAATGTTCTTCACAAGTGCATCTTTCACTTCTTCCGTAACAGCAGGTACAACCTTAGTCACCTACAAGCAGAAAACTTGTGAGATTACCACCAAAAGGGAAGTTTTTGTTAACAACTGAAACAAGAACAGAGGAAAAAAATATACCTCTTGTCCATCAGGACCAACTTCTTTGATCTCACGGGTGAGGGAACCCAACACAGAATCAGGATCAGTCACTAAGATCTTGAAGGCCTAAACAACAACAACGAAGAAAAGATATTTTTGAGAAATAGATATCTGTCACGAGATTACAAATTTACAATTTTCTTACCTCAAAAGCATGACCATGTTTCCGGTACAAAGGCCAACCAATGTTCACATACAACTCCTGCCACAGAAAAACTTGAATCAATTTGTAATCAAAGATTACAGAAACAAACTATGTTTAGCACCTAAATTAATAGAATTAATCACTAAACATATACGAGAAAACCAATGATCTACCAGTTTCAAGTCTCAGCATCTGCAACTCGCTCAATAAAAAATCCAAAATTTTCAAGTTGCAACTAATAAGCTGTCAAAATCCTTAACAACGGATACTGTATTATTCGCATCTAAGTTTTAAGTGTATCATCTTCTATAGGTCTCTAATCAGCAAAATCCAGAAAATCAGATGAACTAAAATCGTAAATCCCAAAAATTCAATTTCGATTTTAGCGAATTAAAAACTGAAAAAGTGATTTGGAGATTTTTACCTCCAAATCGATTGAGAGAGTCTCAGCGACATGGCGCATGATAGAGTGGACGAGCTTGCTCTTGTTATACCTCTCTTCACAAGTCTGAATATCCTCTTCGCTGACTCTACGCTTGCTCAGATCAATGTATCCCTTCTCCTTGTCCACACGCAGGACCATGACCGGCTCAATTCTTCCGACCTTAATCAAACTGCTCACACTTCGGATCCGACGGCGGGAGAGCTCGGAGAAGAGGATCATGCCTTCGATGTTGTTGTACTCCAGCAGCGAAACGTAGGCTCCCATGTCTGCGATGTTCTTCACCTGGATCATCACCGCCATATCCACCTCTGGATACTTCGCCTCGTACATCCGGCACTCGAGATTCGGCGTTTGACTCGCCATGATTGAAAGATCTCGATACAGCTGAAGCTCACCCGGATTTACTCTTTGCTGAATCGGAAAAAGCTGTGAGGCAGAGAGAATTAGGGTTTTGCAAATCACGCAGAATCTTTCGCTAGGGATAAGAGAACCGAGCTAGAAACACAAAACGGAAATTAGTCAGAGATGCATACTTAAAACGGCGCCGTTTTGGTTTTGTAGAAGCTGGTGAGAGAATAAAGGGAAAACATTAGGTTTCAATTGGGCCAAAATTCTGATGGCCCTTTAAGTACTGGCTTGACATTTTTGGACCGTTTTATTATGGAGTTTGTTCCCCATACTTTTTTGTTTGTTTACTCAACTCGTAAAATGTAATCATATGACTGGACAATATTATTATTTGGTAATCCAAAAAAATTCAGATGAACTGATATCGGAATCAATTTTTTTGGGGTTCTTTGGGACTTTGATCGAACCAGACTGTAAAATGTAGAATCGGTCACTAGGTAGGTGGTTCAACGAACTCAAACCAGAATTTAGTCATGTATTTGTCTCTTACAAAAGGAAACAAAAACATCTACAAGACCTTTAATCCCTTGAAAGCAGCTTTAACCTTCGAGTAGCATCTGATTGAAATGCCATGTTCCTGAAAATCGCCACAAACAATCATTAGAACAAAGTCTGAAGCACGAAGTGGAGTATGAATTAAGTGAGTATAACGTTTTTGATATCTTTATAGATTAAAACAAGAAATTGGGATAGATTATTATGTACCGTGTCCTTTTCCAACTCTTCGTAGTTGAGCTACATATTCTGAGATTTTCTTGATTGCTTCCACCTGAGAAATGTTTGTTTTTTCCAAAACTCCCATTAGATTCTCTTTGACAAACATTTCTTTGCCACTAACATAGAAGACCAAATGATTTACCTGCTCGTTTAAGAACTCGCTCTCAATAAAATCTGCCAGGTGGACATCTCCGTTCTTGGAAGCAACCTGTTGAACAAACCATTAAATTAAGAGTGGAGACTAGACTTACTTTTCAAATAGGGATTTCACAAATCTATAATAAATTCAAGGAGATGCGGTCTTTACACTGTGTAGGTTTAAGAGCTTCTCGTTAACTAGTTTCTCCAGTGACAGAGCCAGCTCCATGCCTACAACAACAAATAACAGAATTGCACGGTACTATTCAGTTCTTGATGATAATATTAACTCGCAATCTCTTCAAAGCCAATATATGATTAGTTTCAACTTATAGTAGAAATTTTATACGAAACTAAAGATAATTTTCACTTGTGATTTTCGTGTACAAACCCATAAGCGAAGATAAAGCATCAATAGATCAAAGTAATCGCTTACCATACAGAGCATCTCCCTTGTCAACGTGTTCAAACTCCGTGAGAGGCATCACAATCGACTGTAACTTCACCCTCCCACCACGTTTGTTCTGCAATTCATGGAAACCAAGAAACACGTTAGAACCAAATAAGCTACACTTTGTGGCTTATGAGTTATAGGGAAAATGGACCTGATACTCCATTAACTTCTCAGCGTGCTCTCTTTCTTCCACACTCGATTCCTTAAAGAATCTGATACCAAGAAACCAAAGATTGACTATGGATAAACAAAAAATCCGAAAACAGCAACAATTAGGCATAGCCACAATCAACACTCACTTGGCAAGACCCTTGAGCGCGATGTTATCCCGATCGAAGTAAGCATACATAGCGTGATACACATACGACAGATTGTATTCCACACTGCGTCCAAAACAATCGTTGAAGAAATTCAAAAAAAATCCACAGGATAAACCGTAAGCAGAATCGACTACTAAATCTTAAAGCTAATCAACCAGATCAGAATACCGAATCTCTCAATTCCGATAAAGAGAAGGAGGTGGAAGAGAAAACCTACTTGATCTGCTCGTTAATGGCGGCTTCGCACTCGTCTGAGTATTTCTGTCGAGCGAGTGAGAGATGAGAGCTGGTTGGGACGAGATCGAGCTCCTTCTTCACCTCCTCGAACGGCTCGAAAACGACGCCGCTTAGAGCGTCGGTGGTTGACTTTTTGGATGCGCGAACGGAGAAAGATAGGCTTCCGGATTTTCCAGAAGAAGCTCGAAGATTCGAGGAGTAATCGATTGGAGACGAAACGGAGGATAACAGAGGAGAAACATCCTTAATCCCGCCATGGAAATTCACGAGCGATAACGAAGAAGAAGAGGAAGCAACTTTGAGGAGCATTTTGACTGTTCTAGAAAACAGTGGGAAGTTTTTTCTCGGCGAGAAAATTGGAGGATGCAGAAGATTTTTGTGAGAGGGATAAAGACCGAGAAAGTGATGGATTGATGATGAGGCTGCGGATGGGAGACACGTGGACGTACAAGATTGATAGATAGGTGAAGGCGCGTGGCAAGCTTGTGGTGCTACTGCGTAGCTGGAATTTCGTTTATTATCTTCATCGACTTCGGTATCCCGTGAATAATTGAATTTTTTGGCCCTATATGTTTTGAGGATTGAGGCTGCATTGTCTTGTTTTATTTTATATGATGAAACATCGGATCCAATTGGTAACATAATGAATAGTGGTGTGTTACAAGAAAAATAGATGTTACGAAAGATGACAGTATAAATTTAAGTGGTACGAAACACAATGATACAAATATTAATAATTTAATTTGATGGTACATATAACATAATATCTTCTTGATTGGTTACCTATAATGGTACAATTTGTAATACTTTGTAACACTATGTTCAATTTACACCAATCTAGAGCCATCATGTTTCACTCGTTTTAGTAAGGCACAGTTTCCTAATTGTCAAGATTTGTAATTTTAACCAAGTAAATGGTAAGTTGTTATGTTGATTTTAGGCTAATAGCAAATGGTTTTTTTTTTGGATAAAGGAGGCTATTGCCAAATGATAGAAAAATTACTGACAAATTTTAACTTTAAGATAAATTTAACGTTTTATTTGTTGTTTGTGTTTTCCAATAAATTCATGAAGAATAGCTAGGTTAAACATTTATAAAACGAAAACTAAACTACATTTGATAAATTGATGTTTGTAAATAAATAAAAAAGATAACATGTTAAGGGGGGAAAATTATACATCCCATAATATTTTAAAAATATCATAATTCATTTTCAACAATTGACTTAGTGGTACATAAAAGCTTTTCTCTACGATATAAAAAGTGTATTGTATTTTCCATATGGTTATCGTACATCCCTTCTTATATCTCTTCGCCATTGCCGTCTGGTGCAATTTCTCATTTCAGTCAAAATCATCAAACCGGAGAAAGAAAAAAAAAGATGCAACTTTAGCCCTTGGGATTTATCACGGTTAGGCGAGTGTTGTAATGTATCTTTCTCTCAGGCTCTTTCTTAATTACTCTAGTCTCTAATACCTATAACTACTGATTTTAATAATTTCTCGAGAAGCTATGTTAATTTCATAATTTGGGTTGTATCTTTGGTTCTGTCCTTACATGAGTTGTCAATAAGAATGCAATAATAAGCTTTAGCAAAAAAGAAAGAAAGAAAAAGAATGCAATAATAGCAACTACGTATATATACGTACATCATGGCATGAATAAGGTTATCACATGACCTCCTTAAACACCCTTAAAAAAATTAACATTCAACATCGACTGGACAATGATTTAGCGTTGATTACATATTATATTAAATGGATTTGTTTCAAAAATAAAGCACTAACCGAAACCTGTTTTTTTTTTTTTTTTTTTTTTTTTTTGCTCGTAATAAACTTAATTGAGGCATTTCACCAAAATAAGATTTAGTTTCCCAAAAAGAAAAGAAACAATAGTACATTCGAAAAACATCCATATATAACAAGATAATTAACCAATCAAATTTATACAAAGAAACAACCCAATCTTAGCCGATAATTGGTAACAAAAATAATTTCTTGTTTTCTTATTCCTTCTAACAGTTCATCCGAACACAGCTCTATATAAGCAGATAAAATGGCCAACACTTATCATTGTGTTTAGAAAAAAAGTATTTACAAATAACACACTTTGCTCTTTGCCACATACCCTATACAAATTAAAAGATGGTCATTGCCTCTTCTGTTTAAGGCTTTGTGTTTGTCTCTTTTGTTCGTCGCCGTTGCAAGTCGTCCGACTGTCACACAAAAGGTTTTCAACGTTCGACGCTATGGTGCTAAATCTGACGGAAAAACTGATAACGCAATGTATGTATATGACAATTTTCCTTTTATTTTTTTTATTTTTTTTTTATACATTTATGTTGATTATATATTTGTTTCCACATATACTTCAAGTTAAGCTCAATCCAATTTTGTTTAGTAACCAAATTTTCTTGAGTCTCACTCATAATACATATATAATGTTATAGGTGTTCACAAATGTATGGAAAAGCGCATGCGCAAGAGGTGGAAGTAGTAAAATCTACGTACCAAAAGGAACATTCTATCTCGGTGGTGTAGAGTTTGTGGGGCCATGCAAAAATCAGATTGAATTCGTCATCGATGGAACTTTATTGGCTCCTTCAAACCCTAGAGATATTAAGCAGGACACTTGGATCAACTTCAGATACATCAACAATCTATATATCTCTACCGGTACCGGTACCGGTACTCGATGGTCAAGGGAAGCAGTCTTGGCCACTCAATGACTGCCACAAAAACACCAATTGTCCTAAACTAGCTATGGTACGTCATTTCTTAATCTTTTATATATTGCTTTAATGTGATTATTATTTGCATTTAAATCGTATTACAAAATTGACCATGGGACTGTTATATTCAAGTCTAGCTAATCTTATATTAAACTTATTTTTTTAATAGAACATGGGATTTGCATTCGTGAACAATTCAAGAATCGATGGGATAACATCACTCAACAGCAAAATGGGACACTTAACTTCTTCTCCGTCCATCACTTCAACATTACTGGCGTCACCGTAACAGCTCCCGGCGATAGCCCAAACACCGACGGTATCAAGTTCGGTTTCTGTAGCAACATTCGCATCTCTAACACAAACATTGGTACTGGAGACGACTGTATCGCCATTCTTTCTGGAACCTCAAACATGGATATCTCTAACGTCAAGTGTGGTCCTGGACATGGGATTAGTGTCGGAAGCTTAGGGAAGAACAAAGGCGAGAAAGACGTTAACGGCATAACAGTACGTGACACGGTCTTTAACGGCACAAGTGATGGTATTCGGATCAAGACTTGGGAATCTTCTGCTGCAAAGATCGTCGCTTCTAACTTTGTGTTCGAGAATATTCAGATGATTAATGTTGGAAAACCAATCAACATCGATCAGAAGTATTGTCCTTACCCACCTTGTGAAAAGACGGTTAGCTTTCTACACAAGAAACAAAGTCTATTTTTTTTCTTTTCATCACACGAAACAATAACTAAAGAAAAAAAATGTGTGTTTGTATTCTTTCAGGGAGCGTCTCACGTTCAGATAAAGGACATTAAGTATAAAAACATATATGGGACGTCGAAGAACAAAGTGGCAGTGAATCTACAATGTAGCAAGAGCTTTCGTTGCAAGAATGTTGAGCTAATTGACATTAACCTTAAGCATAACGGAGTTGAGGGTGGTCCTTCCACTGCCGTGTGCGAAATGTTGATGGTTCTGCTCGTGGTAAGATGGTTCCTCAGCATTGTCTGGCTTGATTGTATGGTCCGCGCAGTTATGATTCATATTTTCATATAATTGCCTAAAACATATGTATGCTTTTATTTTATTTTATTTTCTTCTGGTAGTTTTTAAAATGTTTCTGATTAATGCAATGAAGATGTAAAGATAAGTTGTTTTGTTTTTGAGTTGGCATTGATATAAACCCCAAGCAATTTCATAAAGAGAGAGAGCCTATTGATAGATACAAAAGTTATGTGGCTTATTCGTAAGAATTACAAAGTTTGAGGGTACTAACGCAATCTCGGTCGAATCGACGGCGGATGTAAAACGATTGGATCAGCGACTCGACTGCAGCCGTGCCAAGCACTCGTCTCTTCTTCTCTCTGTCGCCATCTCCGTCCAGATCCTCGGACATGGAAATGAGATCTTAGGAGAGAATTTTCAAAATTTGAAATTGAGAATCGAAGAGCGAGGAGGAAAGAGAAATGTCTGGGAAACTTTGGATTCCGAGATTCCTTCTCATCACTCTCGTGCTTATTAGCCTACGAGCCAACTCTCAGTGTGAATTCAGTTTCACTCGACGGAACAAGGCCTTCCATTTCAATTTAGCATCTCCGATTCGGAATTCCCCTCACGGTGCCCTCAGCGAAGATGGGTAATTTTCTCTTCTTCCCTTCTTTCTCAGATTCTCAGATTCTCTTTTCTCTACTCTACTTTGCTTATATAATTGAATTTCGCGTTTTTGGCGTCTCGATGATTCATTCAGTTTCTGATTATACCATAATTTCGTTCTGCTTCATATGTTAAAGTTAGAATGTTCGTTGCTCATTCTGTGTTAATTCGTTTTCTACTGAAATTCACGTAATTGGATAACCAGGTTTTATAGAGTGGAAGCGAACGGTACCGTGCTATGGTTTCAGGTTGTCTTCTAAATCAGGTTACACTTTGTTTCTGCATTTTTTTCTCTGTTACACTGATCTTTGATATGTGTAATCAATAAATCATGAATCTTGCTATTCGTGCCTGCTCTAACTAGTCACAAGGAAAAGGAATAGGAATAGATTAAGGAACAGTAAATGAAGAAAAATAGAGTTTAGGCCTTTGAGTTGAAGGTTTACGATTATCTGATAGTTGTAGACTTATAAAGTGCCCTTTCTAGGATAGTGTGATTAATGGTTGTTGTTTTTTTTTTTGTAAACCGTCATGTGGAGCAGCTTTGTGACTTGTTGATTTTCAATCACGATCCTCCTCGATGTGTTGGTTGCGAAGTAAGATTTTTTTTGCCACTTCCGTTTGTCTTGATCTATCTTTCAACAGAAGAGAAAGAAGAGTTTCTAATTTTTTAACATTAAAAGTCTCAAGCAATCTCTGTGACTTTCTTTTTTATTTACTTAGGATTGCGGAGGTGAATCACACTGTGGAACATCATGCAGTGCACTTGTATCGGAAACTATAAGAGGTACCACTCGTGGCAAAATGTATTTCATCATCATATAATGCCATGCTTTTGATATTTTTTTTTCCCCCTTTTACTCAAAGTGTAGCCATTTGATTGTTCCCTCCAGAAACTTTAATATGCGCTATGAGCTGATAAAAAGTTAAGCAACTTAAAAATCTATCATTTGCAGGGTATGATGTATGCACTTCTATTGGTCATGCCTCAAGCACGAAAGTCGATATGATTGGTAAGGCTTAAGATAAAGTTTATCTGAAAATAGAGACTAATTTCCTCTAGTCCCTTGTAGTGATAGAATCTTGGCACTATGTGCGACTGTGCGTAATAAGTTGGAACAACGCTAAATTCTTATGTTGTTTTCTGCAATAATAATGTGGCAATGTTGTCTGAGAGATTTTTGTTTTGAATACGGTAGATAAAGAGGATCCTGGCAAAGGCGTCATTGTTAAGATGTCAGGCGGAAGCAGGAACCAAAATTGCTCACTTTCAGTGTCTGTTATCTGCCAGAAAAATAAAATCGATGTAAGGATTTTTATGTCAAACATTTTACTTGACCTAATTGATTGGAATTGATATTACCAGTTTCTAACTTTCTAGGACTTGATACCTCATTCACCATTTTTTTCTCAGGGACCACTCACTATGGTGAAAACTGATAGCTGCCATTATGTGAGTGTTCAGTAACTCATTTATTTGCTCTCTTGTTGTTAAATTACGAAACTGAAGATCTTTTCCCGTCTTTCTTATTCATTCGACTATAATTGGGGATATTGTTTCACTGGCAGGCTACTGAGCTGCGACATCCTTCTGGTTGCGCAGTAGCTATCTCTCGCCATGGCAGTGGATGGGGCTGGTTTAGTACCTTACTAATTATGTGAGCACATCATTCTTGTTGATCCGAGGCTACTGGAATATGTATAAATGTGGTAGGAATTTTGATGTAAATTTCTCTTATCTTCTTCAGAATCTTTTGCTTATTTGGAGCTTATCTGCTGGGTGGTGCATTATATCGGTATTTCTCCCTTGGAATTCGTGGCACAGATGTATGTTTCACTAACTTCCTTCATATGAAGCAAAGTTTTTATCTCATGTACTGATTCTCTCACATCTGAACTGAAATGTTGTGCACACGCTTCTTTATAGGTAATCCCAAATTTGGATTTCTGGGCCACTGTACCTCACAGAACACAGGTATTTTTTTCTGTTTTTACATTCTCTCCTGGTGGGTTTTGTGACCTAAGAAAGAATCTCAATGGGTTTTTCTTTTGTTTCTCTTCCATCTTGTAGAGCTGTTTTGGTTCAATATTTCAGAGATTTAGGGGTCCTAGTCATGGTCAACGAGCTTCATATTCTCAGGTCAACTTCTGAGTAGTCACATCGTCATCTCTGATCTGTGGTCTGGAGACAAATCCCCTTCATTGCCTTGGTTCGTGCAACCTAATTGCCAAGGCCTTTATATGACTGGAAGTTATAAAAAGGTGTCTCACCTTTTCATGTCATAGATCTCTTAAGAAACAAAAGAATCTTGTTCATTTGATAGAAACAATGTTAAGCCATTGTGATCTGCAGCCTTTCCCATTTTTACAGTGGTTGTTCTTAAATTGTTGATGTTTGTTGATGGGCTTGTTTATGAGAACGCATAAGCAAAGAGAAAGTTTACTTAAAGAGAGATAGAATCTTATTCCTCAACAAATTACATGTGTTTGAAAAAGCAAAGATTGCTGAAGTGAAACAATAGCAAAACAAGAAACTCCCAAAATCATGTACTAAAAAGTTTGAGACGGTTGATGCCGATTTGTCCCGTGGTCCTAGTCCTAGAAGAACTAACCCTTTCAGTGACCACCAACGAATCGTCTTGAAAGAGCTTAGGTTATACAAATTTGAGTCTTGTAGGATTTAGACAAACAGTTGGCTTAGTGTTTTGTTGGGTGAAGATTGTAGACAAAGAAGAACAGTGAGAGCCAACTACTTGAGCTTGAAAGCCCACCAAATTCTCAACTAATTCCACTCTTCATTTCATCTCACCATTATTCAGTATCTATGTCATATCATGTTTGTATTCTTCTATGCAATTCATTACAGGCTTTTATTGTATGTAACGATTAATTTTAATAAAAGAACCATCAATTTTTTTGTTTTATATTGTTTTCTAAGTAACAGCAAAAACCCATTGGACAAAAAGTGAAGACAATGATATGTCATCTTTACAAGGCGATCAATGTACGAAAACACCTCAAGGACACTTAGCTTCAAAGCCAAGTGAAGTTAATATTCATCACCTCCATCAATCATCAGCTCATATTTTCCAATAGGAGATGCAAATAAAATGCCTAAAAATGTTTTCATATTATAAAATGATGAATGATATTAGGAGTATTATACACAATAAAAGACCAACGAAGCGGATTAGTCAGAATTTACTCATCTAGGATGGATTTAATCAAACACAGAACTAACCAAAATGTAGCCTAATGAGGAAGTCAAGGGATTGTCTTGTCTTAAAACCAGTGTAAGTATTGGTTTATGAACTTGATTGCTAAAGAACAAACAGAGATATACATTTTTTGCTGAAAACACGAATATATGATTTGCTGAAAACACGAATAACATTGTTAATTTGTCATTTACAGAAAAATGACTTATGTCTTACGAAAATAATGATTAGTTAGGAGAAGCAACCACTCTATTGCGTCAACATTTACCTACTGAACACCCTAAGTATTATTATTTTGCTAATTCACAAAAATTCCATCGCCAAATATAATCATAACCATATTATAAACTACCTAATCTTCATACAGTACACATCTTTAGTATCTCTTGAAGCAATTCCAAAATAAGTTTTTTTGTCTTCCTCTTTCCACATATTTTCAGGTTGTGGAGAATGAGATCATCAAGAACCCAAAATGTTCATTTCTTAATTCTATTTTCTATTTTCCTAATACTAGTTATTAGATTTTGAACATTGAAATCACATTTGTGAAAGTCTCAATCCTAAACATGAAACCTTCATCACCAACTTCCTTAACTTCTTCTTCTCTTCCTCCATCACTTCCAAGAAAAACACGTCTCTCTCCTTACCTCTTCACACTCTTAATCTTCATCCTCTTCGTCTCTGTCCTCTATGGCGAAGATTTCATGTGCATCTTTGGCCAGCTCGAGCCCAACTTCGTCCTCCAGCCTTCTCGAACACCCGGTAACCATTTCTCCAACTAAACTTTTCTCTTGAATTCTCATCGAAAACAACACACTGAGATCTCGTTTCCCTTTGGATTCTTTCAGCGAAGAGCAAGAAAGTGGAGAAGCTTGCGTTTGCTATCGGTAAAACAGAGGAAAGCTGTGACGTGTTCAGTGGGAAATGGGTGAGAGACGAAATCTCCCGACCACAGTACGAGGAATGGGAGTGTCCGTACATTCAACCTCAGCTTACGTGTCAAGAACGCGGCCGTCCCGACAAAGATTACCAGTTCTGGCGGTGGCAACCTAACCACTGCGATCTTCCCTCGTAAGCTCTTCTTTTCTCTCTCTCTACGTTTCCTCTGTTTTCTCTGTTTCCTTACATGAGTTGCTCTCTGTTCCATAGATTCAACGCGACGCTAATGCTTGAGACATTGAGAGGGAAGAGAATGATGTATGTAGGAGACTCGTTAAACCGTGGAATGTACGTCTCCATGATTTGTCTTCTTCATCGTCTAATTCCAGATGATCAGAAATCCATTAAAACCTCTGGTTCCCTCACTGTCTTCACTGCCAAGGTACATATTAAATCATCCCTTTTTTTATTGTCTCTTGTGTTACAATGTTTTCATCATTTTAAAAGATTATTATATGTATGCGTAGGAGTATAATGCGACGATAGAGTTTTATTGGGCACCGTTTCTTCTTGAATCGAATTCAGACGATGCAATCATCCATAGAGTATCGGATAGGGTTGTGAGGAAAGGTTCGATTAACAAACATGGTCGTCACTGGAAAGGCGTTGATATCATCGTCTTCAACACTTATCTATGGTGGATGACTGGATTGAAGATGAAAATCTTGTAACCATTCTTGTTAACTTAGAACCAAAACAAGTCATATATATCAATCACATTACAATATGGTTTCTGATATTGTTACGTGGGGTTTTGTATAGGCAAGGATCGTTTGACGACGAAGAGAAAGTTATCGCAGAGGTTTCGACAGAAGATGCGTACCGGATGGGTATGAAGAGTATGTTGAGATGGGTGAAGAACAATATGGATCGTAAGAAAACTAGGGTTTTCTTCACAAGCATGTCTCCAACACATGCCAAGTTAGTGACTTTGACCACTTTGATCGAGAATTTTAGACCAAAAATAGATACATTAGATTGATAATCCAGACTTCTTATAGTATGTTCAGCTACGCAAACGACAAGATCTGCTTAAATTTTACTTACTAAGTGAAATTTGGTTGTTTCTTTCTTAGCAAGAAACCTAGTGGTTAGGGCTTTTGTTGATTTTTTTTCTTTCTTTTGGTCTGGTTCTATGAGTGTTTCAGGGGCATAGATTGGGGAGGTGAACCAGGTCAGAATTGCTACAATCAGACAACACTTATAGAAGATCCAAACTACTGGGGATCAGATTGTCGGAAAAGCATAATGAAAGTGATTGGGGAAGTATTTGGGAGATCTAAAACGCCGATAACGTTGCTGAACATAACGCAAATGTCGAATTATCGGAAAGACGCGCACACGTCGATATACAAGAAGCAGTGGAGCCCACTTACGGCGGAGCAGCTGGAGAATCCGACGAGCTATGCGGATTGTGTACATTGGTGCTTGCCTGGCCTTCAAGATACTTGGAATGAGCTTCTCTTTGCTAAACTTTTCTACCCTTGAATAGAACGACACCGTTTTGGTTTTTTCTTTTTCTTTTTGAAGTTTGGAGTGGCGCATTGTCGAGAAAATTGACCTTGTTTCGTTGTGATTAATATTAGACGAAAGGGTTTAACAAATCGAAGATGAAAGTAGCCTCAAGCAAGCTCCCAGAAACTAGTGAATGTAGTGAAATATTGCGAGTCTAATCAAGCGAGAGAACAAATCCAGATTATTTCAAGAGCCAATCATAAGTTTTTATATTTCTAATAATAAAATGTTCAAATTGCATGTGTCGTAAAACAAGTGTTCCCATCTTTATATTATATCGCATCGAAGTTTTCTACGTCACGTCATTCTCACTACGAAATGCTTCCAAACCTGAGTCGCATTGGCTTGGAAACACAACTTTATCCCCAAAAAAAATGTTTGGGGGTTTGTTCATGTTATGTATTGAATTTGGTTTGCCTTTTTTCAGACACTCATATGGATATTGGCTAAATTAGAAGTGGCTAAAGTTCATAGTTACAGTTTATTTTAAAGTTTGTTTCTTATTTTCTTTAATCAGCTAAAGTGTTTAGATAGTCCAGCTAGGAGACTATCCCCATTGCTTTTTAAAAGTAAGTATATAAATATCACAGCTATGTGTACGTTATCACAATCTTTTATGCATGTTTATAGAGATTTGAATATAAAGAAAATAGTTCAATACGAGTACTTTATATGCAACATGCCACATTGGAATATACAAACCCCAAAAAGCGTATATCTCTCTGGATTGGTCAGAGTTTCATTTTCACACGGAAATGCATATATTACTATACTTAAGTAAGATTATAATTTCTGACAAAAGCAAAGTAAAATCATGACATGAAAAATCTTATGTGTTTAAACTAAATAAAAATAGTGAAATGCAAAATTAGCAAGACACAGAGAAAAATAAGAAAGGTGGGTGGGTTTAAATGTCATTTTACAAAAGACCAAAAGAGGGAAAACATTAATAGCCTCCTTGCCAACTTGCATGTCAACTTGCAATTCCTTCCTTCCACGACAATGTTTACATATCTCGTACTCATTATGATCATACATTAATAATCATTTATAAATCAATTTGTTTTTTTAAAACATATATTTAAATTTTATCGAATATTTTATAAAGGTGTTAAAGAATAGTAGCGACTTTTATTTTTTTCCTTGCAACTTGCATGCTTTGTTTTTTTCTATAACAAGTTGGATTTTATTACACCCCAACTTGCGTTTTACGTACGATCATATACATTTCTATATAAATGTATTCAATGTTGAATTTGGTTTTCACAAGTCTCGAAATCTTACTAGTTAATTACAAAGTAACTTACTGATTTTGCTTTTGGAAACTTTGAAAGATTGAACGTCTTTTCATCATGTTCATTGGATTCTTTATATTGCACAACGATAAAATATTATAAATTTGAATGTTTATTTTGATATTTTACATTTCAAGTCTTGAGATAATATATAGGAGGACAAAGAAATCAGAAAAGTGATAATC